TATATTCAAATTTTTTTAAATAATTGAATTTCTCAGAAGTTTTTAAAACTATTTTGAAAATAATTAAATTTTATCGAGAAATTTCATTAAAAAATTGAAAATAATTTAAATCTGACGAAGAATATTATTGAATCAAAAAATATTATTTTATTATTAGATTTTTTTTAAATAATTGAATTCCTGTGAAAAATTGTATTTTTGAAAATAATTGAATTCTTGAAAAGAATTTTATTTAAATTTCTTAAATAATTGAATTATAAATAATTTTTAGCAATATTTCAATTATTTTCATAATTTATAAAATTGTAAATTTATTAAATAAATCTTTTAAGAATTTCGTTAAAATTTTTTTAAATAATACAATTTTTAAAATAATTTTATTTAAATTTTTCGATGTAATTGAATTTCTCAGAACTATTTTTTTCAATTCTCTGAATATATTTGAATTCTTTCGAGAAACTTCATTAAAAAATTAAAAATAATTGAATTGGTGCGAAGAAATTTATAAAAAAAATTGGTAAGTAATTGAATTCCTGTGAAATTCTTATTAAAATTTTGTTTAAATAATTGAATTTTTTTGGAAAATTTTATTAAAATATTAGATATTAAAAATAATTGAAATGAGGAAAATTTTTGAAAATGATTGAAATTTTGACAAGAATTTTATTAAATTTTTTTTAAAAAAATTGAATTTCGGAGAAGAATTTTATTATTTATAAAGATAATTGAAATTTTGACAAGAATTTTTAAAAATTTTGGAACATAATTGAATTATTAATTCAAATTATTGTCAGAAATAGAAAAAATTGAATGTTTTGTATTAGAATTCTTGTCAATTTCATAGTTTATGAGGCAAACAAAAAAAACCCCAAAATTCAGAATTTTCTTATAAATTCTAAAAATTTAATTTTTTCCAGTACTTTTAATAAAAATCCCTGACCTTTTCCCTGATTTCCCTGACTTTTCCCTGACTTGTAGCAACCCTGATTAAAGAAATAAAAAAATATCAGAAATAACAAAAAAAATATTAGAAATACCAACAAAAATTGAAAATATTCGAGAAAATGTTAAGGAAATAAAAAAAAAATACTAAAAGGATTTTTTCTTCGTGAAAATCATGATTCGAAAAGATAAATTCATCGAGAGAATAAAAATCGTCTATATATGTATAAAGAGTGCCTGGTGAGTAATAATTTTTAATCGTTTTGATGAATTTTTATGCTTCTGAAATGTTGAAGAATAATGCAAGAATGAAGTTTATCTAGCTTTCCACACGTATGACTTGAAATAAATTGTAATTATAGCTCAATTGCCAGTTCAAGTACCAGTTATTCACACTTTCAGTTCTATATAGAGATCATCCAGTATGAAACTAAACATGTAGTCCGTTAAAAATTTACGACATTAGCATTTACATGTATAGAGAAGGTTATTGAACCAACGAGAATGAGTTGTAAAGACCATTTAACCCTTGAACTTCCCCTATATAACACTTTGTATCTGTGGTGATAAATTTCATTTTAATTAATCATCAACTTTTCATGTCAAAACTAAATGTCTGTCTGTCTGTGTGTTGGTTGGTAGTCATTTAAATTTTAATTACTTCTCTCCCTTGGCTATAAAAATGTATCACGAAAATGTCCTTTTTTAGAACCCATTTTCACCAAATAAGTATCAAAAAATTACTATTATTCCAAAATTGTTAATTTATTTTAAGGAATATTTTTTTAGAAAAATTTATCGAATTTAGATTGTAAAATAGAATTGAAATTACTGAACCAATTGATTTAGAAATAAAAAAAATTGTCAACAGAAAACGTTTTTTGTCTTTTCAAGTCGATAAGATATACTGGAAACTTGAATCTCCAAAATAACAAATAATCGATAAACGAAAAACTGATTTTAAAAATGAACAATAAAATTCGAATGTTTACTGAACAGGACTTTTTTCTCCTGGCAAAATAAAAACACTGATAGAAATTAAAAGATTCAATTAATAATTTAACTTAATGAAATTTATTTCACTTTTCATTTAACTGACAAAAAAAAATTTCTTTATTTTCCTAATTTTTGTTTAATTTTTCTTTTTAATGCCTAGTTGTTAAATTAAAATAATTAAAAATAGTATTTAATTAAATTTTTTCCAATGAAGAATTTTTGTGAAAAAAATTATTAAAATCCTTTAAAATAATTAAATTTCTGTGTAAAAATTTCGAAAATAATTGAATTTTTTTTTAGGAATTTAATTAAAATCGAAATCGTATTGAAAACATTTCAATTATCATAAAGAATTTAATCACAATTTTTCGAAATAGATAATTGAATTTTTGTGAAGAATTTTATCAAATTTCTCAAAAGTAATTTTGAATTCTTTTGAGATATTTTATTAAAATTTGATTAAAAATAATTGAATTTTTTCAAAGTATTTAATTAAATTTTTTTTATAAAGAATTTTATTGAAATTTTTCAAAATATTAAATTTTTACAAAGAATATTATTAAAAATTCTTTAAAATAATTAATTTTCTGTGAAGAATTTGATTAATTATGAAAATAATTTAATTCTCGTAAACAAATTTTTAAAAGTTTTTCCAAATAATTGAATTTCTGCGACGAATTTTATTAAAATTCTTTAAAATAATTAAATTCCTAAACGAACAATTCTATAAATTATGAAAATAATTAAAATATTGCTAAGAATTTAATTAAAATTGTAGAAAATAATTGAAAATTATTTCCAGGAATTTAATTAAAATTAAATTGAAAATATTTCATTTCTCATATAAAGATTTTAATCAAAATTTTCGAAAATATTTAAATTATTGCGAATTTATGATCAAATAATTCAATTATTGAGAAGAATTTAATTATTTACCAAAATAATTGAATTATAAAGAAATTTGTCAACTTTTTTTTAAATAATTGAATTATTTCAAAGAATTTTATTTAAATTTGAAAATACTTCAATTCACATAAAGATTTTAATCAAAATTTTTGCAAAGAATATTATTTTTTATGAAAATAATTCAATTGTTGGAAAGAAGTTTATTATTTACTAAAATAATTAAATTATAATTATTGGGAATAATTTTATTATTTATCAAAATAATTAAATTTCTGCGAAGAATTTTAATATTTATGAATATAATTGAATTGGTTTGGAGAATTTTATTACAAATTTTCTTAAATAATTGAATTCTTTCGAAAAATTTTATAAATTATGAAAATAATTGAATTTCTGTGAAGAACTTTATTCAAATTTTCTTAAATAATTGAATTCTTTCGAAAAACTTTCAAAAACTCGATATTTTCCAAAATAATTAAATTTTTGTGAAAAATTTTATCAAATTATTAAAAATAATTGAAATTTTTTAAGAAATGTTATTGAAAATAAATAATAATTGAATTCTATTAAGAAATGTTACTGAAAATAATTGAATTCCCGTGAAGAAATTTATTGTTTTTAAAAGCAATAAATAATTATAATTAATTACTGAATTACTTAAAAATAGAATTTTTAAATTTTGTATTTGAAATTAGGAAAATATTTTTAATTTACAATTGTATTTTTATTTTGATAGTAGAAAATAATTTTGTCTCGTAAACTTTTGAATTCTAATATTTAATTATTTTCCTTCAAATTTGTATCGTATTTGATTTTTCTCGAAATAGAATAGAAAACAAAAAAGAAGAAAAATTAAATAAAAAATAAAAAGAAGAAGAAGAAGTGAAAAAAAGAATAAAATATTTTAATAAAGTGAAAAAAACATTTTGAAGCTAAAATGAAAATTGATGGAATAATCTAATATCAATTCTCCTATGTCGAGCAATTTAGGGATGAGTGTCTATTTTTTTTTACAACGTTCATAAAGATAGTGGAAGCCTAAGTACGTCAGGGTTTGCTCTATTTTCTCTCTAACAGTCTGCCATATATTTATCGATATATCTTTAATAAAATTTCATCCATGAGTAGATATTGTGTGGTCCTATATGGATGTTGGAGAGATAAAAGTTTCTAATAATAAGAGCCACGCGGTCATAAATGAACATTGTTCTCGATGCGCAACAGCTGTTAAGAGCGATACTCTCGTTTAGCGAAGGAAATCACGGTTTCATTTAACACAATTAAAGGGAATCATGTTGGATAACATCCCTCATTGCCTCGGTGACTAAAGCCCACAACTAACCTGACTGACGCAGAACGTAATGCTTTTGCTTTTATTTCGGTTTCGATAGCCCGTATGTGTGCTGCTTGCTCTACACTTGAATTAAATGTCCAATTGAGATCAAGTTTAAGTGATTGCAACCATCACCCAAAGAGGGATCGTCTGGCGAAAACATTTTACGTTTCATAAAACTTTATATATGAGAATCAAAAAATAATTCATCGTTGAACCTGTAAAAAAACATATTCTAAAAGAAATTAATAAACGGAAAAATCAATGTTGCTTTCTGAATAGAAAATAAAAACTAAATTAAAAACTAAATAAAAACGAAAACTAAAGCAAATTTAAATTCATAAATTAAAAAAGATTTCCAAAACAGTGATTAAAATAATAAAATAGTACAATTTTGCTTTTTTTTCTTTTTTTCAGTCAAAATTGTGCGGCAAGGTATTAAATTTGATAATTAATTCTGAAAAACGAAAAGATTTTACAGAAGATAAATTTTATTTATAAACTTTTTATTGCAATTTTGTATTTTTTGTTCCCAGTGGAATTTTCCCTCGAAAGGAAAATATTCAATATTCTAAAGAGAATTTTAATTTCTAGAGATTAAAAATCTAAAGAAATTCGTTAATTTAAATATATAATTAAAAATGAAAACAAAAATAAATAAGAAACAGAAAAAAAATCTTTTCGGTTTTCGACAAAATAAACGAAATTCTAAGAAAAAAATGTTTAAAAAAATGTGTGAAAATAAAAATCGTAAAATGAAGATAAAAAATAAAGCAAAGGATGAAAGATTTCTCGAGGGAATAATGAGAAGATCTTTATACGATTGCCTTCAAAAATAAACATTTATTTCAAAATTAATGCTTATGAGCTGTATTCTAAATCTAATACCTACACGACAAAAAAATGTTTCGTAGGTATTTTCATTTTTTTTTAAGATTTTCATTTCACGAGCGCATTTTTTCTTTTTTGTGTACAAGTGTTTTTTTTCTATTTCTTTTCATAGAATCTTTCATTTTCTTTTTTAAATGGACTGTTTTCATTTTATTCACTGTGACATCTTTGTAAGATTATATACATTAAAGATTTAAGTTTATTCCCTGGGATCTAATCGATGTATCTCAATTTTTTATTTTCAATTGGCATAATATTGAAATTATATTCCAGAAAAAATTGAGCTTAAATTAATGATTCACAATTTACAGATAATATTCTTATATAATATATTTAAATATAATTATATATTAAGATCGTTTGCTCAAATAAAGAAAAAAAAATAAAATTTTTTAAGATTTTACGATTCTAAAAAATCATCGATTAAATCAAAAGTGAATAAACTTTTTTTTTTTTGAATTATTCACTTCCTCACGAGAGGGAGCTTTGTAATTTTTTTTTTTTAAATGATAGAGCCCTAAATGTTGATATCACATTCATGGTAAGTGCTGTTTAGGTCAATAACATTTAAGTGAGACAAACCTAAGCAACTTCTTTTGAAGATTGTACCAGTTCCTCGAATGATGTGTCCAGACATTGTCGCAGCTCCGCGTAACTCACGACCAGCACACTTTGTTCGTCCCGGGACATCAGACACACCTATTAAAAAATATTAAATTAATAATTAATTTAATTAATAATTAATTATTATTAAATTATTAACCTATTCATTAAAAGAAAACAAAATTTTTGTATTGGGGTAAAATTATCTATTTTATGGAAAAATGTACTATAATTTCTTTTTTCAATTATCTTAATTATTTAAAAATTAAATTTTGAATTATTAATAACAATTATTAAATTAAAATCAACAAAAAAAATAATTAATGTAATTTTTTACTATCAAATTAATTATTTTTAACTAATTCAAATTTAGAGAACAGTATAAATATCTATAAAAATTGAAATAAAAAGCGATTTTTTAAAAACAAATTAAAATAATAAAACTTTTATTAATTTGGTGAAAAAATTCCCGGTTTGGCATAAAATTTCCCGGTTGGTAGAAACCCTGAGTTATTATTTAATAAAACTTTGATATTTGATTTGAGTTTGACTCGGAGTGATCGTTAATCTCAAGAGTTTAATTCATAAAAATGAGAATTTAAAAAGAATTAATTAAAATTATTTTCTTTACTTTATCGTAGGATCCTGAATCGAGTTTGTTCAGACAGGAGACGACGTGCGCCATGTCGAGCCAAGGACGACCTTCAGCGGTGACTTGATGAAAAACGTAATCTCTAAATAATTTAAGCATATAGCGGTCCCCGGTTTCGGCCCACGTTGGCTCCATGTTAAGTTCAGGCCTCTCGTTTATTGTCGTCAGCTTGACAATTAATTTGAACAGTCTTCCATTTTCCAGTTCCTTGGAAAGTTCATTTTCAAGTACATCGGAACGCAATTGAGCCGCATCCAATTGCGTGTAAAATCGCGCGCCGATCATTGGCATCAAATCCGTAACGCTTCTCCGTTGTTGATTCGAAAGAAGATACCTGTAAAATTTTCATTTTTATGACTAGGTATTTATTGTTTATGTCTTTCTACTATTAATAATTAAAAAAAATAAGAAAAATCAATTCCTTCTAAAGAATTATATCAAAATTTTGGAAAATAATTGAATTCTTCAGAAAAAATGTAATAAAATACATTGGAAATAATTGAATACTTCTAAAGAATTTGATCAAAATTTTTAAAAATAATTTATATCTTTCAAAGTCTTTTATTAAAATTTTTAAAAATAATTGAAAACCACAATGGTATTTTATTCAAATTGAATTGAATATAATTTATTTTCTCCAAAGAACTGTATTATTTATGAAAATAATTGAATTCTTGTGAAGAAATTTTTTTTAAATTCTTGAAAATAATTGAATTTCTGGTCAGAATGTTATTAAAATTTTGAAAATAATTGAATTTCTCTATAGAATTTTATTACTTACGAAAATAATTAAATTCCTGCGAAGAATTATATTTGTTATGAAAATAATTGAATTCTTTGGAAGAAATTTATTAAAATTCTTGCGAAATAAAATTAAAATTGATGTGCAATTATGAAGGGAGAAGAAAAGTTGTAGTTTTGCAAAAATTGAATAAAATTGGAAATACAAACAGAATGAGATTTCGAAGATCGGTGGAATAGGATCGTGCGACGAGCTCCAAAGATGTTTGCATATTGTCACGATGAATAGCCAAAAGACTGCGACAAGCCAAAGCAAGAACCATTTTTCCTAAAGCAATCAAGTCCTCCTGCTGATAATGCGGAATAAGACCCAAAGGATTCGTTGCATTGCCATCTAACGTGACGACGTCCGGTAGAGCCACACAACTCAATCGAAGATGAGTTCGAGAGGTAAGTAATACTTTGGTAGGATCCAGACATCTGTATGCAAGTCCTAAAAAATATTTTATTTAATATTTAATAATTCCATTTTCAATTTTAATATTTTAATATTCAATTCATAATCAACAATTAATTTTATTTATGAAATTTTCTTTCAATTTTTCTTCTATTGAAACTGAATTTCTATTTGAATTCTATTGAAATTGAATTTCTATTTAAAAATATTATTTATATTTGATTTTATATTTTTATATTTATTTTATTAATATTTGTTTCGTACCTGCTGCATGAATAACTCGAAGTGCAGCCGTAAGTTGAATAATATAACTCCAAATAACACTCTCAGGAAGCAAGTTACTGTGCTGCTGTCTCAAAATATTGCTCTTCGAGTGCGTAAACGATCTCGATGAATTTGGTTCAGAAGAAAACGGATCGGCAAATCCATTGAGTTCAGTCGCCGAGAAATGTTTCGTTAGAAGTGTTTCCGAACCAGGATGATAGTCGTAAACAAATACCATGGCTGCAATATTTCTGATTTAATAAAAAAAAGAGAAAATTTGAAAAAAAGAAAATCTTTAATTTAAAAATATACTGACAATGATCACCAAAGGCCTTCGTGGTAAAAACTTCTCGTAACTGCACTAAATTCGTATGGGCAAGTCTTTTCCACATATCAACCAGAATCATACACTTCGTATTACCTAATCTGAAATCTGTAATTTAAACATTAGTCTCAATTTCTTCCAATTTTTATTTTTAATTTTAAATAAATTCTATTCTATTATTCTGTTAATTTTAAAATTTATTTACCGTGCACTCTGCGTAAACAGTAACGAGTTCCAGTTTTAATGTTGGTCGCTTTGTACGTTGATGTTTGATAACCGAGAACCGATGAGACGGGTTTGTGAATTGGCTCCAAGGGGCACAATTCGTGATAGCTGTCGACTTCATTGGGCAAATCGGGGAACTGAACTAAATCTGGTTGTTCTAAAGTTAAAGCGTTTTTTTGGAATATATCGTTTCGAAGATTCTCACTAACGAAATAGCTGGGATTTGATTGCGGTGGAGGCGTTGAGGGTGCCGATGTACTATTTGATGAGGATTTCGTAGGCTTCACAGGATGAAGATGAGAAGGTGTTCCTGGATACACATAACCCACTTGTCCTGCACCAATATTTCCAGCCTGAGAAGAAATTTAAAATCATTTAAAATCATTATTAATTATTAATTATTAACTATAATAATCTCCGTATTCTTTCATTCATTCTGATTTATTCTGTCCGCTGTTTGAAGTTAATTTCTATGTATTCTTTTGCTTTTTTTTTCTTTAAAAAATATTGTTTGACAAATCGAAAATATGCAGGTATTTTTTCATGATTTCTAATAATAATATTACAAATTAGAAAATTAAAAAAAAATTCAGATTAACAAATAAAAAAATCCCATTTTGTTTATTATACGCTTTTTTCTGTAACAAATTTTGTTTGACTGATCTAAATTATTATACAAATTATTCTCCTTTTTATTTATAAAAAATACTAGAAAATTGTTAAAAATTTTTTATTAAGAAGTAGGAAATATACCCATTTTATGCATCATTTTTATTTTTCAATAACAATATTGTTTACAAACTAATTTTTTTCTTTTGCGAAGAAAAACATTATATATTCCCGGTTCTTAATATTTTTCTAGAAAATTCTTAATTTTCATAAGGAAATAATTTTCAGAATTTTCTTATGAATTGAGAATTCTAAAAATTTATTTTTTTCAGTACTTTTAATAGAAATTCCCGACTTTTCCCTGAATTTCCTATGTCAGAATATATTATTATTATAATTATAATAATAATAAAACTACCTATTCCAATTCATATTTTATTTTTATAAAAAAAAAAATTTGAATTAAAAATTATGCCTTTGTTTTTCACTCACGATTTCAGAAGTACCCTCTTCAGAGGTCAGGGTATCGGACATATTTCCCAGATAAAAATAAGTAGTGCCACCAACATTTTCCTGAGAATGATAGGAATTATTGAAAAGATTCGGTGAACTGCTATTACTGCTAGTGAGACATGAGGTTCTTCCCGGAATGAATTCCGCAGGACCAGGAGATTTTTTCTGCGAATCGAGAGAAAGATTGGACAATTGTTTGGTTACAACTGATGAATTCATAGCAGTTGGGGTTAGCGTTATCCCTGGACTTTGTCGATTCTACAAAAACAAAATTTTTATTTCATTATTATTGGAAAACTAGAACAATCAGGGTGGTCACAAGTTTCAGTTTATCAATTTCGCTGACAATTTACTGACATTGAAATTAGTCTCCCTGACAAACAAAATTTTTTTTCCTGTAATTTCCCTGACTTTACAGACAAGAATTTTGTTTTACTGACATGTGGCCAGCCTGAACAAAATAAATATATTTAATTTTTCTTAGAAAACGAGAATAAAATAAAAAGATAAACACAAGTAGAATACATTACCATGTAGACAGCAAGTTTGGATTCCAATGGAACTCCATTCGTTTGAGAAGTATAGTAAAGATCCATTTTTTTTTCTCAATCTATGCATTTACTGACATACACTTTAATTTTAACAGTTTCCACGTCCCTTTCTCTCACTCTTATTATTTATTATTATTATTATTAACTTATTCTTTCCTGATTATGTATTAAAAATTTCACCTGTAAAGAAAAAAAATATTAAAAATGTTTCACAATTGTTTAATTAATAAACTTACTCAAACGAAAATTTTCAAAATCGCAATTTAAATCTAAAAATAATTAATTATTTACAAGAACAATTTTACTAGAAAAAATTACCTTTTCCTGTTCCCAAAATCTGGATCACAAGTAGACCAAATTCACCGCATAGTAACAAATTTCGACCTTGTTTATTTTCTTCTCCACAAAATAATTCACAATTCCACAAAACATCTACAAATCGTATTCAAAAATACAAATTATATATTAATGAAAACTAAAAATATAATTTACATTATAATTTTTAAATGAAAAGAAAATTTTTAATTGAAATTTCCAATCTACTCATATGGTAGATATTAAATTTACTACGTAAGCAATCAACAGTTTGTATATTCATGTTATACAAACACAAGTATGCTCATTAAATACAAAATAAAACCGGTGTAAATTATTTATTCGTCGTTTGTCTGCGCCGAAACTGAGTGTCCTTTGTCAGAACAAACACTTGAAAAATGAAAACAATGATGCTACGCAAGAATTGGTGAAAAAAAAAGAATTGCAAAACGAATGAAAAATAAACAAATGATTGTAAAACTAAAGAAAATTGTTGTTGTAAAATTCAATGGATTTGAAGCAAAAATTAAAATTAGTAGCTTTCAAATAAAAAAAAAAGACACAATATTAAACTGTTGAATCGTATATAGGATGAGAAATCAAACGCATGTGAAAAGTAAATAGTAATGGCAGCTGATTTTGACAATACCAGAAGATCTCGTAAAGATATAACCTTGACGCCAAGAGGATTAGCAGGATTACAAAAAACACCGATTTTCTAATAATTAAATTATTCACACAAAAAACTGGAAAAACGCGACTCGATAATATGAAAATTTTTTTAAAATATTGAAAAAATATTGTACAAACTTCCCTTCTTTAACATAACCGAAACTGTCAGTAATGTCCGCGTCTCGGTCGAGCCGCCAAAATTTCTTATTAGCAAGCACTCTCCGGATAATCACGAGCACACCCGAGGTTTTATATTAAAATTAATAAACAATGCTTTAAAATGTACAAGTAATATTTTAACATTATTTGTTTAATTTTAAAGAACAAAGAAGAAAAAGACGGCCACAATCTGATTTTCTGTGTTTACGATGCTCGGGGGTTCGATATATATTGCGCGCTCTCTCTTAATTCTCAATTTCTCTCTCTCTCACACACACTCTTTTTGAATTTCAGCCTCTCTCTACCGCTATTTTTCCATTTATTAACGCAGCTGTCACTAATTTCCAAGTAAAATTTTCACGTAACACGTAGAACACTTAAAGTAATTATACCGAATAATTAATGAAAATTGATTATGTTTAATTACAATTAATTATTTTTTTAGGTTAAAAAATACTTTTTTTAATATATTAATTAATAATTGATAGGAGAAAAGTTATAATAAATATTATATTACCTGGAAAAAATGATAAAACACTGTATTAATAAATTTTTTCTATTCATTAAACTAATTTTAGTTAAATAAAATAAATTGTTTTAAAAATTAAAATTTTTTTCAAGGGGTTTTTAAGTTGTGAGCATGCGCAAATAACGTTCGTTAGCCAAAGTACTCTGATTGGTTGATAATAATTATTTGCAAATTCTTGTAATTTCTAAAAACTAAAAGTCAAACAAATTTTTCAATATTAAATTTCAAAAAATTGGTAAATATTTTAAGATTTACCTATTTGTTTAATGTTTATTATTAGTCTGTAGTCACAATAATTTATTAATTATTAATAAAAATAGCAAATGGAAATGTGCCTTGAGGTGTTTGAGATTAACGGAACGCTCTGATTGGCTGGGATAATAAAGTGAAATATGAATAGAGCTTAAGGTTATTTTCTTGACATTTGGCGACTTGACGTTTTCTTTGAAACTAGTGCTTGAAAGTTCAAACTAAAAATTAAAGTTTTGACAAGGTTTTATTAATTTATTATTAACAATGATTATACCAGTTCGTTGCTTTACTTGCGGTAAAGTTGTTGGAAATAAATGGGAGTCATATTTGGGTTTACTGCAAGCTGACTACACGGAAGGGTGAGTGACAAGAAATATAACCTCAAAATTTTGAATTATTTCTGCTACTTTCCTTCGATTTTGATGAAATAAATCAAATAAGTATTTTATTGCTAATAAATTATATTGTTGCTATAAATTATTATCTTTTGCAAAAGAAAAAAATAGAACATTACAAAAATATTAAATAATGAAAAAATTCCTCTTTATTTTCGAGCATGAATTTCGCTTGTTTCTAAATTCAAAGTTAATTGTTAAGTTAATTGTTCACGGAATAATTAATAATTGTTAAAATAATATAATTTTCTTTTATAGAGATGCTCTTGATTCACTGGGCTTGAAAAGGTACTGTTGCCGCAGAATGCTGTTAGGTCACGTGGATTTAATCGAGAAACTTCTCAATTATGCACCACTGGAAAAATAATTGTTTCCTTTTTCTATTTACTAAGTTAACAATTAATTTTGAATTTAATTTATAGACACAAATGCAAGGAACGCTTTAATTCTATTTTGTAAATAATGAAAAAGTCTCTTTCTTCTCTTTTCAAAACAAAAATCAAAGGAGAAGAAAATTTTGTAAACACTAAATGTAAATGTGAATAATTTAAAAATACACCAGACAATTTTCTATAAAAGTTGTTTTTTCAATTTAACAATTTTCCTTTATTTAAAATGAGATTTAGTAAATTATTCTACATCATATTTCTTTCTATATTACAATTTATTAAATTTATTTAAAAATTAAAAACAGTCTCTTTAAAAAATACTAATTAATACAGTTGTAGAAAAAATTGTTTACTTGAGTAAAAAAAAGAATTAACTCCTAAATAAAGCGAGTCGTCGAATTATTAAAAAAATAGTTACTAATTCACCACTATTTCGAGTACATTTTAAAAATTTCTACAAGGGAACCATTGGCGCCCGATATTGCGGCTATTAAACCAACAATGACGATTATAATATTTTTGATGAGAATCCAGTTACATGGACCGAAACCTTCGTCCCAGAATGTTACCATTTCAATGGCGACTGGTATCAAGAGGCCTAATATCGTGAAACAAACGGCACCAATTAAACCAACGAATGGGGAGATTGTTGGTACGGCAATTGCCAATAAAACAGACAATATCACAAGAATTGTTCTTAAAATATAATTAGCAAAGATCGGTCTCGATTTAAAATTATCCTTCATTGAATTCCAGGCAATATCCAAGCAGACGTAAAATTGTAATCCAAATGTGACAAGAACAGCTAGGCCGATAAATATTTTTGCGATTTGTGAGGCACTGAAAAATTAATTTTTTTGATTAATTTAATTTTATCAAAAAAAAAGGAAAAAAATAAAATTAATTTTTTTTACTCATTTGTAACTCTAAATAAATAATAAAAGTAGAAAAATAAAACAAAAAATAATAAAAGTAGAAAAATAAAACGAAAAATAATAAAAGTAGAAAAATAAAACGAAAAATAATAAAAGTAGAAAAATAAAAGAAAAAATAATAAAAAGAGAAAAATAAAATGTAATAAAATTGAAAAAAGAAATTAAAAAATGATAAAAATCAAAGAGTAAAAAATAAATTTTCTATTCGTTTGTAACTCTAAATAAATAAATTTGAAAAATAAAATAAAAAGTGACAAAAAATAGAAAAAGAAAGTAAAAAATAGTAAAAATTGAAAAATAAAATAGAAAAGTAAAATAAATAGTAGTAAAAATAGAAAAAGACAGGAAAAATTATTTTTTTACATAAATAATAAAATTCTTATCAAGATTTCACTTCACAGGAATTCAATTATTTTAAAGACAATTTTAATAAAATTCTTCTCAAAAATTCACTTATTTTTAAAAATTTTGCAAAAATTCACTTATTTGTAGAAATAAAAAATTTTTTTGCAGGGATTCAATTATTTAAAAAGTTTTAATAAAATTCTATTCAAGAATTCAATTATTTTCAGAAATATTTAAATTGTCCATTTACTGAATAATAATAATAATAATAATAATAATATAATTTCGTAAAAATAACGTAATTTTTTAAAATAATTTTAATTGAAAATTTTGAAAATAATTGAAATTTACAAAGAATTTTATTAAAAACTTTTGAGAACAATTGAATTATTTAGAAAAATTTTATTACAATTTTTTAAAATAATTGAACTTGTTAGAGAAATTCTATTAAAATTATCGTGAATATAATTGAACTTTTTCCTAAAAATCTTATTAAAATTGTATTGAAAATAATTGAATTTCTCAGAAGAATTTTTTATTTACAAAAATAATTGAATTATTGCCAAGAATTTTACAATTTATAAAAATAATTGAATTGTTTCGAAGAATTTTATACCAGAATTATTGAAAATAATTGAATTTTTATTTAAATTCTTAAAAATAATTGAATTGTTTTGAAGGATTTTATCTGAATTTTTGAAAATAGTTGAATTTTTTGAAGGAATTTTATTAAAAATTTTTGAAAATAATGATTTTTTTAAAAGAATTTAATTAAAATTGTTGAAAATTATTGAATTTTTATTAAAACTCTTCAAAATAATTGAATTTAAATAATAGTTTTAAAAACAATTTCATTCTTTCGAGAAATTTTATTAAAACTGTATTGAAAATAATTGAATTGCTCTAAAGAATTTTATTATTTATGAGAGTAATGAAATTCTTGCGACAAATTTTATTAAAATTTTATATTTTTAAGAATATTATTTGCTGGTAGAAAAATAAAGTAAAAAGGGAATAAAAATAGAAAAAGAAAGTAAAGAATGATAGAAATCGCGAAAATAGAATAAAAAGTAATATAAATAGGAAAAGAAAGTAAAAAATAATAAAAATTGTAGAAAAAAATAAAAATAGAAAATAAAGTAAAAATTAATTTTAAAGAAACCAAAAATAAACGTACATTTCTTGTTGAGGGAAATTGAGAGTAATAGAAGCACTCGTTTTGTCAACGTATGCACAATATCCCATAAATCCTACAATTGCATAAATAATAGTTGCTCCCAGCATTCCTTTATTAAGAATTCCAAAATTGCCCAAGAAATTCCTTGGATTTTTCATTTTGTTCTCCAAAGGCATTATCACACCTGCAAAAAAAAAAATAGAAAAGAATTAAATTTTCTATTAAAAAAAAAAAATATTTTTCATATTAACATATAGTTAAAAATATTTAATATCCATACCGATAGCTTCGATTGCAAATATAGTGATACTGACGAAATTTGGAAATTTACTTATTTCAGCTGTCATTGGAACTTCACTCAATGGATGAAAGTTCTTAATCAAATAGTAAAATGCAATTGCCAAACTGATTCCCATAAAACCATTCGCAACCATTGAAAATGGTGCAAGATATTTTAAATTCGGAATCCAACACATAAGAATCAATGGAATCAGTAAACATGCTATAAAAATTCGTAGGTTAATGTCTGTATTGAAGTAATGATCCAATACTTGTTTGAAATTTTCGGCAATAATCACTGAATAAACGCTCACTGCTCCGAAATATGTTATGAAGAGACAAATTCTAATTAGATATCTGAAATTTAAAATTTTATTAAATTTAATTATCAAATTAATAATAATAACAATTTTTCCCTCGTAAAATAAAAAAAAATAATAATAATTGTGATAACATAATGATAATTAGCTAAAGAAAAAACAAATAATAATTAATTTTTATTTTTTAATAATAACAATTCTATTATTTTTTATTTTCCTAAAAGTTTGAACAAACAATATTTTTTTGCTCCAATATTTTAAAAAGAAGAACATTGTAATTAAAAGAACATTGTAATTAAACTATTTATTTAAAAAATATTTTTTTAATTATTAAAAATTATTTTGTAAAAAGAATTCAAATTCAAAGAAATAATAAAAATATCGTCGTTCATTTGAACGTTCAAAACTTTCTTTTAGAGACATTTTTCATTATTATTATTATTTAAAAATAATCATTTTAAATAATGTTAATTTATAAAAAATATAAATAAAAAAAAATTGAATATTAATTAATATTAATAAAATAAATATAATAAAAATAGAAATTATTTTACCCGAAGGGTTTTGCGAATTTTTTTCCCCATTCTGGACCTGTGGAGAATGCAGCTTCCGCCACTTCCGCAAAGGTCATTTGTGATTGTCTGCATCGGTAGTAAAGAACATGTGCACATTTTACAAGAATATAAGAACAATGTGTACAAATGAAGGCAACAAGAAAAGTTGATATAAATCCCATAAGATAACCTGCATTTTTAAATGCGTCAGGCATTGATAAAATTCCAGATCCTAAGCATGCTTTTAATAAATGCATTAGAGTATCACAATCTCTGGAAATAATAAAATTAAATTATTATTTACAAATAATTGACAACAATTTACAAAAATTTACAAAGATTAACAAATATTTGGAAATTATTCCCATTTTTTTCAAAGTAATTCAATTTTAAATATCAAACAAATTTTCTACTAGAAAAAAATTTTTTTCCGAATATCTAAATTTATATTCTTTTTGAAAAAGTAAAAAAGTACAATTTTTTTTATTAAAATAAAAAAATGAAAAACAATTAGAATTGAAAAAAAAGAAAAAAATTCAAACAAATTTTCTACTAAAAGAATTTTTTCCGAATTTTTAAATTTATGTTCTTTTCGAAAAAAAAGTACAATTTTTTTTATTCAAATAAAAAATTTGAAAGAATATAGAAAAAAGTAGAAAAATATAGAAAAACTAATTAGAATAGAGAAAAAGCGAAAAAAGAAAAAAATTCTAACAAATTTTCGACTAAAAGAATTCTTTTTCCGAATTTTTAAATTAGTATTTTTGAAAAAATAAAAAAGTAACATTTTTTTAATTTGAATACAAAAATTAGAATAAAAAAATAGAAATATAAAAAAATTAGAATAGAAAAAAAAATTCAAACAAATTTTCAACTAAAAGAATATTTTTTCCGAATTTTTAAATTTATGTTCTTTTTAAAAAAGTAAAAAAGTACAATTTTCTTATTTAAATAAAAAAATTGAAAAAAATAAAAAAAATTAGAATAAAAAAATAGAAAAATATAGAAAGCAATTAGAATAGAAAAAAGCGAGAAAAGAACAAAATTTAAACATACTATTTTCTACTAAAATAATTTTTTTCCGAATTTTTAAATTTATATTCTTATTGAAAAAATAAGAAAGTTACAATTTTTTTTATTTAAATAAAAAAAATTGAAATATTATAATCTAGAAAAAAATAAAAATATAGAAAAAAAGAGAAAAAAGAAAAAAATTCTTACGTCGTTGAAGTTTTCTGGTCCCGATGAGCAAAAGGATCAAATTCTTCAGTTCGTCCCACTTCTTCATCTTGGTTATTTTTTCTATTAGGAAAAAAAAAACAAAATAGTTATTTATGATACAAGTGCGTAAAATCGTTGATTATACGAGTGTGACGTTTGCAGCTCGAGCCGAAGGCGAGTGCTGCAAGTCACACAAGTATAATCTGATTTACGCACGAGTGTCATACAAAATTTTTTGCAACACTAAAACAACTAAACTTGCAGCAATATTGCCAATATTACTGAAAGTTTAGGTGTAGTGGGGGAACTGTTAAATGAAGTTTTCTAGAAGCTAAAATAAAAATGTGATTGTAAATTGTTGTTTAAAAGCTTTAATTCATGGTTTCTCATCAAACAGTCACAAGAATGCGTAAAGTAATCATTTTACGCACTGAAAATCACTTTACACACTGGAATTCACTTTACACACTGCTAGCGGTGTGTAAAGTAACACTTTACACACCGCTATAAAATGAAGTACTTTACACACAGTTTTCTGTGTGTAAAATTCAATTTTACAGGTTAGTGTTGCAAAAAGGTTAATTTACAAAATTAAATTTTTTCTTCGAAAATTAAAATTCTTTTTAGACAAATAATATTTACCTTTGAGTTCCATTTCCTGATTTTTCGATTAGGGGGAAAGCGTTCTTATCCATTTTTGTTTATTTCTTTCTAATTGGCCTGTTTGAAAAAAAAAGTATTTAATGATAACAGAAAAGAAATTAATTACAGCATTATTATCGTTTTATGAAAAAATTACGTTCTATAAAAAAAAGGAAAAAATTAGAACAAATAATATAAAATGTGTGAAAAAAAAATATTTTTGGCAAAATTTGAAAAGCTGATGCAATCTTTAAATTCGATGACACCTGACAAACATATATACAGAGAAAATAATTATATTTATTTTTTCATTTGTAAATAATTACGTTCAATAACACAATTCGTGACTTTATGAGCAAATAATTCAAGATAATTAATTTCGATAGTACCTACAATATTCTCCACGTGTATTTATCGTTATGAAAATATTTCACAGTTTTTTTTTTTTAAATTAATAACTAAATAGTAAAAGAAAAATAGAAAATTAATAGAAAAATTAAACAGTAGATAAAATAGTAATTGAAAGAATATTTGGATTTTACATTGCCTCCAGTGAAACAAGAAATAATTTTTATCTCTTAATTTAAAAATCCAATTTAAAAGAAAATGAATTTGTTTTGAAAAAAACATTCATTTGAATATAAATTAATTATTTAAAAAACAAATAGTTTACCTGAGAATTTGACCAAATTAAAATCAACTCCTTTTTCGAAATGAAAAAGTGTCAATTTTCTGAAGATGCTTCTCTCTTGAAGAACGTTAAATATATAAATGATTTTCGAAGCAAATGAGTTTCCATAGGAATTTTCTTCTTCTCTTCTTTCTCCCCCTACTGGAAAATCCATTAACAAAACCTCACGTTCCGAAAAATCTATTAGTTTAAGTTTGTCCTGTTGATATTGTATATCTTAGACTATCAGTCATAAAATTACTATACTTAAAGTTGTATTTAATTTTTTTCTAATGGAAAACTATTTATAGATAGATGATCTATTTATAGAGACTTTCAAAAGAAAAGTTATTTTTAATTCTTTCTCTTTCTGGGAAAAAAGAAAAAAAAATTGTGTCCCATCTGTTAACAGTGACAACAAAAACTGTTGAATTAATTTCAATTTTCAAACATAATTTCAATGTTAATGGGTTTCGAATATTTTTAGAATTATTCACTGTTTGAATGACAATATATTTGAAATTTTTTTTCACTACGAAATTAATTTTTTCCCTTTTTGGTTTCTTTAAGAATTTTTTTTTATTTTTTAACTATTTTTCTAATCTTTGGCTATTTTTAAAAATTTTTTTTGTATTTTTCAATTGCCTTTTTTTTGAAAGTAAAAAAAGTGAAATATTAAGTTTGAAATTATTGAAGACTGAATAAATTTTCAAAAATTCGAATTATATTTTGTTCTTGTAGAAATTACAACTAAATTTATCCTAAATTTTTATAAGTAAAAAAAAGCTTATCTTCGATTTAATAAGTAGAGCATAAGAATTTTTTTCTACGCATATTAAATAAATTAATATTAAATATTTCCACTGGTTTCGATGAGTTAAATTGGGAGATACTTTTTTCGTGCGATAATAAAAAGTATACTTGCGGCTTTCGAGTTCGATTTTTTTTCTACTTTAGACACGAATCCTCTTTGGATTGGCATTAAATCGGAAAAATAATTCCGTTTTGACTTCATTTCAAGTTATAAAGTTTATAAAAGTATATAGTTCTCGTCAATGATTATAAAAGTTATTTTCTTCAGTCGTGGTTTTCATCTCAAGTTCCTTTTTTTCTTCCTCTTCTTCTTGATGTTCAACAATCTCTTTTTGTACATAATAAGTAGCAATTTTTATTCCTCATTCTCAACGTATTATTTAAATAAGTAAATCTATAGAATCATTTGTAATTTTCTTGCGGGTGAAATTGTACATTATTTTCTTTTTTCAAGATTTATTTTCACACAGAAAACTGGGCAATTATGTCTGATATGGCATTTTTTGAGCCAACAACAACAGCTATGAGTCCAATAATGCCAATAATTATATTCTTTATCATCATCCAATTTCCTGGACCAAAACCAATATCCCAGTAGGTCACCGTTTCAATTATGATTGGAATTAAAAGTCCAAGGATCGAGAAACAAAATGCGCCTATTAGACTGATGAATGGTCCGATTGTCGGCACTGCAATTGCCAAAAGAACTGGAAAAGTAATTTTTTAATTTAGAAAAATATCGAGAGAGATAAAAATTAAATTTCGGTCAAATTTAGACAATATTAATTATTAACATTTTGATATTAATTAATAAGTGTTTATTTTTTAAATTATTATTGGTTTATTAATGAAATAATAGTTTTTGTGTGTGGAATAAAATAATTTACCCGCGCTGGTCACTATGGCAGTCCTAACAAAATAATTTGCGGCAATTTTCTTTTTTTCAAAACGTTCTTTCAGTCCATTCCAAACAATATCCAGGCAGACGAAAAATTGCAGACCAAAAGTGAGAAATACGGCGATGGCAATAAATAATTTTACAAGTTGGGCGGGACTAGAAAAAGAAAAGAATAGAATTTATTATTGTTAATAAAAATTATTTACATTGCTTTAAATTAGGGTGAAATTTATTTATTTTCTATAAATTATTTTATTACTCACAGTTCTTCTCCAAGATTCAAAGTGATGGTATCTTTTGTCTTTTCGAGAAATGCACAATAACCCATAAATCCCAAAAGGGCATAAATTACAGTAACTACAAACATTCCTTTATTGAGAACACCGAAAATTCCCACAAAATTTTGCGGCGTTTTCATATTATTTTCTAGAGGCATCATCACACCTGAAAATTTAATTAAAATGCAAATATATAAATAGAAAATAAAAATAAAATTCAAATAAAAATATTTAAATACAAAATGTAATATACAAATAAAAATAAAATACAAATATTAAAATATAAAATAAAAATACAAATATTAAAATATAAAATAAAAATACAAATATTAAAATATAAAATACAAATAAAAATATTTAAAAAAATACAAAAATAAAGTAAAATACAAAAAATAAATACAATTAAAAATAAAATACAAATATTTAACTACGAAATTCAAATACAAATACGAATTAAAAATGTAAATAATAGAAAACAGAAATAAAAATATTTAAATACAAAATATAAGTACAAATAAAAATAAAATACAAATATAAACAGAAAATACAAATAAAAACATTTTAGTTAAAATACAATATACGAATAAAAACAAAATACAAAAGAAAAATGATAATTCTAAATATTAAAAACTATAAACGATAAAATTCAGTATCATCAACTTTTCTTTTCTTTTGTGGTTATTTCATCAACGGAATTTGAACTTTTTCGGCATTTTTCTATTCCATAATACAATACGAGATAACATTCTCAGTCGACAAGAAATATAATCCTTTTTCTTTTGTTTTACGACTATTAAGCGTAGACAATCAGAAATTAAGTAATTAGTAAATAATGACGATAATGACACATTATGAGACTTTTAAAACGCTCATAACCTCATAAATCAACAACACTTCTGATTGGCCGACTTAACGATCGAGAATATAGATATCGATATATATCGAAATTAGAATTTTGAAAAACAGAATTGAGAGAAATTAAAATTATAAAAAAATTACTCACCTATTGCTTCCATGGCGAAAATAGTGATACTAATAAAATTCGGGAATAATTCGTAGTTTTGAACTAATGGTACTTCCTTTAAGGGATGAAGATGTTTAATCATGTAATAAAACGTAATTGCCAAACTGACACCCATGAAACCGTTGGCAACCATGGAGAATGGTGCGAGATATTTTAAATTCGGAATCCAGCATAAAACAATTAGCGGAAGTAATAAGCACGCTATTAAAAGTCGTATATTTATTTGTATATTAGCATAATGTTCTAAAACTTGTTGGAAATTTTTTGCAATTATTACTGTGTAGACGCTCACTGCTCCGAAGTAAGTTACGAATAGACAGATCTGAATGAAGTACCTGCAAAAACAACAATTAACGGTTTGGCTCAGTTGCAATTTGCAAACGATACAAAACGAAATCAAGCGTTTGAATAAGTAAACCAAGTAAACAATAAAGTGAATCAGTATAACTAAAAGTGATACAATGAAAAATAATGGTTAAAAAAAGGAGTGAACTGTTTTTCTTGTAAATAGAAACAAAATTTTCGAAAAAATCCTCGAGATTTAAAGATTAGTTTCAAAACCTAACCTCAAAATTTTTGTTCATAAATGCAAAATGGTTCAACCGTTCAACTTTTCTATAGGTAAACTAGTAAAATTGAGTTGAATAGACACATGTCTAATGATTAAGTAAGTAAAATAATGATTAAGCAAAATATTTAACTTAAACATGAAAAATAGTGTTAATTTCTTCTCTGACCTGAAGAAAGTTGAATATTTTCTTCCCCATTTAGGTCCAGTGGCGAATGCCACTTCGGCAACGTCTGCAAAACTCATTTGTGTTCTTCTTGTACGATAATATAATGTGTGGGCGCATTTTACTAAAATATAGGAGCAATGAGTACAAACGAATCCTACAAGAAATGTTGCCACGAGGCCAATAAGAAGTCCAGAATAAGTAAATGCAAATGGCATCGAAAGAATTCCAGTTCCAAGGCATGCTTTCAACAAGTGAGTAAATGTTTCACCATCTCTACAATTAATTATTACTGTTATTAAAAATAGAAATTTTTATCTATTTATCAAAAGTAAAATTATCTACTTAGTTCTATGTAATTAATTCTGAAAAATATCTTACGTTGTTGGATTTTTTATATCACGTTCGGTGAAGGGATTAAAAGTTTTTTCGTTTTGCTTTTGAGATTTTGCCTCCCCATCTCTTGAGGCAATTTGAACTTGTCTATAATTATGAATAATCAAAAAGTATTATTATTTTCTTTAGAATATAATTATTATTTATAATAATAATTTATTATTGATTAATGAAATTTTTAACGTTAAAAATTAATAATTTATTATTATTATTATTATTATTATAATTATTATTTGTTAAAATCAATTTATTTGATTTAGAAATAATTACGCAAACCATTTAATTATGAAATTGCTCTACGGGAAGAAAACATTATTATAATACTCAAAAGATTATAAATAATCTTTGGCGATTAGTTTTCGAAATTAGAATTAAGATGTAATCATTTAAAGTGTAATTGATATCGTTGATAAAATTACATCCCTTTTAACTTCCGAGAGGAATTTAATCAATCGATATATTATCTTTATCGTTATTATACACAGGGACTCTTCATCATATGTTTGTTTTAAAACTTGTCATTAATCTTATCTCTCATCTCAAAGAAAACTCTCAAAAAGTTAATGGCCTCAATTGAAAAAGAAAAAATTAATTTTTCCTCAATAATTATGAAAATAAATTTTTGTTTTTTCATTGAAAAATATAAATGAATTTATGGAAAACTAGTCTATCTCGGCAATGACCGTTATACTGCGCATTCTAATTTTATACGCATATAGGGTTGGCTTTCCTTTTCGAAATCTTTTTTTATTAATACCGTTATGTAAAAAAATTCAACTTTTGCACTAAATAGAAATCTTTTATGAAATTCTCACACGTTATGCAGATTATTTATTTATATATTTTGTTTTTGTTTAATTGTATTTAATTATATTCAATTCTATTCAATTCTATTCAATTCTTTTCAATTCTATTTAAAAATATTTAATCAACGATTAAATCTCTCGTGTTTAATCGTTAAAAAATAGTTTAGATCTTTATCTCCCAGTTAATATTGTCAATACTTTTCGGTTCATTTGTTTGTTAATAATAAATATTTATATTTAAAGGCAAACACTTATTACAAAATTGATTTTGAAAAAAAATTTCGGTTTTAATTGGAATTTAAACAGAAAATAATTAATTATGTTTAATAACTTATTCCAATCCCAGAGAGAATTTCTTAATGTCAATAATTGTGAACACATTTTTTTGTCACTTAAAAATTATAATAAGTAAATTTAAATAAATTGAATTAAAATTATTAATTCCATTGAATAAAAATAAAAATTATAATTTAACTAAATTAATTTAACTAAAATGAATTTAATTGAATTAATTTAATTAAATTACAATAGATACATTCAGTAAATTAAATTCTTTGAAAAAATTAGGTACTATAATTTTTTTAATTTATTTGAATAGTAATTTTAATTGAACGATACTCACTGACTTGGCATCCTTCACAAAAGAAATCTTCCGTAAATTGTCAATACACTTTTTACAGCAATAAAAATGGGAAAGAATTGTAAATAATTCAAACGGGGAAAATTTAACTTTTTCTATTATTTTTTGCAATTAAATAGATACTTGAGTTAAAAAAATAGAGTTTTGCACAAAATTTGTTTTTTAATGTAACGAAATTATTTTAATTTCATTTCTTTTTTATTTTTTTTGTTTTACTTTTTTAATTTTAATTTTTTACTCTCTTGCTTTTAATCTTTTACTTTTTTGCTTTTATTTTTCTACTTTTTTGCTTTTAATTTTCTACTTTTTGCTTTTTATTCTTTACTTTTTATTCCTTACTTATTTAATTTTTATTTTATATTTTTTTCAATTTTTACTTTTTTTAATTGAATATATTTAAAATTATGAAATAAAAATTGTGCTTGTATCTTTTTTAAACTGACTTCTTCTTCTTTGAATTCACAATACTATATTAATAGTGAGACGTGCTGCACTATTAAACTCATCTCCCTCTTCTTTTATTTCCCCCTCTTTCATTTTTTGCCTAAAACTTTATTCATTCAGTGAAATTTATTCCTAATTAACTCTACCCTCACGTAACGTTCATTAATAATTATAATATACTGTTAATTATTTTCATACATTCTATATTTATAATTGTTTATGGAAAACAACTTCTGATTTCACGTGTATGCATAAGGAAATTATTATTTTAAATTTTTATACTAATTAAATTAATTAATTTAAATTAATTTCATTTCATTTCATTCAATTTGAAAAATTTCGTGAATTGAAAAATTCAACACAATTGAACAAATAATTTTAACACTCCAATAAAATATTTAATTTTTATCTCTTCCTAATATTAAAGAGAACAAAAAAAATTATTCAACTGTTAAACTTGTTACAAAAAAAAAACTGCGCCTTTTTAAAAAATCTTTTTTAATATATCAATAAATTTTTTATGAACAAAGATTCTAATCTATATTTTTACAACTGAGTTAAAAGGATCAAAGTAATGAATAAGCTGATTAAACATAAAATTATTATCTTCGAATAACTTTAACGATTTTTGTTTCATCACGTGAATTAAGAAAATACCATTTTTAGAGAAATCTATTTTCTTAAACTAAATTTATACGTTTTACAATCAATATAAAATGTATTTTGGAGATTTTTTTTTCATAATTTAAAAATAATTTACAAAAATTGTTTCCAATATAAATTTTTATTTTTGCCAACAAGGAAAATAATTTCATTCAAATAAAAATTCTTTCAATAAAAATAAACTAATAAGGAAAATGATTTCTTTCGAATAATGCAATATAATAAATTCTTTTACGGTTGGAATATTTTTTTCCAATTAATATTAAAAATTTGTGAGAAATAACATTTTGGAAAATTAATATTTAAATTTGTTTTTCGTACTTACAACCATTGGAATAATTTATTTGGAGATTTTTCAATTTTTATCTTTTCCCGTTGCCTCTCACTTTTTTCGGTTATTTCTCTCGCACTTTTCGTTAGAACAGAAATGTTATTTTCTATCTGGTTCATTGTGAAATTTTTTTCTTACCTAAAAAAAGTGGAAAATATTTCTAATCTGAAGTTCTTTTAAAGCAATTTCCATGTTATCGATATTTAAAGATTAGAAAAATTTATGAAAATTCATATTTCTTCATTAAAATTCATAAAGTGCACAGCGAGTTTTTTTTTAAATAAAAAGACAGAAAGTGGATCAAAAATTTAGTAATAATATTATATTCCGTGTAAAAAAATATAATAAAAAAACATTTAATAGAAAAAAATAATAATAAAATGTAATAGAAAAAGAGAAAGTATCAAAAAAACACAAAAAAAAAAAATTAATAAATTTTTTTTTCTTAACAGAAAAAATAGTAAAATATAATAGAAGAAAAGTTGAAAAATTAAAAAATAATAAAGAATATAATTAAAAAATAGTACAAAAATATAATGAACACTAAAAAGATAAAATTTCCCAAATTTTCCTCAAAAATTGAAAATTTTTGCCAATAAGATAAATGCATAAAATTACCTTTATAATTACTAAATAATACTTCTAACGCACTCAGTTATTACCAAAATATTTAATTCTATAATTAGTAAACTTAAAAAAAAGTTGTAAATTTAATTATGAATAAGGAGTTAAAATGTTAAAAGTAACGGAAGTTTGCAATTGATCCGACTGCTAATCGGATCAATACTGATTTGTGTCAATAGAAGATACTTTTAAAATATACACGTCTGAGTGGAATTTCTTCAATCACTTTCAGATATAATTTTAGATCAAGATTGAAATGTCCGATTAAAGAAAAAAAGAAATTTTTCAAGTACATATGCAATACTCTCTTTTTTGCGTATTAAAAATATTCTCACATTTCAATTTTCTCTCTGCAATGAAAAAAAAAACTCTTTCCCATATTTCAATAAACATGTGATTAATTTTTATTTTTTTTTCTTTCCAAATTACTTGAAACTTAATATAAAATTAATATTTTAGACTATTATTATAAATTTAACTTATTATACAAAAAACTTAAACTTAATCCTTAAAATTAATGCTTAAAAATTAAAGCTTAAAATTAAAACATAAAACGAAGGCTAAAACATTGAACTTTATATCAAACACACATACTTAAAATCTAAATTGATTTCAACTAAAAGCTTAAATTTAAATCAATCTTAATTCGAAAGGTCAAACTTAAATTAATCTTAATTTGTATTTATAAACTATAGTAAAAATTACAAATTCTCTCATGACAATAAAAAAAAAATTAATTGCGAGAATAAAACAGTTGACTTTTTTTATACATTAAATGTACGTTTATTCGATCGGAAATTAAATTTCTTCGGTATTTATTAAAATTTTACAAAGTAAAATAATAATCGTTAAACTAAATTTTCATTAGTCTTTGAATTTTCAGTATAGAAAAAGAATCGCTCTAACAATAGATAAAAAATTGATCCACAAAAATATAGTAAACAATTATTTGTAAATATTTCTGTCTGTCAGCATTAAATTTCTCGTCAAAAATCCAATATTAAAATATTTGAATTCTGCATTAGAAAATACAGATAAAAAGTCACACTTACAAACTCTTAGTTGTAAAAATTTATAAGAAATTTACCAACAGTTCAATTAAATTAACAAACAGTTGAATTTCAATAAAATCAATAAAATTTACAATTTGTATAATTTATAAAATTTTACCATTTTTCAAAATGGTTTACAAAGATCGGTTTTAAAATTCACAAAAAAGGTTTAATAACAATAATTAATTAATGTTTAAACTAAAAGAAATTTTTTTTGACTAAAAATACAATTTTTCAAGTGAAGAATTTACTTTGTCAATGTATCGAGCTTTTCAAGTAATTTCTCTAATAAAGGTAACAATAATGCCTATTAATGAAGTTAGTAATTAATTTTCCTTCGTCAAGTCAGAGAACGAATCAGAACTTAATAAGAAGTACCTATAGAGTCGAATACTGTTAATGTCTGTCTTAACATAATGAAGTTTGTTCTTAACAAAAAAAAAAAAATAAAAATAAATAAAAAAAAATCAATTCGCTACTTACTTCTAAATTTTTTCGGTTTCTATTAATTGTACTTGGTTTTGAAGCAGTGCGCTTTACATGAAGAAAAAAGCAAACAAATGAGAGTTTATTTTTGAAAATTTACTTTCATCACTTATCACTTCTCAAATGTTCCTTTTTTATAGTCTAAAAGTTTACAATTAACTAAATTTTTATTTTCATGTTTTAACTGTTAAATATTAATATTAATAAATATTAATTAATATTATTAATATTTTTGACTGTTAAATATTAATATTTTAATTCTGGTAAATATTAATAATAATTAATATTCTTGACTGTTAAATATTAAATATTAATTAATATTTTTGACTGTTACAATATTCTTTCGTTTGTGCAAAAATAGTTTCTAAAAATGTTATTTGTTTTTTTTTATCACTTTCATAAATTACTTTCATTGAAAAGTAATACAATACGCATTACTTCCTCTTAACGATGATTAGTGTGTATTACAAAATGTATAATTACATTTAATTATTCAATTATGTATACCACTCATGTTTGATAAGTAATGTACACAATTAACTTTTTAAATCCATTAATGTACATAATTTTGCTTTTTGATATTTATAAATAGAAAAGTAGTTATATACGTGAAATGCTATCTCTGAATTTCTCGTCACTTTTGTTTCCCTCTTTTTTTTTGTTATCGTTCATTTCCTCTTTTTCCGGAGTGTATAAAAAATATTCGAAATACAGAGAGTAAAGGCTGAAGAAAAAGTTTTTTCTCTGATAAAATTTTAGTCTTGAGGTCAGTCGGTGGCTTGAAAAAATTTGAGAAATAAGACAAGTTTTTGTCAAAAGGAAAAAAAAATAAAACTAAATTATAAATTTATCGTGGCATTCGTAATGGCACTAAGTAAATTTGCCACCGTCGTAGTATTATCGGCAGCGAAAGGATTATCGTCTGCATCAGAGGTGAAGGAATCATCTTTAGGCATGTACACTTTAATGATGTCAACTAAGGCACTTTGAGATCCAAATACTAGAGCCAAGACGCCTATTATACAAATAACAATATTCTTTATGGCTACCCAATTTCCTGGTCCGAATCCAATGTCCCAGTAGGTGACAGTTTCAATGAAAACGGGAATCAAAAGTCCCAGAATTGAAAAGCAGAAGGCTCCCAATAGACCGATGAAAGGTGCAATTGTCGGCACGGCCACTGCCAATAGAACTGAAATAAAAACGAATTTTTTCCATTAATTTCCAAAATTCTTAATCAATTAATTAAAATTCTTTAATTCTATTATTAACACTATTATTAATTTTTAATTTAATTTTGATATCAAGCTGAAGTTCGCAACGAGTTTAAGAAACGAATCGACAATTCTAAGAGAATTAAATATTTATCTAGAGATACAAATTTTTAATGTAAATCGTACCCGATCCAGTGACAAGGACTGTTCTCATTATGTAATTAGCAAGCAAAGGTCTCTTTTCACATTTGCCCTTAATTGCATTCCATCCAATATCTAAACAGACGTAAAATTGAAGACCGAATGTACAAAAGACAGCGGCACCAACGAGTATTTTAACAGCCTGTGCGGGTCTATAACAAGAAAAATACAATTATTTCCCTCTTTTTCTCTTTAACAGTAAAAGAAATTTAATGAGATTAATTTAGTTAACATTAAATTAAATTAATTAAATCAAATTAAAATAAATTGCATTAAATTATTAACATTAAATTACATTATATTAATTAACATTAAATTAAATTATATTATATTAATTAACATTAAATTAAATTACATTATATTAATTAAAAGTAAATTAAATTATTTAAATATAATAATCCAAATGGAAAAAAATTATGTAATATATTTTCTGAAAGAAAAGGAATTAATTAATTTGACAAAAATTAAATTTTTATTTCCGACGAAAACTTACATTTCATGAACTGGAAGATTCAAGGTAATAGAATCCTCAGTATGATCTGGATACGCACAATATCCGAGAAAACCAAGAAGAATGTAAATCATTGTGACGCCACCCATTCCTCTATTGAGAACTCCACAAATGCCCGTAAAATGCTGAGGAGTTTTCATACTATTTTCAAGAGGCATTACCACACCTAAAAAAATAAATCTTATATTAATTAAATCTGAAATAATTGAATTCTTATATTAAAGAAATTTATCCAAATATTTCAAAATAATTCCATTTCTTGAGAAAAATTTTATTAATAAAATCTTTAAAAATAAGTTAATTTTTTAAAAATTTTACGAGAAATTTAATTAAAATAATATTAAAAATATTTAAATTCTTAGTTTTATCAAAATTTTTGAAAATAATTGAATTTCTGCAAAGAATGTTGTAATTAACATTTTTTTTTAAATAATTGAATTCTTTTGAGAAATTATTTTACAATTTTTTCAAGAAATGTTATTAATTAATTAATTAATTAATTAATTTTATTATTTACTAAAATAATTGAATTATTTGAAAGAATTTTATTTGAAATTTAAAAGTAATTGAATTTCTGCGAAGAATTTTAATATTTATGAAAATAATTGAAATATTGCTAAGAATTTCATTAAAATTGTCGAAAATAATTGATTTATTTCCAGGAATTTAATTAAAATTGTAGTAAAAATATTTTAATTTTCATAAAGTCTAAAATCAAAATTTTTTGAAAATATTTAAATGATGAAAATAATTCAATTCTTGGCAAGAATTTCATTATTTACTAAAAATCATTAAATAATAATGAAATTTATCAACTTTTATTGTTTATTAATTTAAAAAAAATGATTTTTAATGGAATTTTAACTTTATTTTGTTGGAAAACTGTTGAATTAATTTGAAATACTCACCGATAGCTTCCATGGCAAAAATGGTTATACTGAAGAAATTTGGAAAGCCGGAAAGTGGTGCCACTAGAGGAATTTCATTAACTGGATGAAGATTCATTACTAGATAATAAAATGTAATTCCCAAACCAGTTCCCATAAAAACATTCGCTACCATTGAGACTGGTGCGAGATATTTTAAATCGGGCACCCAACTCAAAAGTATCAAAGGCACCAATAAGAGGGCAATAATAAATCTCTCATTGTAATCCACTCCCGTATGATGTTCGATAACTTGCTCAAAGTTTCTTGCAACAATTACCGCGTACACACTGCAGGTACCAAAGTAGGTTAAAAACAAACTTATTTCAATGAGATACCTGTAACAGAATTAATTCATTTCATTAATTAACTTCAATTATTTCTTATTAAATTTCTAATTAATAAAAATTAAATTAAATTTTTTCTTGCCTAGAGAATTTCGAGAATTTTCTACCCCATTTGGGCCCACTTGCAAAGGCAACTTCCGCCACATCTCCAAAACTCATTTGCGTTCTTTTTGTTCTGTGATACAAAACGTGAGCACATTTTACCTGGAAAAAGAATTTTTAATATTCAATTAGGGAAAATGTATTTTTTTTCTTCAATTTATATTTTTAATTCTTTATTTTACATTCAAAAAACTTCATATAAAAATTTGTTTAAAAAAAGTTGGTTTATTTTATAAATATTATTTATGAAAAAAGAAAAATCATAAATAATAAAATAAATTTGAGCAAAATTAACGAAATTTTCTTTTTTTGCAGGGAACAATTTTTTGCAACAATTTTCGAATGAGATTTACTCACAAGGACATAAGCACAATGTGTGCAAACGAAAGCTACGACTATCGTAAAGAAAATTCCGAGCGCAAGTCCAGCGCTTTTGAATGCAACAGGCATTGAGAGAATTCCAGTTCCTAGAGATGCTTTCAACAGATGAGTAAGTGTATCACAATCCCTAAAGAAAAATCAAATAATTTTTTAATAATTACAAAATATAGATTGAGACAAAATTTTCGTCTCAATCAAAATATTTCATTTTTGAATTTTTTTGAATTTTCATACTATTTTTTTAAGTCAACTTAGATCGACTACAAATTCAATTTTATTTTGAAAAGAATTTAATTTACAAAAAATAATTTATAAAAACAATTTACAAAAAACAATTTATAAAAACAATTTACAAAAAATAATTTACAAAAACCAATTTACAAAAAATAATTTACAAAAATCAATTACCAAACAACTTAAGTCTAAATTTTACAAATTGATAATAAATTCAAAGAGAAAAAAAGTAAAAAATAATACAAAATAAATCATAGGGCCTGGAAAAAATATAAATAAAAAAAACTTACGTCGTTGGATTATCTACTTTGCGCTCTAGAAAGGGATCAAATGCCTTTCCGTCGTATCCATTTTCCATATCCCGTGTAAATACTTGAACCTTGTATCTGGAAAATAAAAAAAAATTATTAACGAAGAAATTAAATTAAAATAATAAAAATAAAGAAATAACGAAAAAATTGAACAGTAACTCGATTTAATTAACTAATAAATTTAACCATAAAAATAAATAATGAGGAAATTAAACAATAACTCAATTGAAATAATTGAATTTAACAATTAAAATAAATAAATAACGAAGAAATTGAACACAGTAACTCGATTGAAACAAAACTGAAAATAGCAAAAGTTGATTAAAAAAAACAACTTTTTCTGTAAAATTTACAAAGTAATTATTTCAAGAAATTAATCACAAAATTATCAGTAAAAAAAAAACGTCGGTGAAGTTTACAACTTTTATAATCAATATTTAAATATTAATAAATATTCAAATTGATGGAAAAAAAACCTTCCACGCAGAAAGCAATCAATTTTTTCAATTTACGAATTTTTGTGTTTAGAATATTTACTCAGAAAAATTTTCTTACAAATTTTCCAAACGAAAATATCTAAGAATTTGCTTAGAATAATATTTTTTTTCTAAATCATTGATTTTTTATTTTTTTTTTATTTTTATATTATATCATAATTATATTATAATAATTATATAATAATAATAATAATTATTATTATTATTCTTATTTTATTATTATAAACTTTCTGAACTTTACTAAAGTCGCAAAAAAAGAAAAATGACAATCAAATTTTTTACAGAACTGAAATCGAAAATATTTTACATAACAATTTTTTTTTTTTTATGAATTATTGAAAATACAAAGTTTTGAAAATAATAGAGAAACAGAGAAAATAGCAAAAAGTTGATAAAAAAGCCCCTACATGTTATAAGTAAATTTTTACAAAGTATTTATTACCGGGAGATCATTTTCATAAAATTATCAGTCAAAAAAAAAAAAAAAAAAAATTATCTCAGATAAACGTCTACTAGATTATTGGTTTTCTTGATGTATAGTCATTATAAATAGGTCAAGGAATTCGCACAACATGTTTGTGCATAATTATCAGGTAGTGAGCACTTAGGCAAATTGCGAACAATTCGATTGACAGGATCATTTATCTCATTGATGAAAGGAAACTCCGATTGTATTAATTGAAGACTTTAATTAATAACCGCATAACGAACAAATTTCTCAATGAAATTGTTGCGTTTACTGATTTTCTTTTTTCTTTTTATTTACATTTTTTCCCCCATTCAATTATAATTTACTAAACGGGAAGCAATTTTTGTAGTTTTTCTACTATTTTCGGATTATTATAATTTTCTAAAACAAATATTTCATTATTTTCGAATAATATTATTTACTTATTTATGTTTACTTAAATATTTATTTAATTATTTCTCTACTTTTGTATTTATTTTATTCATTTTTTTTGTATTTTCTTTCTTTATTTTTTTTGTATTTTTGTATTTATTTCTGTATTTATTTTTGTATTTCTTTTTTTTATTTATTTATTTTTGTATTTACTTCTGTATTTATTGTTGCATTTATTTTTGTATTTCTTTTTGAATTTTTTTCTTTTTATCATTTCCTTTTTCTGAATAAGTTCGCATTTTGGTTTCTTTCCAAATTTTCTCGCAATTATTAAAAACTCACTTGTTTGGTAAAACTTCTTCTTTCTTTCCATCCTGGGGAAGGAACGTATCCATCTCCGTAGGAGCTTTATCTTTATATTTTTCTTCACCCTGAAAAAAAATTATTATTTAAAATTATTATTTGTAAAAAATTTGATTTTTATTCTATTATTTTTTATTTTACTATAAAATTGACACTAAAAAATAATTTTTCTTTAACAAAATTTTTAATTCTTTAATTGAAATAAGTTAATAACTCACCATTTTGACTTCTTGTTTTTATATTTTTACAAATTCACCTGAAACAAAACCATTAAAAATTAGTATTAAAAAATTTCCATTTCCAATTTTACAGGAAGAAAATTGACAGAATTTTTTCAATTTTTTTTCCTGTAAAATTTACTTAGGTCTATTTTTTTTAGCTAAAAAAGTTGAGCAACAAAATAAGCATATTTTCACTCCCTCATTAAAATTTTACAGGAAAATATAATTTTAGATTAGATTATTTAAGAGGAAAATTTGCTATTTAAAAAAAAGTCTTCTTTTCGCACTGGAAGACAAAACAATTAAATTAAAAATTTTCTCTTTATATTAAATTGTAGAAAAATTCATAACCTTTAACATTGGGACTTTGATTTCTCATTTGCTTGTAAAGAATTTAAAAATAACGAAAATAATTCTTTTATTATTCCTTCTCTGCGATGATTTTTAATTCTTTCTGCATTTCAATATAATGTTTACTTTGCAATTCTTTATTTTGTTATTGAAATTTTAATCAGTTATTTTAATTTTTAAAATTTTAATCGTTAAAAATATTTTTGTTTACATTTTAATAGTTTTTGCCTATTTTCTCTAAATAAATAATTTTTTTTTATAATTCGCCAAACAAAAAATAAATTTTTACATTTTGCCTTTTTTTCCGTTAATAATTTTTATATAAAAAAAACATTTTGTTTACATTTTGACTATTTTACCAGTGTGAGTAATTAAAAATATATTTCTATAGAATTTACTAAAAAAAAATACAAAAGAGAATTGCAAAAAAAATTTTTTATCAGACCAGTCGAGGTACATATTTGATGCTTCAATTTAATACACGGGATAATATCCGGTATAAAATCGTATATGATAGAATCAACCATCTGTTTAAATATTTTCATATATAATACGTATTAGTTGCGTCAGTAAAAAAATTATATAATTTAAAAAAATTAAAAAATAAAATTCCAGTGCGAATATTTTTCACATAAATGTAATTTTATTATCTCAACATCGTTTTTTCAAACGTAAACATTTTTTAACGGAATGTAAAATAAAACTGACGCTTCTTTCGAAATTTACTTTTTTATTTATCCATTTTTTAATTTTCTATTTATTTTTTATTTACATTATTATTATTTATTTATTTTATTTTCTGAAATGAAATGAAATTTTTTCCATACTTATTTTCAAATAATAATTAAATTAATACGATAAATAAACAATTTATATATATAGATTAATTAAGAAAAAAAATGGATAAATATAACTTTTTTAAAATTGGTTCCAATTATCATAAATGACTTCATTTAACAAAATGAATTTTAAGGTCAAACGCAATTGAGATAACAAAATTACAACATTAAGGATTGTTCGTATGTTTTTGTCATCACAATTTTATCAAATTATTTCGAAATTAAAAATTTTCTTAATGAAATGTCTCGAAAGAGCGATTTTGAAGAAAAAAAAATAAATTACAATATAAATTTACATACAGATTATGAAAAATAAAGTTTGAATTTAAAAATAGTATTTAACAAACTTTTATTAATGTTATATTTGAGACACGATTAAAAGTGACAAGAAAAAACTATTTATTCTTATCTGACCACATTTTACAATCTTTATGTGTATTTTAATTATTTCTCACAAATTTTATAATTTTTAAATTAAAAATTTGCTTTTTAATTTATAAAATTATTTTTATGATTTTATTATTTTTGATTGTTTTTATTTTTCTACTGATATTATTTTATTATTCTTTTATTTTTTATTATTTACACTATGATTTTTTCATTATTAGTATTTTAATTATTTTAATAATTTTTTTATTATTAAATATTATTATTATTATTAAATTCTTTTATCTTGTATTGTTATTCTATTTTATTCACATTTTTTTATTGCTAAATAAAAATAAATAAAAAATTACAAAACTTAATTTTCCTATTGTTCGTAATTGATGAATTATGATTATTAGTGCCCATTTTATTTAATTTATGGACTCATTTGAAATTATGAGAGAAAATATAAATACCGTGTGGTATTTAAAATCAACAACTTTTCTCTTAAACAGTAAACAATAGTTTGATAATAATTCATAAAAGAGTGAAGTAATCTTTTGACAAATGTTTCTTTAGAAATCCATCTTTGTTTGCCAATGAATTATCTTGAATCTATTAAAGCTCACATTGTAAAATAGATGCGGTAATAATAAAGTTTGAAATGACTTGTTACTGTTCGCGCTCATTATTCATGATTTACAATTTCATTGCAAGAAAATGAAAAAAAAAGAAAAATAGAAAAATTCAGTTCTTTTAGTACCAAAACCAAAAAAAAAAGGGAAACAATTTACGAAAATTTACACTTTTCGCTGTTAAATAATAATTATACATACAAATAAATAAAAATAAAACTGACAATAATAAAAATAATAATATTAATAAATATAATTAAATAATTAATAGTAATTTTAAACGGAAAAAATTGTAAGCAATTGACACTAAAAAAATCGCACATAAAAATATTCTAAACATTCAAATTCTACTAAACAATTATTGAAATCTGTCCATAAAATTATTATTCTACGACTTTTAGAATGACATTTTTTTATTTTTCACAGATTAAAAAAGAAGCAATAGGAAAAGTTTTTTTTTGAAAAGAATTTCAAAATTTTTATTATTTGCACAATTTTATTTTACTCATTCAATTTAAATAATTTATAATTGCTTCCTCATGGAGGAAATACATTTTCAAATTATTTTCTGTATAAAATTTTTCCAAAACGCTAATAAAATAAGTAAAAAAAAAATAAAAATTAATTTAAAAAATTGAATATGAAAATAAAATGAAATAAAGAAAAAAATATAGAAATTAAATAAGAAATATTAAATCAGTAAAGAATAAAAATAAGAAAATTACATAAAAAAATCAAAATACATAAATAGATAAAAAATAAAAATTAGTAACAAAATAGAAAAAAAGTAGAAAATAAAAATAAAGAAATAAAATAAAACTATGCAAAATGAAATAAAAAATGGAAATAAATAAAATAAAAAAGTTTACGAGAAAAAAAAAGTTTACAAAAAAAATGTTAAAAGAAATTATAAAAGATTAAAACGATTTTATATAGAGAATGTCAATCGAGATGAATAATAGGACATCAAAAGACATTTCATTAGATGACAACGAGACAGTAAAATTAAATTACACTCGAATTTATTCTGGGACTCGCGTGCTATCATTTTACAAGTAACGTTGTAGGCAGAGGAAGTGCCCTGTTCCCTCAAATTTTTAGATAATTAATTAATAACAAGTTAATAGATTCCATTTGTTCGTTTAGTTTGTATGAAGAAATTATTAACCGAGATAAGAAAATAGAAAAATTGATACTAAATGAATTGTAGTAATTTTTTTCTTTTTGAAAAAAAATTTTAATATTTAACAAAATCAATTACTTTAGCAATTAAACAATAGAATTAAAATAAAATTAAATAAATAATTAGAAATTAAATAAAGAAATAAATAAAAATAAAAAAAATAAATTTAAATAAAAAGTAAACCAACGAATTAATAGAAATTAAAACAATAACTAAGAAAAAATTAAATTAATAAATAATTTTGTAATAATAATTAAACAAAAGAATTGAAATATAATTAATTAAATAAAGAAAATTTAAATAAATGAATAAAATAAATTTAAAATAAAAGTTAAATTAGTAAAAGTAAAAATTAAATACATGAATAATTAAAAATTAAATAAATAAATAAAAATTAACATTTGCAATATTAAAAGATTAAAAATATAATTCCTTCAATAATTTCAGAGTATAAATCATTCTAATTCTAATATAACTGATTTAAATATTTTTTTAGTTCCTCGACTAGAAGCTAACCAGTTAAAGAATAATTTACCGTTAATCTAATTGAGATGCGAATAAAGCCCTGGAGATTATTTGATAAATTTCTTTAGGGAATTTCTTCCATCTACAATAGAAAATTTTTTCCATATTGTAAAATTCACTCTCCGGTTGATTTTAAAAAATTAAAAATTGATTATCGACTTAAATTATTTTTTCCGAAATAAAAAAAAATTTTTTTGCCACAATTTAATTACGAAAAAATTGAAGATAATTATTTTTTAGAAATATTTTTTTTCTGTTTTTCTATATAGAACTGTACCTAAATTTAAAATGAATAGTTGAGAATCTCTGTCTTAGAACCAAGAGTGACTTTAGATATTTCTGAACAAGATTCACTGGCGAAAAACGAAATTCACGTGACGAAAAAGAAAAATTTCTTTCTTTGTTACGAAAATACATGAATTTTAGAATAAATTCTCTGTTTTGCGTCAACAATATTTTTTTAAAAACTATTTTTAACAAAAAAAAAAAAGAAAAAGAGTATTGAAATTATTTTTTCTGAAAAATAAGTTGTATAAAAATTATTTTTTTTAAAAAATTAATTCCATAGAAATTTCTATTTCCTAAATAATTAATTCCATAAAAAATTGTTTTCTCCTAAAAAAATAAATTCTATAGATTTTTAAACATTAATTTCAAAGAAATTGTTTTTTTGTCGTCAATCAAAAAAATTAATTATGTAAATAATTGTTAATCCAGAGAAAAAGATATAATTTTCCATTTTTAGAATGCAGAAAAAAAGAATAATTTTTTTTTTTTGAATAATTATATTTTGAATTAAAGAGTTCTATAATATTACTGATCAATAACATTCCTTGACCTGAGTTTCCTCTCTCGAGACACTCTTTCATATATTTTAATTATTAATTGCCTTTTGTCTCGGATGAGTTTTCCTTATCGGTATAAAATTATTGATGAATGCGCCTCTGTCGTTCTAATATTTGCTACAAAAAATTTTGTTTTATGCTCAAGATAATAATTTTCTTCCTGGACAATTTTTTTAGAATTCATTTTTCTACAACAAAATAAGATTTCTTTTATTATATGAAAAATAAATTAATTGAATAACAAATAAATAAATGAACTAAATAATAAATTCTTTCGTCAAATAAATAAATTTTTAATATTGTGTATTAAATTTTTCTTTATTTATAGTATTTTTATTTTTTTCTATTTATTCATTAGAATATTTTTATTTATTTTTATTTATTTATTAGAATATTTTTAATTATATTTCTATTTATTTATTAGAATATTTATATTTATTTCTATTTATTAATTAGCACATTTTTATTTATTTATTAGTATGTTTTATTATTTAAATTATATTTTATCAAAAAACTTTAGCATCCTTTAACTTTTACTTATCTGATCTCATTTTTAAAACTTGAAAAATCTCTGAATGGAAAGCAAAACTTGTTTTCACAGATTAACATTTTTATTTTTTTTTGAAAATAGATTTTTAGTTCTGTAAAAAGAATCAGACGTCATTTGCAAAGATATGATAATTTTAGTTGGTTAAAAAATATTTATTGCAAAAGATCCACATTAAATATAAACGATTCAAAAAAATATTATTTCAAACTTTGAGTCTAGTTTTATTATTAAAAAAGATAAAAACAAATTTTTTACATTTTATTATTTATTTAATTTTTTATAAATTAATTTAACATTTCGTTCCATTTATTTGCGCAAAAAACAGATTTTTACTTTATTCTTTATTAATTTATAGAAACGAAAAATAAATAAATCGAAAAAAATAAGAAATAAAATAAATAAAAAGATGGAAACAATTAAGAAATATAATAAAAAGAAAAAAAAGAAAAAGAAATAAAAATTGAATTAAATTATTTGTTTAGAATACGAAATAATAAAATAATTATTTTATTATATATTTTATAATATTTATTATATTATTTTTTATTGTAAATATTTACGATAATAATAATAATAATAATAATAATAATAATAATAATAATAATAATATTTAAAAACATTTAAACGGAATTATCTGCAAAAAATAGTTGTATACGATTGAGAGAAAAAATAATTTAACTGATAGAGAGATTGATAATAAATTTTTCACACATAGAATTTATCAAGTTTATTTTATTTGCAATTGACTCAATATTGTTATTGCAACCCCGGATTGCGATTATTCTCGATTTCTTGTCTCTAACAAAATCCACTTAATGGAAAATTAAATTTTGCTCAAATAGTTTTAAAACAAAATTTTCGACACTAATTTTTGGAATGAATGAAAAAACACATTTTTCCTTTCAGAGTTCATTAACATATTTTATTTTCTTAAAAAAAATTAATTTCCCATTTCTTTTTCTTCCTACAAAAATTAATTTTCTACTTTTGTTAGATAAATAAAATTAATTACATTTTTTTAATAAATAAAATAAATTTTTTTTCCTAAAAAAATTATTTTCTCACTTCTTTTCTTCCTAAAAAAATTAATTTTTATATTTTTTTTAATAAGTAAAATTATTTTCTTTTTTTTCCGAAACAAAATTAATTTCTCACTTTTTTATTTTCATGAAAAAAAATTAATTTCGCACTTCTTTTTTTTCAAATAAAAATAAAATAAAAAGAGATACATCAAAAGGAGGAAAAATGTTGTTTTTCTGTATAAAAGCGGATAAAAAAAATAATGTAATTATTATTTTTGTCGAAAATCAATTTAACAATGCGCGTAAATTTTTTTTTCCCCTGAAACTTTTCCTTATTGTGTGAAAAGCTTTTTTATAATTAAAAATACTTCTTTTGTAATGTATTAAAAACATTAAACGTAAATTCAGCTTTTTTTTTTTTAATTATAAAAGACTATAAACACTGATAAAATATTGTTGAAATATTTTTTCTGCACTCTTTACATTAAGTTGCGTCCTCCGGGACTTACGTAAAAAAATTTAATAACAATATCCCATCGTTTATGAATTGAAAAATATTGAGGAAGTTAATATTGCAAAATAAATAAATGAAATATAAAATAATTGTCAATCATTTTTTTTGTAAATTGGTGAAAAAAAATAAATTAAAAAATAAATAAATTTAAAAAATAAATAAATTGAATAAAAATAAATAAAAATAACAAATAAATTAAATAAATAAAGAAATAAATAATAAATGAATAATAAATTAACAATTAGTAAATAAACAAAGACTAATAATTTATTACTAAAATAAATATTAATTACTTATAGCATAAATAATAATAAATAAAGGAATATTAATTAATTAATAAATTAACAATAATAAATATTTGCTTTTCGGTAAAACCTGTTTTTTCATTGTTGAAAAAAACGGATTTGCAATAACAATAATAAATTAATTAAATTGCTATATAATTAATTATACGAAATAGAAAAAAACAGAAATTAAATTTGAAAAAAAGGGAAAAAGTAAAAAAGAAAGAGTTCAATTAGAGAATTCAAGTAGTTGAGGAATTTTGAAAGTAGTATTCTATTCTTAACATGCAGTTAGAGAAGTATTTATCGACTAGAAGCTTTGACAGAGATTTAAAAGGCTACGCGAATTAGAGTAACATTTATGAATAATTCATCTGCATTTTAATCTCAGAGAAAATTACTTAATCTTCTCATTATGAACCATCTGCTCGTATTTAATTTATTAACTCATCAAATTAGGGACGAATTAAATTTTTCTAATCAGATGTATTTAGGTTTAAATATAATTAAAACTCGTCTTTAAAAAAAAAACCTAGCATTTTAATATAATGAAAATATTATTCTGCGTATTTCCAATCGATAGAAATTTGCTTTTATGTAACTTTTTACGATAAAATATTATACACACTAATTTAATGTTCTCGAACTCTAATATACATATCATGAAAAATTGTAAAGAGCTATTTTTTTATTATGACTAGAAAATATAAATCTGCGCCAATTGGAAAAAAAACTTTTAGTAAAATTAAAATTAATTTTTGAGTGACAAAAATTTATTAAAAATTAAAATTAATTACAATTAATTCATTTTGACAAAAATTTTCTCTTCTGCAAAAATGAGTAAATTGTGCGCGAGGAAATAATTAGAATTAATAAAAAGATTCAGAGAATAAAAAAAAAGAAGTTGCATAACAATAAATCACGGTTGATATGCGATATAGGTATTTAAATGTGATAAGCAAATTTGAATGAAAATATTTTAATTTACAAATTAACAGAGAGCATATTGCTAATATGGGAAAAAGGAATATTCATTGTTTGCTCACAATTAGCATTTTTAAAGCCATATTAAACGTAATTTCATCAATATTCCTTATTTCAGTTTCTCGTTCTTAAATTTTAATTATTGAGAAAAAATCTCTTCCCCCAGATTTTAAATAATTTTAAATAATAATTTTATTAATCTAGAGAATCAATAAAAAAATATCCAAGATTTCAATTTTTGCACGTGCTATAATTAAAATTATATATAGGCCATATTTAATTTTGTGATAAAAATAACGAGTAAATAAAAGGTCTATTGTTGATAAAAAAAAAAGAAACATTTTTCCTTGAGCATTATGTACATAAATTTGAATAGAGTGTCGATATTTCGAAATTCAATATTTTCTAAATTTGTAAAACGGGTTTTGACTTTTGCAAAGTTTCTTTTTTCCATCGAATTAAAAAAAAACAGTAACTTCTATTCCTTTATTGTTGATAAATGTGACGTATGCAGTTAGTATGCAGTTTAAATTTTATAACGTAGAACGAATATTTCCCGTGTTTTATACTCTTGTCAAATAAGAATAAATTATATATGGTAATAATTATTTTTATAAAACAAAAAATTGAATATTAAAATAAAAAAGAAAATTTGACAGAGCAAAAAATAATTGCATTTTGAATTTTCTATTATCTGCATAAATTTTATTTTATTACTCGAAACACCAAAAGGTTGTTACATCATACTGCGGGGTATATCAGCATCAGAAACACTTTCGTGATCTAATTTTGCGTAAAAGTTCTCGAAAAAAAAGAAAAACTCACTTTCCACGTGGTTAAAGAACGGTTATAGAAATTATTACGAAACACGTGTCTGAATTTGGTAATTAAAAATATAATTGCAAAAAAAATTTACTTTTTTGCAAAGTTTTTTTTTTTTGGAAAATAACCTAAAATTTTTTTTTGGTAAATTACAATGTGAATTACATCACATTTTACACCCACGCGGCTTGAACCAATTTTCTATAACCTACATCATTGACGTTGGTTTGAACGTTATAATTATTAATAGAATAAATTAATCAATTTCCGTTTTGAGAAAGATAAATTTTTCCCCTTAAAACCATTTTTTCGGGAGTTCAATAGCGAAAGAGGCAAGCATTGATTTTAGAGTAGTTTTTATACACAACGAATAAAATGAATAGAAGTAAAGGGTTAGCTAAAAAAATACTCGTGGTGTGCTTTAGTACGTTGAAGCTTACCTGGTTTTTTCTTTTCTTAGAAAGAGAGATAGTAATTTTTAAAAAATGTTGCACTAGATTAATTTGAAATGAAGCACTAGTTTAGACTCATTACACGCGAAATTTATATTCACTTTTAATTTAGAAAGGAACTATTTTATATTATAAAAAAAAAATTATAAGAGTTCACGCCGCACAGGCAACTGCGCGAACCGGCGAACGAATGCACACATATCGTGCTTTGCACTCCAAAAGAAAAGAAAGCAGGTTATTATCTCCCGGAAACCGTGTCCTTTATTTTTCCTAATCGCCACCAGGAGCGCTACTGGATAGAGGTTCGGGTAGCAGAAGCTTTTTTCCCTGTTTACCTCGACTTTTCCTCGTTGAATTTAGTGTTACAATCATTTTTTTTTCACAAAAAATATAGTTTAAAAGTGTATTTTGAATTATCGAACGAACGCTAATATTGTGCAAGGTCCATTATACAAAAAATGAATATTCGAACCATGTTTAGTACTTTTAAAATGAAGAATGCAAATTGTCACGTGTTTACAAACCGGTTAAATGGAATTTACTTTATTCACAAAATGTAAGTTTATACTTTCTATTACATTGCATTTGAATTGAAATTTAATCGCGTAATTTTATTGTTTATAATTCTGAATTGATTATGCAAAAATTTGAGGTTATGTCGAAGAATTGTCAGTCCTTTATTTTAAAGTATTGTTGGTATTGTTTTTCACTTCAAACGTTTGTTTTTATTTCCCATATAATGAAACACCAAAATACAATTTAATATACATTTATTATATATTAAAAAATAGATATATTTCATAATAATTATATAATAATTATATTTAATTTATTAGTCGTATATTCCTTATTCATGACAAACATTTAATCTCAAAGTAATCGCTCTTTTATGATTTAACAATTTGTTTGTCGAAAAAAAGTACGTTCTATTGTGATTATTCTTTATAATCTATTGTTAATTGCACAGTGATTTTTTTTTATTAAATCTTTCTATAATTAGAAAGATAATGAATATAATAGACATTATTGTTTGTTGTATTTATTTCTAATTAACCTATTTCCAAAATTTATTATTATTTATTAAAGTTATTATTTTGGCTCGTAGATAATATTTAACAAATAATTAAATAATTATTTTTGTTATTTTGATATTTTACAATTAATGTATAGAGCAGAAGGAATTTTTATCCATGAAATATGATCTAAACGCAGATACCTAGTTTTTTTTTATTCTCAGCACTAAATTATCAAAGACGTAAAGATTTTTAAGACGTAAAAAAAATATTTATACTTTAAAGATCCACGTGTTCTAGATATCAAATTTTTTTCACTAGAAAATTGACAGTGAAATACTTTTGTATTTAATTAATATTCGAGTGGATAATTGAAGCATTTTCTACAGATTTTATTATTTTATTATTCATTTTTTATTTATTTATTATTTATTTTATTTTTGAAACATTATTTTTTAATTTCTCTTGAAATAGAATTTTTATCAACAATAATAACAATTCCTCTAAATAATAGAATAATAAATATAATATGAAAAATAAAAATAGAAATAAATAATACAAAATAAACTCTCTAATTAATAATCTAAAGATAATAATAATAATAAGAAGAATAAAAATATTAATAATAGTAAATAATAATAATAAATAATAATTTCTGACAATAATTCTTTTGTTTCAGAACATTTAGATTTGAATAGGAAAAGATTCGATTAATTCTTCGCACGGCAATTTTCGCACGTTCTTTGATCTCAAAAATTGGTTATAATATTAGATTATATTCAATTACGAAATAACAATGAAAGCTTCGGTTCTTTAAACAGAACACGTTTTCTCATAGTGACCTAGAACGATGTCCCAAGCCTTGACATTAGAGGAGCAATGTCAAGATCCATTTTATTTTAATTGAGAACGATTAATTTCCCAGACAATATCAAAAGCGAATTTATTCTCCTGCTTCTTAAAGGATCGGATTTCGTTAATTAAATAACCCGCATATGTTCCGAAAATAATTTCCAAGTACAAGGTCGAAACACTTTTGGGAGACTGAAAATTAAAATATTCACTAATATCAATAATTCTCGATGATAATTACTATTTATTAATATTAATAATATTAATATTATTAATTAATTTTTAATATTTATTATCTATACTCTTAATTATTGATAATTTCGATTTTTTTTCATCTTTCTAAAGTTCTCAACGAAAAAATCCAAATGAACTAATTTTATTTTCTCCTTCTTTAAAATAAAAATTTTATTACTACAATAATTTTGCATTACTTTTCTATCATTTTTTTCTTCGATTTTAATTATTTTAATAAGTAATTATCTTGTACAAGATTTGAGATTTTATTTTCTTCCTTTTACCTTTGATCGGTACTTAATCTTTTAACTCTTTCTTTGTAGATTATGATTAATTTTTTCAATCAATTCCATATCAACTGGACTAAAAATAAACTCTATTAAAATATATCTTTTCTTATCATATTCAATTTTTCTTTTTCAAATTTCGAACAAATCAATTTTAATGCAATTAAATTTCGTGAGAGATTAAAATTGTTCTTAATTACATTTATTAAAGTTCATTCACATTTCCTATTTAGAAATTTTAAATATCAACCACTTTCTATGATTCGCTTGCAGAGACAATAAATTATTAGAACAAAATTTAAAACTACTGTAGTTGATTTTAAAAAACTTCCCCACGGATTTGTTTTTCATTCTGATTTTTCCTCTTAATATACATTGAAGATGTTTATTAACAAAAATTTTAATTTAACACTTCTCTTTTTTTTTGAAGGAACGAGAATAGGTCCATGTTTAGAAAGAGGAAAAAAAGCTGAGAAAATTCCGCTAGAACAGAAAAGTAGGTGACTTAATGTTGATGTCGTAATGAAGAGGTGAAGGTTCAAGAAACTGGGTTGAAAAGTTGTGTTAAATAAAAAACGCCCTCATGAGATTAATAGAACGTGACGGACTTTCAAAGAAACGAATAAAATTCTTTCCGAAATATTCTAGATGATAAGCCACACGTGGCATTAAGAATTTAAGGAAGAGAAAAATGATCGAAATCAGGAAAATGAGAATCGTGTAATTTTAATCTCGTATAAATATTGAATCAAAGTCTACGATAGTTTTTCCACTTGATAATAATTGAAACGATTTCAAAATTTTTATTACTTTATGAAATTTCAAGCTCGGGATAGGCTTTTTCGAGATTTTTTCACCATTTTCAAAAAATGCAACTCTTTTCGTCTTATTTTCAAAATGTACGTTAACTTTTTTTTACTTTTCTTCCAAAGATTACAAAGAAAATATCACATTTTTTGGTATAAAGTACAACTTATTTTGATTATTATCGTGTGAAAAGTTTAACTATAGACAAATCTTTCGAAAATTAGGTTTGAATAATTTTTCTAATTAAATTCTCGAAATTTTTCGAAATTTCAATTATATTTGGAAATTTTTTAATTGTATATCATTGAAAAATTTTTATCTTTCAAAAATTATTTTAAAATATTTTTAAAAAATTTATTTTAAACAATTTTTTATATATGGAAATATTTTCATTATGAAATAAATAAATTTAAATATTAAAATTTTTGAAAACAGTTTAATTCTTTTGAGGAATTTAATTAAAATTGTATTCAAAGTAATTGATTGTCTGCGCAAAATTTAATGTTAATTATTTTTTAAATAATTGAATTTTTTAGTGAAATTTAATTGCAATTGCATTGAAAATAATTGAATTCCTGCTAAGAATTTTATTGTTTATAAAGATAATTGAATTCTTGACAACACTTTTATCATAATTTTTTGAAAATAATTGAATTCTTTCTAAGAATTTTATAGTAATAATTTTTTATTTTATGAAAACAATTCAATTTTTCCAAGAATTTTATTTTAATTATTTTTATATTTTATGAAAATAATTGAATTCTTTCGAAGACTTTCTTTAAATTTTTTAAAAACAATTGAATCTTGTCGAGAAATTTATTAAATTTTTTTAAAAATAATTCAATCTTTTTGGAGAAATTTTATAAAATTTTTTAAAAGTAATTGATTTCCTGCGAAGAATTTGGTTCTTAAAGATAATTGAATTCTTGGCAATGAATTTTGACTAAAGCGACATTTTTTAAAATAAAGTTGATTCGAGGCCTTAAATTTCTTTTTATTTATTTTTTTACAGAGAAAAAAAGTGTCTTCCTTATGGAAAAAACAATTTTTTCTTTTAAGGAAATCTTTTCTTCATGAAAATTGTTTCTTTATTGAGATCTTTACTTTATGGAAATATCTTTTTAATGAAAATAATTTCTTTATGGAAAAATTTTCTTTTTGAAAATCTTTTTCTTATGATAATATTTTCTTTATTTATTTTTTTATGGAAATTATTTTTTCTATCGAAATTTTTCCTTTATAAAAAATATAATTGTGCTTAAAAAAAGAATATTTGAAATATTCTATACAAATTAAAATAATGCTGGGAAATTGTCTCAATTATCTCTTATTTGCTCTTTTTTACTGTCATTAACTCCGATTTGAAATTTGATTGACACGTGTTGAAACAATTTAGTCAAACAAAATCCCACTTAATACGATTGGAGTCAATAACCTTTGTGAGTAATAATTCATATTATTCACACAATATTATAACAACATATGCACTATATTTTTTAAATAATGAAAAAATTGAATAACGTCTTTTCCAACTTCACTCGAGTGAAACCTAAAATTTATCAAAAAAAAAGTATCTGTTTTGAAATTAATCTAAATTACACAAGTTCCTTTTTCCCAGACATCTCTAATCTTATCTTTCTTCGTTCTTCGAGAAGTGAGGAAGAAGAATAAAAAAAAAAAAATTAGCCGGAAATGAAAATCTAATTTTAGATTTTTTTTCTAGATTGAGGATAAAAAAAAATGTCTCTAATAAAACCAACACCTGTCTTTGGGGAGAAACAATCACCGCCACCGGAATTTAAGGAACAATTTCTCTTTCTCCTCGAGTTTTATATTTATGAAATTCGAGGGGAGCGTCTGGCAAAATTAAACCAAATGTTCTTTGTACCGACTTGTGTCAACTTTCATTTCCTTGATTTTAAGGACAACGATCTTGAAATAACACCAGTTAATTTAATGTTCGAGCCACAAATTGGAATATCCGATGATGTTGAATATTTTTATGCTGGACGTTCAGTTATGTTTTCAGTTGGACAAAATGTGGTGGCAAAAAAAATGTCTGAATTTAAAATCAAATTGAATGTGAGAAAAAAAATGCCTGAGCAAATAAAACCTGATGTATTCATTGGTGAAGGTGAAATTGATATGACAAAGCAATTTGCAGCGTTGCGAAAAGAAATGTTTAACTGTTGGCACGTTGGCGTACCACCGCCGCAAATTTTCGAAAATGAAATTCCTCTTTTTTTCAAAGACGAAACAATTGGTGGGATTAAAGTTTTCATTCGACTATCATCCTATGGACAGAGTATTACAACTGAATTTGAAGCGCCAACAACGGGGGAGAAATCATTTGTCTTCAAGGGAAATAAAATCAATGATAAGAGTTTATCGTATAAATGTCGAATTATTGACTCGAGGGAAATTGATATTTGTGAAAATTCCGAGACCAGTTCATCAAAAGCATCGTTTCAAAATCGCCATTTGTGCGCGCCTTGTGGTTTAAATTTTGCGGTCACGACAAAATCATCGGGAGCTTCTTCAATGCAGACGAAAATTACAGGAAATGACGATGCAGCGAATTGCAATAAAGATAATTCTAGGAAACAAATTGGTCCCATTCAGTCGAGTAGGGGACCAAGTCAACCTTGTGGAAAAGCTGTGGTTTTAAAGGTTTCTGGTCTTTTGGACGTTGGCGATGGTAATAAGCAACCGACAGTTACCGTTGCTCCCGAATCTGATGCAACGAATAATTGTGATCCCGATCATGATATATTTATTCTGAGAATTGGTAAAAAGGGCCTCGTTGGTCCCAATGAGAAGTCGGATCTTCAACTTGAGATGAAAACCCCAAAAGGTCCAGAGAGAGGTCCTCCGGTTAGAGTCGAGACACGTGAGGCGCAGACCGAGGAAGAAACGTCGTCGGCTCCGAAAAAAGTCAAAACTCCCAAAAAGAAGAAAAAGAAGAAATAATTCTTTTCTATTTTTTCATAATTTGGATAGAAAAAAGAAGAAAAGGGAGAAATAATTCTTCACTAATATTTTTTCACAATTTGAATATTAGAAATAACGTACGATTTGGATAAAAAAAAAGAAGGAATAATTCTTTTCTAACATTTTTCACAATTTGGACAGAAAAACGAAGAAAAAATCTTTTCTAATATTTCTCACAATTTGAATATTAAAAATAACATAATTGGGATAGAAAAAAATAATAACTAATAAAAGAAATAATTACAAGAGATAAAATAAAAAAAGAGACGAAGAGATAAATTTTTGATCGTAAGCAAAAAAAAAATAATGAAAATCGTTCGAGGGAGAAATGAAACAAAACAATCGAGAATTTTATTTTGACTCTCCTTCAGATTCTTCAGGTTATGAAATTTACTAATGAAAAAGGAAAATTTTTTAATTTATAATTTAGAAGAAAAAATGTTGCAAATCCTGAATGAAAATTCGAGAAAAGGGAAAATTTTTAAACGACAGAATGAGTAATTAAAGGTGTAGAATTGTGTAATTAAAATTTTTAGTGTACAACAGTGAAGACAGAATGAGTGACTCGGAGCAGGAATTGTTTTTAATTGAATTTCTCGTCAGCAAAGTAAACATTCCTTTGGTTCAAGCCATGCATAATCAATTGCTTCCTGCAACAACTTGCGTGTCATTTCAAGTAAATTTTTTAAATCAAAAAATTTAATTAAATTATCGAATATTTAAAAATATTAGAATATTAGAAATATAAAAAAAAATTAATTTTCAAAATTTATTAATTTAAATTATTAATTAATTCCTCTAAATTACATCCTCTAATTTTTAATTAAATTTAATTAAATCCTCCTCTAAATTCTCTCGAGGAATTTAATTAAAATTTCATTCAAAATAATTGAATTCTTATAGGAGAATTTTATTAAAATTTTTAAAAATAAAAAAAATTTGTTGATAATAATTAAATTCTCTTGAGGATTTAATTAAAATTGTATTCAAAATAATTGAATTCTTTAGAAAAATTTTATTAAAATTGTATTAAAAATAATTGAATTCCGGCAAAGAATCTTATTAAAATTTATGAAAATAAATAAATAATTTAATTTCTGGGAAGAATTTTGGGGAGAATTTTATTATAACTTTTGAAAATTGAATTTTGACGTAAAATTTTATTTTTTTTAAAGATAATTAAATTCTTGACAAGAATTTGATTAAAATTTTTGAAAATAATTGAATTTCGGCAAACAAGTTTATTATTCAATAAAGATAATTGAATTCTTGCCAAGAATTTGATTAAATTCTTTTAAGGTAATTGATTTCTTTCGAAGAATTTCTTTCAAATTTTTAAAAAATAATTAAACTTGTTGAGACATTTTTAGAAAATAGTTCCTATCTGTGAAAAAAATTTATTATTTATAAAAATAATTGAATTCAATTAATTAAAATTATTGATTGAATAACAATTAGATAATTGTTTTTATAATGGTATTAATTCTAATTTTTTTTCTATCACTTATTTTTAGAAAATAATTTACATACTTCATGAAATGAATTTTTATTTCTTTTTTTCTATTCTTTCGCTTATTTCTCTTTCTTTTTGATATTTTTCAGATTTTGAGTCTACCACCAGTGAACATTGAACAGACGGCAAACTCAAAGGACTGCTCCTGCGAAAATTCGGACTCTCAAGTATTCAATAAAGGAAAATCCTGTCTATTTGCCCTGCCGACAATGGTTTTGGAAAAGCCACTCACATCCTTTCCAATTACAATGACGGTTTATAAAAAACTACCACCGGGTGTCCTGCCGGATGTGATGCTAATAGGAAGTCATCAAATCCAAGCGAAGGATTTTATTAACACCGTTTTACGAAAACGAATTTTCAAAACGTCATCATCATCGCCCTCGACGACAAGCAAGGAAATTTACAAAATCACCACAGCCACTGGCCAAGCAGTCGGCGAGGTTCAAGTTTTCATGAGAATTTCCTGTTTTGGAAAGAAAATTATAACGCAATTTCAAATTCCACGTAATCGACAACCATTTCTATTCAAGGGCGAACTTAACAGTCCAGTGATACAGTGCAAGAAAATTCCATCTGAGAAAAAATTGCCCACGACAAATTGTGTTTTTAAAGAGACAAATGCTCTCCATAAGGAAAGAGTTTGTAGAGAGAAGAATTTTTCAGATGGAGAAAATCATTGTCCAGCACCGCCGCCATCGTCGCCGATTAATTTAAAATCATCGCTGAAATCGAGAATGAATCATAAGGCGGAAGAATATTCATCGCCTGGAAACGTGTGTTTTATGGAGAATTTTCCGACAATTTCAGAAAGAAGAGGAAGACCTTTTTCGATGTCTGGTTATGGGGGAAATGGAAATCAGTCAAATAGTCGTAAATGCGGCTGTCGAATAAAAACGGAAAAACAATGCGGCTGCAGTTCGAAATCATAAATCATTTTTGATAATATCAACCGGTTTTCTTTGTTGTCTTTCAATAAATGAACTGATAATCTTCAATTGAATATACAAAATGTACGTTTCAGTGAAAAGATTTACTGATATTTTAATTCTCCTATTTTTTTTAATTTTGAAAGAAAAAATTTGTCTTTTTAAGAAAAATGTTTTTATCCTCGAGAGGGAAAATTTTTTCTCTCAAAGAGTTTTTCCTCTCGAGGATAAGAAATATTTTCCGCATTGATAATATTTCGGATAAATATTTAAAATTTCTTTATTATTCATTTCGCTAATATTTAAATTTTATTTCTTTAGTTTGTTATTTAAAGTAATAATAACGAAATGAAAAGAAAATTGTTTAGTATTTATGAAAATTAAATACAGGGAAAAATTAATTTCTATTTCAAAAAATTTTCCGTTGTAGATTTCGACTCTGAAACAAAAGACGATCGAACAAAAATGAATTTTTAATCGAAACGAATCCAAATGTCAAAATCAGTCTAAATTCAAAATTCGTAAAATAATATTTTTCGGTCAATAATTTTTGGAATTTCTGGAAAATGTCAATTTCAATGGAACTAGACAATCTTCTGTTCGATTTACAATCGACTTATAAACTCTTTTCTCAATTCGAACATAATGAAGTAATTTAGTTTCATTTTTATTATTATAATTAATAAAAAATAAACTCTTAAATTATTTTTTCACTTAATTTGAAATAAAAAATGAATACTTAATTTGAATTTGAAGTCAAAAACAAAATATTAAAAATTCTAATAAGGTTGCAATTTCTTTTTTTTTACAGATTCTGAAAGCATACGTATCATTGGCTACCATTATTTCTGGTCAAATAACAGTGGCAATTGAATGGCAAGAAATTTTCGTTCACGCAATATCTTATCTGTCCAATTCAATATTGACATTATTTGTCAGTAATATTCACACGCAGCTGCAACTTCCTGAGATAATTGAGAAAAAAGAATCGACCCGGAGAATTGACGTTAGAGATGTTGATTTTAATGATGTAAAGATAATAAAGCAAGCTGGTAAAAAGGGAACAAAGAAAAAGGAGAAAAAGAAGGAGAAGAAGAAAATAGAAAAAAAAGAATCGGACAATAATGAGCAGGAAAAAAATGATGATAACAATGCGGAGAAACGTGAAAAAGAAAGAGAAATAAGAGAAAAAAATTGGGAAGAATGTTGGAATAAAAAACTTGAAGAGAAAGAAGCACGTGAGGATGAAGCTTTTTGTTCAATTCACGGTTTCTATCCAAAGCCAAAAACACAAACGAACATTTGGCTTCAAGTCACTTATGGAAAATTGTTGCAGGACGTTCAACTATGCTTCAAGTAAATTAAAAATTATTTATGTTAATTATTATTACTGTTACTATTATTATTATTATTATTATTATTATTATTACTTTAATTATAATTATTAATAGTTCTAAACTTTTCAACGCTCAAATGAACGAAATTTTTTTTTCAATTAACAATTTTTCACGCATTTTTATTTACCTATTTATTTATTTATTTATTTGTTTATCTATTTATTTCTATTATTTATTATTAATATCTACTATTTATTTCCCTCGTCTGATGATTGACCAAAAATTTCAATTTTTTCCATTTTTTTAATTTATGAAAAAAAAAATTAAAGACCGTAATAGTAATTGAATTCTTCCGAAGAATTGTCTATTTGTGAAGATAATTCAATTTCATTAAAATTTTTGAAAACAAAAGTTTTTAATAAAACTCAAATTGAGAGAAATAATGAAAATATTGTCGTTCATTTGAATGTTTCAAGCTTTAGGGACTTTAATGAATATTTTGATTATTTGTCTGGTAATTAAATACCTAAAGTATTTGATAAAAACATTATTTAAAATTATAAATTATAAATAGTCTGACCTTTTTGTTAAAAATACAATATTGCGTCTTTTATGCTCGGAAAAAATATTCAAATGCAGTTTAAATCAATATTGTCTGGAGAAAATAATTGCTTTTAATTTTTTTAAATTCTAAGAAAAGACACTGTACCAAAACCACCACCGCCGCCGCTTCCTCCTTTAAAAATAGAAGAATTCGATCCTCCAGCTGTTGAAAAAAATGAAGGAAAAGGAAAAGAAAAAAAGAAGAAGAAAAAGAAGAAAGCAAAGGCTAAAGCAAAAAGGAAATAAGAAAAACATGAAACTAATGGAGGTAATAATGACAATTTTCAAAAATTTACTTTAAAAATGCAATTAAAATTAACATTTTACAAGATTGAATATTTTATATTTTACATTGTACAATATTTTATATTTTAATTTGATACGATAATTTTTTAATCTATTATTTTTAAATTTTTATTGACTGATTTATATTTCAGATTTGTTTTTAATTTAATCGAATTTTTTTATGTTAATATTATTATTATTTTACTTTAGTAATCTTTGAATTATTAATTTTCAAAATGATTTCTTCGTTTAGTTAACAAAAAATTCCAAATCATTAAGTAAATTTTAATTTAGAGTCAATTTTCAGTAATAAGAAAAAAATGGGTAATAATAAAATGGTTTTTTTTTTCAGATTCGCATCACCTCTAATTCAATTAACGTGCGAGTGTGTGGGAGGTTTGAGAGAAATGAAAATTAAAGAAGAGTATGCCCTAAAGAAAATATATATAAGAAAAGGGGGTGAAAGTTGTTATTCTTGTCACCGTAGGTCATTCACCGTATGTATAGTGAGAGAGAGGAAGTGGAATATTGTAAAGGACGTGGATCCCACACATTGCGCCGACTCTCTTTCTATCCAACCCCCTTATCGGAATACACATTGGGGGTGGTAAGGCCGATATTCTGGCGCCTGCGTTGGTTCAGGGTGAATCTTCTCTCTAGGACGTCAGCAATCATGTAGCAAGGATTATATATTTCCTTTTTTCCATCGTTGAATTAGTGTTTTTTATACTTGTGAGTGTGTCTAACTCCCAATTTTTCTACCAGTCAGAATGATAACCATTTCATTTATCTCATCGAATTGATCTTTTCCTCCCACCCAACCAAATAGTTTTTTTTTCTCCCATTTATTAAGAAACAGAAGATTGCAATCATGAATAACTCACCCCAAAATACAGACGTGAAATCTACACACCGTACCGGCATTGATAATAGCGATGAAGAGGATTGGAGTGGCGTTGTTGAATGTGTAATAAACCTTTTTTTCTTTTCTTACATCATTTTCGTATTTTGAGATTTTTGGTGTTGAATTTAATTTTGGAATTTTCATTTTAGAATTTTAATTTGAAATTCATATTTAATTGGAAAATTTTTATTTGAATTTAAATTGAAATGTGAAATTTTAATTTGAAAATAAATTTAATTGTAGAATTTTAATTTGAACGTAAAAATTATAAAATTTTGATTTCGAAATTAAATTTAATTGTAGAATTTAAATTATTGAAATTAAATTTAATTATGAAGTTTTAATTAGAAAATTTCAGTTAGAAATTTAATTTAATTCTGGAATTTTAATTCGAAAGTAAAAATTAGAAAATTTTCATTTTGAGATTAAGTTCAATTGTAGAAGTTTAATTTGAAATTGAATTTTAATTATGAAATTTGTATTTGAAATTAAATTAAATTTTGGATTTTAGATTTTAGGTTTCAAATTAAATTTAATTGTATAGAATTTAATTTTAAAGTATAATTTTAATGGTAGAATTTTGACTTCAAATTGAATTTTAATTATGAAATGTTTATATGAAATTAAATTCAATTATAGAATTTTAATTTGAAATTGAATTTAAATTATGGAATTTTTATTTGAAATTAAATATTAAATTCAATTATGGAATTTTAATTAGAAATTGAATTTAAATGTAGAATTTTGACTTGGAATTGAATTTTAATTATAAAATTTTTATTTGAAATTAAATTCAATTATAGAATTTAAATTTTAAATTGAATTTTAATTACATATGGAATTTTAATTTGAAATTAAATTTAATTATGGAATTTTAATTTGAAATTAAATTTAATTGTGGAATTCCAATTTAAAATTGAATTTTAATTATGGAATTTTTATTTGAAATTAAATATTAAATTCAATTATGAAATTTTAATTGGAAATTGAATTTAATTGCAGAATTTTATTTTGAAAATAATTTTAATTAAAGAATTTTGATTTTTAATCAAATTTAATTACAGAATTTTAACTTGGAAGTAAATTTAATTGTAGAATTTTTATTGGAAACTAAAAAATATAAAACTTTAATTTTGAGATTAATTTTAATATTGTAAAATTTTGATTTGAAACAGAATTTTTAATTATTAAATTTTTGTTTGAAATTAAAATTAATTTGAAAATTTTATTTTGAAAATAAATTTAATTGTGGAATTTCAATTCGAAAGCAAAAATTATATAATTTTAATTTGAAATTAAATCTACTTAAAACATTATAATTTTAATTTTTTTCAGTTAATAACTAATATCGAATTTATCTTTTCTAAATTATTTTCAATAATATTTACTACAAATTCATTAAATGGCACAGAATTTATTGCTTTTTAAATTTATTAACGAATTTTTTTTTATTTTTGGTTGTAAATGAATTTTTTTTGTAAATATTTAAAATGTGTTAATTAACTAAGAAACATTGTTTTTCAGGCTGTTCTGGAGAGAACGAAATCCGAAAGAGCAAATCGTTCAGACGAAAATCGTCGACGTCGCACAATTATTGTTGAGAAAAAAAATGGCTCGTATGGTTTCACATTACAGGTATTATAATTTTTCTCATATTTCATTTGTTTCTTGTTTGAATGCACTATTAGAAAGAAAATACTACTGCTTCTCAATTTGTATTTACCTTTTATTATTTTATAAAATATTTATTTCACTTTAATTAAAAATTTATTAAATTACAGTACAAATTTTATAAAGTTTATAATTTTCATATATTTTTTGTACATTTACATATATTTTCAAATACTTTTGCATATTTTAGTTCATTAATTAATTTTTAAATTAATTAATGGATTTTTAAGTTAATTTATTAATTTAAGTTAATTTATTAATATTTAAGTTAATTAATTATGAGTTGTAAATGTATTTTATAATGTTTAAGAATTATAATTTGTAATTTTTATGTAATTGTTTTCAAAACTCAATGAATTGGATTAGAAATTTGTAATTTTAAGGCAAATAGAAATTATTCTTTATTAGATTTAAATTTCTTTTTTTTTGTAAGAAATATAATTTAGAATTGGTACAGAAATATTTGCATTAAAAAAACTCAATAAGTTGGAATAGAAATTTTGTAACTTTAAGGCAAAGAGAAATGTTTCTTCAATTTAATTTAAATTTCTTTCTTTTTTTGACAGAGTTATGGAATTCAGTACAAAAGAGAGCAGGAAGTGGAAATGGTGACTTATGTGGATTACGTCGAAAGCGATGGACCTGCATCTAAAGCTGGGATGAGAGTTGGCGATGTAATTGTTTCCATAAATGGCCAAGAAATGGATCGGGCTGATCACGAGACTTTGGTTAATTTTATAAAAAATTGCGACTCGAGAATGCGAATGGTTGTATCGTTTGAAGATTGTCTCAAAAAGGTGCAAATATTTCAATTTTTTTGTTCATGAATTTTAATTCTAATTCACTTCTTTTTCTTTTTGAAAGTGTCTTTTTTTTAGAGATATTTATGAAAATTTCTTTTTTCTGTTCCAAACATTTGTGAAAATTTCTTTTTCAATTTCAGGTCGGATTGCACATGCGTTACATAAAATTGCAACAAGCCCTGCAGTCTCGTCTCAATGAATTGGAACGACTTTGCGAAAGGGAACGATCAATTTTGATGGGCCGTTGGAAAACACATTCACTACCAGCTCGTAAACGAACGCCTAATAATATTTCCTCAAACAATTCCAATCAGCCATCGCAGCCTTCGATTTTGAATCCTTCTACTGTTCAATGCTGTCGTCCTGCGAGTTCCACCGAACATTTACTTTTATATTCTGTGGTAAATTTTTATGACTTTATCTATTTATACTGAATTTGAACAAAACGATATCAAACGCCTCGAATTTGCTTCACGATCAGTCTGATTCAAATAACTATTTACAGGGTTGCCACGCAACCTAGAAAACCTGGAAATTTCAGGGAATTTTGATCGCAATCCTGGAAAATTGTTGTTTTCTAAACTTATTGGGTTTATTATATTGGAAGAATATTTCGTTTCTAGAATTCATAAGAAAATTCTGAATTTTTGTGTCTATTGTATAAAAATTCGTCAAAAGAATTTAATAATTAAAAATTTTTTAATAATATTCTTTATTAAAATTCAATTTTTTGAGAAACATTCAATTATTCAATAAATTATCTATTTTAGTATTTAAATAATTGAATTTTCCAATAAAAATTTATTTAAAAATGAATTTCAGTTAAAATTTTAGACAATTAAATATTAAAAGTCTTATAGCGTGAATTTTTTTTAGAAATAATTGAATTTTGAAAAGGTTTCATAATTTTAATTATAAATTTTATAGAACAAATTTTTTTGAAAAAGTTTAATTGAATTTTTTTTGTAAAAAATAAATATAGTTTTAAGAATCTGGAAAAATTTTGTTTTTTAACCTGGAAAAGTCAGGGTATTTCAAATGAGTAAAAACGTGGCAACCCTGATTTATTAACTGTTTATTAATTCGTTTGTAAAGAGAATGAAAAATTTGTTAAATTTTTTTTATTAATTGTTTAGTAAACAGAAAGAAAAATTAAATTGTTTGAATTCCAGTACGCTGACGGTCGACCATTCCTAATACCAAGAAGTGCCGCGTGTTTGGTAGCAGTTGGCCCACCACGTTCACGAAGCGATCATCATCATTTTCTATCGAAAATCCCAAGCGAAACGTCAGGCACATCATCTCGTCATAGCTATCATCAATCGAACGGTCTCCTTGGAACGCCAGCGAAATCAAAATCACACAAAGGTAGCCAACAAAATTGCAATTCAAATAATGAAAATCAAACACAAACGCTTCATTCCTCATCGCATACTGCACACAATTTGTGTGTGGCGTGCATCAGCGCTTCTCGTCGTCGTGACACATCGGATGGTGGAAGTTTAGACGCCTACGATTTGGCGAGTCCCTGCTGTGATCCAAATTGTGTCCCAAGTAGAAGACGTCGAGAGAAACAACGAAGAGCGAGACACGAGCAAAATCTCCATCAACAACAGCAGCAGCAGCAACAACAACAACAACAGCAACAGAAGCACCAAAAACATCAACATCAACAAACGGATCATCATCACCATCACCATCATCATCGTGAGCAACAATCGCACAATTACTCTCGTGCCTCGGGTCATAGTTTACATTCAATAACAAGCAGTGAAATTTCCACCACTGTTGAGAGTGCCGCTTCATGCTCCACATCTCTGAGTACCGACACTCTCTATTGGGACCCAAATCATCATCCTAGACAATCAAATTGCTTGCAGTATGCAAAACCAAAATCCTGGGATAATTTGACGACAAAAGCATTCGGTGGTTATGGGTTTGGTTATGGTTATCTTGATACTGCATCGGTGAAGACGCACAGCGCTGAAAGGCCTGGAAAAGGTTCACATCGAACAAAAACCCCAACAAGTGGTTCAACACAACGAAGATCGACGGGAACATCGACTACAACTGTTTATTCGAGTTCTAATCGTTGTTTTCAACCGACAAAATCCACGGAAAGCCTATTGATTCCATCGCCATATCAGGGCGAATTGGAAGGTTCGAGTGTCAGTTGTGAATGCTTAGACGGTCCTGGAACGAGATTTATTGCTGTTCAGGTCGATAAACATAAGAGACAAGATGAGAATAATTATTCGGGAACTGTTGGTCATTCACAGAATAGACATCGTCGCTCTAGTCATTCTGATAATAAATTAAGGGCTATGAATAGTTCAGAAGTCACAAGATTGTGAATATATTGTCATTTATACCGATGATTTTAGTGGAATAAATTATGGTACCATGTTGAATATTAGACTTTATTAATATTGGTCTTCAAATTTTGGGAAATTTTTGTTCAGTTTTCTTTGATTTTATTAATCAAATTTTTTCTTCTCTTCAAAATGGTTTTTGTCGTTTTTTTCTTCTTTTCGTTTCATCTTTGTTTTGTTCTTCTTTTGTATAATTTTCCTTGATTCATTATCACTCTTCAAAATTTGTTCCCTTTTGTCGTTCCTTTCTTCGATTTTTTCTTTTTTTTGTTTCATTTTGTTTGATTTACTAATCATCATTCAACATGTTTTCCCTTTCGTCGTTTTTTTCTTTGGTTTTCTCTTTTCGTTTCACCTTTGCTTTTGTTTTCTTTTAGTTTAATTTTGTTTGATTTATTAATTAACTAGTCAATGTTTTCCCTTTTTTCGTTTTTTTGCTCTTTTCGTATCATTTTTGCTTTGTTCTCTTTTTGTTTAAATTTGTTTGATTTACTAATCACTCTTCGAAATGTCAGTATTTTCCCTTTTGTCGTTTTTTTCTTCTTTCAGGGTTGACACATATGTTATTGAATTTCAAATTTTTTAATATCTTAATTTCTATAAAAAAAATAATGATTAAATTTTTATTTTCGAATAATTTTCAGTTATAAACACCTGGAAATTTTTCTTTTTATTTTTATAAAGAAAATTCTCTTCGTAAATAATAAAAGTTAATTTTTCTAAAGTTCGGAACGTTCAAATCAACAAAATTTTTCTTATTCAATTTTTTTTTTAAATTTACTCATAAAAATGGAAAATGAACATTTTTATTCAGTTAATAATTAATTTTTTTTAACATAAAAAATAATTTCTTTTTAATAAAATACAAATTAAAGGAAATAACAAAAGTATCGTCATTCATTTGAAAGTTCAAAATTTTAGAAAGATTAAAAGTTAATTCCGAAAATAATTTTTAATGATCTAATTTTACTATTTTTAGAGAAAATTTTACTCAAGTTCGAAGTAAATTTTACCTTAAATATAGCAAAATTCTCATAATTTTAAAATAAAAGTAACGTTAACAAAAGTAATAAATATTTTCATTCAAAATTTAGAAAAATGGGATAAATTCCAAACAAAGGAAAAAGACAAAAAAGAATAGCAATAATTAATTTAAAAAATCAGATTTTAAAGCTGTGATTAAGAGAAATAAAAAAAAATCTTTAAAATAAATTCTTTATGCCAAAATACGATAATTCACTCAATTTGAAATTTCCCATTTTTCTAAAATCCCCTCTTTTAAAAGGAAGATAAAAAAATTAAAATCCCCCTTTTTATCTAATAATACACGAAAAAATCACACTGATCCCTGTTATTGGTTCTTTTCTCATTATATTTCTATTTTTTATCAATAATTTCTTATTATTAATTTAGTTTAAATAATATTTTTCTCCATTTCGTTGATTTATTTTCATTTCACGAAACGTCAAGTTGTGAACATAACCTCTACATTTTGTTTACAAATTAACAGCTGATTAGCCCCCTAGTGGCGAATTTGCTAACTAAACGCGAATGTTGTAATTATTTTTGTTGTCGCATGTGTTTTATTAGAGTTTTTGTTAATTGCCGAAATTTCCATTAGTCTGTAATGTCGTTAAAAAAACACAGTGTGGCATATATTAAGCCTGATGAACCGAAATTTTTGAGAGATTTGAAAATTCAGGCTGGATATAAGGAGGGACCAACAGTTGATACTAAGGTAAACAAATACACTTATTAAATTAATCGAAATCATTTAAATTTTGACTCTTTCTCGAAAATCTATAGAATTTCTATTAGTTTTGCATAAAATTTGAATATTTTTTCAATTATGGCGCATTTTTTTTTAATATTGTTTTTAGTTTAAATCGTTTAAATAAATAGACAACAGCAAGTACGAACATAACCTCACTTTGTTCAATAGAAACTCGTATGCGAATAAAAGTTTATTTATTTTATAACAATATTTTGTTTATTATAACTGTTTTTAGTTAAAGCTTAATTAAAAATGTTTTTAACCGATTATTATTAACTAATTAGTGGTAAGAATACTATTACAAATTAAAAATTCTCATTTTGTTATGAATATTCAATTTACTAGTTTTTTGTATAAAATCTCGAAGTACATAATAAAAGTTATCAAGTTTGACAAAATAATTCATTATTTCTTTATTTTGCAGAGAGGAGAATTACCAGAAGCTACTGAAGAGGATTTTGAAGACAGGGAAGAGGAACAACCTGTGGTTGTGGTGCTAAACAGTGGAGATTTAACTGCAGAAGAAGCAGACGCTTTTAAAAAACAAAAAGAAGACGGTAATTTTATTCTTTTATCGAAATTATTGTTTATAAAAACTCTTATTAATATTAAAATCATTGTTTCTTAAAAGTATTGTTAATATTATTAATATTAAAATAATCTTTTGTTAAAACGATTGTTAATATTAAAACAATAGTTTACGTTATTTATTATGTTTTTAACTTTTGTATTTGTGTACAAAAGTTAGATTTTTATTACAATAATATAAAGATTTTTATTACAATAAATATTAAATGTCAAATTTATTTTTTTCAGAAGAAGCAAATGCACCAGCTGATCTTTCGAAACCGATAATTTTTCGAAAAACTAAACCGTCGTCAAAAGAATCAAATGAAACTGATTCTCCTGTAATTAAAAAGCCGAAGAAAGAACAGAAGAAAGTTGTTCTGTCCTTTAATGACGATGACGAGGAGGAGGAAGAATAATTTTTAATTTTGAGAACTTCATTCTGTACATCGGTTAGTTCAAATTTTTCCATTTATAAATATTTTTTTACAAATATCTCTATTCTTGCAAACTTATTCCATAACATTTGCGTTTTGCAATTGAAAATCGAATACTTTTTGCAAATATCAAGAATAATGTCAATTTTCGAAATTAAAACAAAAAAGAGATAAATTTAAACTGAGCATTGTTTTTTTTTAATAATTAACAATTTGGCCGACAAGTATAAAGTAAATTCAATCAATGGAAGTAAATAATTTTTCTGATAATTTTGCAAATGGCGAATTTGCAAAAATATGAATCAAAAATTGGCAAAATTATAATTAGTCAATTTCTTCCTCTTAATTCAAAAGTCAGATTCAATTAAGATTAACATAAATTTGGATATTCTTACAATAAATAATAATAGTTCAAAATTTTCTAAATATTAATTAAAAATGGAAGTTTTCCAAAAAATTGTACTCCGCAAATTGTAAATCTAAAATTTTCCATTTTATTCAAAATAATTTCTTCTATCTATTCAAATTGCTTGAAATATGAAAACGAAAGAATTGAAAATTTGAAAATTTTATGTTAGGAATATTCAAAATTTGAAAGTTTGAAGTTTGAAAAACCGCTGAAATTTAAAAAAGCCTACGAGAAAAAATAATTTAGACTATTTTTTATCTACTATTAATTTTTTTTCATAAAAAAAAGATAACTCGGGATAAATTTCCGGTAATATTTGGTAATATTTCAATGTTTGAAAATTGACAACGGAAAATTTCCTTTTCTTTTTTAATGCTTGAAGTACGTCATTAAATTTTTACTGTCACGTGATCAGCGCCGCCATTTTGGCAGTTTGCGACGAGCAACGACGGAACGAGGAGAATTCGTGACGTCGATGCCCAAATAAACAGAAAATATAAGTAAATTATCTCAATGTAAGAACAATTTATGTGGGATTATTCGAATTTTGAATGTTTTACGTGTATTTATTTCGTGTTAATTGAAAACAAGTGTTTATAAATAAAGCGTTATTTGGAAAAATAAAAAAACGCGTGTGTGTGTGTGTGTGAGTGAGTTGAAAAAGACGATCCTCGTCGGGCCTCGTTTGGACGGCGGGATAATCACGATCGGACGGACAGCCGACCATCACGGCAGCTGTTCGACTGTTCGAGAAAGTAAGCAAAATCCCTTCATTCCAAAATTGGCGGGATTCTTATTTTAATTTAGAAGATATGAAAGAAATTTGGTTTTTGATTTTTAAAAATTTCAATTGGAGATGTTTTTGGGATTCGGTGATTTTTTTTTTTTGTATAGTGAAATAATACAATTGTACAAAACAGGGCTGTAACTTTTGTACAGGGCACCATGCTCTTCTCTCTCCTCCCTTCTCCTGACGCTCTCCCGCCCCTTTACCGCCGTCACCCCCTCACCCCGGGCGTCGTCATCACCACGGCTTTTCACAAAACAGTACCCCGCATTCGTTGCAAGCATTTCTGTGCTTTTTCTATTATGTTTGGGAAAATTTATTATTTACACCCTTTAAAACCAGTAATGTGAGAAAGAAGTCGGGAGTTTTGAATACACGAGCACGTGCTTCATATGTTTTCGCGGCAAAATTCAAAGGCGCCAGTGATTCTCGCGGGAATCTTTTGATATATGTGTGAGAGAGATCTCTTTTATAACTCTCAAGAGAAGTGATTTTTCTCTGGCGAGGAGATCAAGAGCTCGCATGAAACGTTGCAGACGAAGGCCGTGTAGCGGATAGATAAACGTAAGGAATAACGGCAATGGCCGAATGGGAACAGTTATAAATTATTTACTTTTGTTTCAAGACGAGAATTTTCTCCGAACATCTGAAAATCGTACAATTGTTGATTTGACACTCATTTTATTCTCATTTATTTCTTTTTTCCAATTGGAGAGGGTTTCATATTCATTTTTTTCACGTGACTAATTTTAATTATTTAAAACAAAATTGACACATTTCATTCTTTTCAAAACATGTGTGACAAACAAAATATCTCGAAAGAAAATGAAAATAATTACAAATATGTAATTTCTAATTTTACAGTTTTTATAGAATTGGAGCAAAATTAGAGATTAGAGAATTAGGTTGAAAAAAAATCCTAGGGAAATGTGTGCAGGAGGAGAATTAACCGTTATGATCATCATTCCAGGACTTGAGATCTTGCCTAGTTATAGAAATCGTATATATAGGAAGGTAGAGAAATCGTGAGAAAGCTCTCCATTCCAATGGTAGAGGCACCCTCGAGGAAAAGATTGTTGGCACGTTTTTCTTCTAAAAAGAGAGCAACAATACGGCCCTGGGACTAAACTTTTTTTTAACATTTCTTGTGCATGACGCCGTAACTGCCCTCTGTCGTAGGATTTTCGGCGATGAACCTTCTCCGGGGCGATGATTTTCAGGTTTCCCCCCAAGTGCCCTCCTCCAGTGCATCAGACATTATTTTCTGAATATTGAAATTTCATTTTCCAAGTTAAAAGTGTCACACGTGTTAAGTGTCAAGAATAGGCAAATGTATTAGTTGCTAATCGGGATGCTTAATCCTTGAGCGACGACGAATATCTCTCGGGGTGCAGGTGCGTGTTCCCGTTTACTGTCAAGAAACACAAAGTTCAATTCTAGATTGAAGATACATGGAAATGTGTTCTTTTTCGAAAAAATATTGTCCTTTGAATTAGAAAAGAAACCTTGTCTTATGATCATTGGTTGATCTCGTGTTCGATGTGCCACGCGATCCTCGGAATGCTCGTTAAAGAGGTTTAGAGGTTAGTAAGAAATGTTTCTGTTTAGTTTCCAACAGGGATAAAAGGTGTACCAGTCGGGTATTTCCACCGTAGGATTTTTGTCTAATTTTCTTCTTTTATTTTATTAATTTTTTTATTAATTTTATTAATTTTATTAAATTAATATTAATTTTAATTTTATTCATTTTATTATAGACGTTTCAATAGTGTGTGTGTGTGTGAGTGTGTCACTTGTGTGTGAGTCTCGGTTACGTGTCTGTGTGTGTGCACGCGTTGTTTGCGCTTGTGTGAAGAAGTTCAGTTCCTGTCGGTGACGTACGAAGTACGCTTCTCCTATGTGTGGCGGTAGGTGTAGGTTGTAGGTTGAGAAGGTTGAGGAGAGGTGCACGCAGAGAGCTGACTAGCTCTCGTCTCGGACGCGGTGGCAGACAAGAGCAGGTGATTAATTTATTTCCCGCAGTGATTAGACGCCGATTTTTTGACGGATCGACGCTTGTGTTCGCCAGGACGATTTTTCCGCCCTTTTTGGAGCATCTGCTGTTTTGCGCACGTAAAAAAATTAATTTGTTCCCCTCTTCCACCCGCAACAGATGCAAGTGTTAATTTTTAATCTCGTGAACAGGTAAATAGTGTTTTTTTTTGGAATTAGTACCGGGATATTTTTTTTCTATTGTAATAACCTGGTGGTGAAGTGGAGTTTTTTTTTTTGGTTAGGAGCAACGCGCGCCCAACCGATCCGGGTAGTGCGGAACTTGTAGAGCGCCATTTTGAAAAATTCTAGCCCGAACATCTTCAACCCCCCTCCGATTATGATATGACGATGCAAGATGATTATTATAGCGGATGTGGAAGCGTATTTTTCTCCTTGCTTTTCCAGGAACTTAAAGTTTTTTTTCTCTTTTGTTCTTGGTTAGATCTGTCAAACAACGGTGACCCCCATGGAAGGCACGTTGGAAGATCCCTTGGTCAAGGACCCATGCCAGGATGATGATGCTGACACTCTTTTGAAAGGTATATTTTTTTGTCGATAATTCTTTTTCGATTTATTGTTTACACTTTTTTTTAATTTTTCCAATTTTAATTTTTTGAAATATTTTTTTCAAGGTTGGTGTAAATAGTCAGATGTTCGTGTGATCATTTAAAGAGTAACTATAATTTCCAAGAAAGAAAAGAGAGAGAGGATATCATATTTCATTAAATTACCAATTGTTTATTTATTTAAACGAGACGGGTCTAACCTCACTTTTTCAAAATTGACAAAAATTTCCCCAGGAAATTTCAATTCTAAGATAAATTCAATCGATTCGAACGTTTCTCCTGATATTCAGAAATTGAAATTGATTTTTCAAATTCTTTAAATGATTAAATGATTACTTATTATAAATATTGATAAAAATATAATTTTTATATTCGAATTTCAAATCTGTTATTACCAAAGTAATTCGTATAACTGTAAAAATAATTGGAATTATTTTTACCAAGTCCAATTATTTAATTGAAAATTATTAATAGAAATTCGATTTTCAATAGAAAAAAAATTGTAGAAAACAAAAAAGCAAACTGAATAATTTGTTGCAATATCAGGGAAAAATGAAAAAACCTGGGAGTAATTTAATAGGAAAATATTCTAAAATTAGGTCTTTAATTTATTCAAAAATTTTATTATTATTAATAATTCTACTTTTATTTGCGAATCGTTCGAGTTTATTTTCGATTCAATTGCTCAAACAGTTAATTTTTGAAAGATTTATTTTTTAAATTATTATAAAAGTGTATTTGTTAATAATTGAAGTTTTGAAATATTAATATGAATACTTAAAATAAGATGAATATTTGAAATAATAATGAATATTTGAAATAATATGAGTATTTGAAATAATATGAGTATTTGAAATGATATGAATATTTAAAATGATATGAATATTTGAAATAATACGAATATTTAAAATATTAATATAAATATTTAAAATATGAATTATGAATAAAAATACTCTGCTAAGCGGTGTGCAAAGATTTCCAGTGAATCCGAGTTCTCTGATTGGTCAATACACGAAACTGAACGCCATTTTGTTTCTAGTTAAAAAGAATACTACTACTACTAATACTACTTCATTTAAAATACACCAATCATTTTTTACCAGACGAGTCAAATCAATGTCTAAAAAATGAATTTTTTTGCATTCTTGATAATTGAAAATATTAATTTCTCATTTCATGTCTTCCCGTGTTTGTCCCACTTTAAAAAAAGATTTTAACTTATTGTTAGCTCGTATTGTTTGAAAATGATTTTTTTTTTGCAAGAGAAGTCTGATTTATTTATAATTGAATCCGTTAAAGTCTTGTATTATTGATTTCCTTTTTTTCACTAAGAAAAGAATTCTCTGCAAGAAAAATGAGGAAAACTGATAAAATAGAAATAATGAAATTAATGAGAATTTTCAATTTCGTTATTATTTCAAATTTCATTTTGGATGTTATTTTAAGTCTTTTTATTAAGTTTCATTTTGGATATTTGCAAGTTTTGAAAATGAAGAGAAATTTATTTTTACGTTGATATTAGGATCAATGAATTTTATGTAAAATTGCGGTCACACTCTGAATATTTGAAAAGCTCTCCCATTATAAATAACTTGATTCTAATGGTATGATTTTCTTTTTAGACTCGTCAGATAAAATAATTCCAAATGGGGTCAATGGAGGTTACGACGATGCAGATGCTGAGGAATTTGCAGACTCGTGCGAGGAACAAAATTCCCCGGGCAATAAGGAAGTGAATGAAATTGACGACGATGATGATAATGATGATGAGTCGAATGATGTTGATGAGGATGTTGTTAATGACGATAATCCTGGATCAACAGAAGTAGAGGCAATTGATTCGAAGGACAACGATAATTCGAATGATGGAAATGAAAGCAGTGCAGCTCAAGATTCGGAGAGAGTTATGGGCATTGAAACTGTTGACGATGAGGATAATGATGACGATATTGAGATGAGGGAGAATTTCGATGATAATCCAGAGGATTCTGAAAGTCGTGGTTCAACGAGAGAGAATGTTGACAAGGACATTGTTGAATTATCGAATCACTCGAAAATCTCGGATTCAATGGAAGTGTTGAATGGACCGGATGTTAGTGAAGTGTCGAAAATTGTCAAGGAATCGAAAGAAACAAAATGTGATGAAGCAATGGACGTTGACGCGCAAAGTAATAATTCGGACGTCGAGTGCTTGGACGAGAGTATCACGCAAATCGATTCAGACAACGATGATGTCTTCACAATCGAGAAGCCGGAGACAACAAATAAAAAGCGAACGTCCGGCAGTAGCGATATTCAACAAATTGATGAGAGTGGTGAAATAATAGACAGTAGTTTAGACACATCGGACGTGAAAATTTGTGAGGAGAATGGCAGTGTCGGAAGTCCGGATATCGAGGAGATAACTGACTCATCGAAGAGTAATGGACACAATTCCGAGCAGGATGGTTCGACGAAGGGTTCGCCAAAGCAGAAGAAACCTAGAAAACAAGTGGATCTTAGTAATATTACACCAAGACGTAGTTCTCGAAATATCAAGAGGACTAGTTACATTGAAAAGGAGCCGGAGGAGGAGGCCGAAGCGCCCGACGATGGCTCTGATATTGAGGAAATAAAAATGGAGGATCCCCTCGCCGGTATCGACATCAAAGACAAAGAAAATTCCAAATCCAAATCCCCGATCAAGAATAGTAAAACGACAATTGTTGTCAGTGATACAAAGAGGCTCGTGGAAATTGCCGCCAGTAGCAAAGCCTCCAAGGGAGGAAAGAAGGAACCCACTTTAGTTATAATAGACACAAATTCTATACTCTCAGGACGGGGTGGTGTGCCTATAAGTAGTAACGCAAAACCCCAATCAGTCCCAAGTTCCACGTCATTCTCCGTTGTTCCAATGAGCATGGCACCACAATCGATGTATCCAAATATGCGAACAACCATCACACCCGTACCGATGAAATCAACTCCCACGAAACCAGCCACAGTCACACCGATACCGTCACCAGCTCAGGTCCTACCAGCCCTCACCGACGACATGTTCGTCGTCGAGGCACCGTCCTTCATTGTACCTTACGTATACGAAAAGCCCCCCATCAATCCAATGAAGGAATTCCTCACAAAACTAAAGAAAGGCATCGAGGAAGTCGAGAAAGAAGAGAAGAAAGCCGCCGACGAAAAGAGGGAAAAAGAGAAAGAAGAGAACCCCGACGACAGTGAAAATGAATCCGAACACAGTAAGAAGGACGACACCGATGATCTCTCCCCAGATGAGAAGCAAAAATCCGAAACAAAACCCGACGATCGCAACAAAGTACAAACCTACTTTGAATTACCATTAGGAAAATTCTTCATGCAAATCGGAATGAATCTTGTACAAGAATTCGTGCAGACTGATCTTTTGCGAACGCAAAAAAGAAAGCAGGGCAAGGGTACACCATCGGCCGAAACACAAATGGCAATTAATTCCCTCATTAAAAATCTAGAATTTAGTAAAGAAAATAATGAACCATTCCATTTAGAAATGAAGAAATGTGAATTCTGTAATTTTAAAACTGAATCGACAATTGTAATGCAACATCATCTTGAAACACCGCACATGAAGAATTATGTTTATAAATGTAATTTCTGTCCAATGGAAATACGCAGTCCACATGATATATTGTTTCATATGGAAGCTGAGCATAATGCACGTGGTCGATTAGAGAGGGGTCCGGCATTTCATCAGTGTCCAAATTGTCCGTTTGAGGATAATCAAAAGGGTAAATTGACGAGACACACTATTGCATGCGCTAAGAAATTCAGACCGGAGAGAAATTTAGAGCCAGCTACAGATTGGGAACCACCGGCAAAAATACCGCGTTTAAATCGTGCACGACAATCAATGCCAACGAGTCCAAGTGCATTGGCTATGGCAATGAATGCAAAGGGACAGCAACCGTTATTACCGAAATTATTACCGGCACCGATGCCCGGACGTGGACGAGGTCGTCCCCCAATGCAACCAAGGTACACGGACTTAAAGACATTGAGACCTGGTGCTTCACCGATTCGACAAGGTGGGTTTATTGTTTGCAATTTAAATGGGGATTTATTTTTAATTACATTGTTTTGCAATTTTTGTTCTTTTTTTTATTTGCAGAGGGTGTCGCTGGAATGATGTATCGACCGACATCGTCCGGATTATTGGTACCCACTGCTTATCAATTTGGCAGCAACCAAATATTCCAGGTGATTATCGATTTTATTTTACTTTCTTTTTCTTTTTAGTTTTTTTTTCATTTAGTTTTTTCTTTTTATTTATTTCTAGTTTTCTCTTCCTTTCAGTATTTTCGTTTTAGCTTTTTCTTTTTATTTTCATTTATTTTTAGTTTTCTTTTCTTTTCAGTTGTTTTCCAATTTGTTTTTTTCCTCTTCATTTCTTTCTTTTCAGATTGTTTCTTTTCAGTCTTCTATTTTTATTTATTTTTAGTTTTTTTCCTTTTAGTTTTTATTTATTTTTTTCTTATTAGTTTTTTTCCTTGTAGTTTTTTCTCTCTTAGTATTTTTCTGTTTAGTTTTTTCCCTTTTAGTTTTCTTCCTTTCAATTTTTTTGGTTTTTTTTATTTATTCTATTACTTTTCTTTTTGAATTCAAATTTCTCAGAAAACCTAATTTTTGCAGCATTTCAAATAAAACATTAAAACTTTTTAAAAATTAAATAATTTTTTAAATAAATTTAATTATTATTATAATTATTTAATTATTATTTATTTCTTAACAATTGAAATTTTCATAAATTTTAGTTTACAATCAAGTGAAATTCAATTATTTAAATTGAAAATTTTAAAGTTTTAAAAAAATAGAACCAGAATAGTTTAAAAACCTAATTCTTTGAAATTTGAAATGAAATTTCTCAAGACTTAAATTTTTAAACAAAATTTTGATATAAAACTTTTTTAAAATTAACTAATTAATAAGAATTTTAATTGTAATTCTTCGACATTAAATTATTTTAGTTGCAATTTGAATTCTTTGATGCTTACCTTTTGAAATATTTAATTATTTAACAATTATTAAATTAAAATTCTTTGAAAATTCGAATTTTTTTAATAAACTATAATTAAATTCTTTAAGAAATTGAATTATTTTTTTTATTCCATTTTACTTGATTTCAAATAAACTGTAAATTTGAAATTTTATTAAAAATTTAAATTTTGAAAAGTTTTTTTGAAATTCTAAAAAATTAGGTTTTTAAAATAATTCAATTCTTTTTTTAAAGATATTTGAATACTGATTCAGAGGATAATAAATAATAATGATTCAATTAACTATAAAAAAAATAATTTAAACGAGTAATTGAAAATTTTTGAAATACTTGAAAATTTTTAAAATACTTGAAAATTTTTGAAATAATTGAATATTTTGAAAAATTTTATTTAAAATACTTAATTGAATTTTAAATAATTATAATAGAAAACTTGTAGAAATAACTTTTTTTTAAAATATTTTAATATATTTTTTAAATCTAATTTTCATTTGAAGATTTTTCACTAAAATTTTTGAGAATTCAATTATTTGTTTAAATTTGCAATTAAAATTGTTGAAAATTTTGTTTAAAAATATTTTTGAACAACTTACACCTTTTAGTTTTTCCTTTTTATTATTCTTTTTTCTTTCAGTTTCTCCTTTTAGTTTTTCCTTTTTATTCTTTTTTCATTTTAGTTTTTATTTTTTTTTCCTTAAATAATTTTTCGTAGGTAACCTCGAGCTTTTTCGTGGGTTTTCTCGCAGTATTTCGTTTCTATTTAATTTCTAGCTTAAAAAGCCTGTGTGACGTATTTTTTTGAAATTGAAACGATCATTGTATAATTTAGAGTCAAAGAGAGAAAAAATACGAGATTGATGCTACCCTAGAGGATAAATTTTAAATCCAGTAAATAAAGAATGATTCTGCAGTGAACGTCTCAATTTATGGGTTAGGTTAGGTTAGAGTAGAATTATTTATCATTTCTAAAAACCTCTTGCAATCTGTGTACTAATTTTAGTATAACATCGATTCGAGATATTTATCCGAAAATTTGAAATTTAATTTTTTTTCTACTCTGTTTTTCCATGATTTGTTTTTACTTTGGCGAAAAGTCTCGCAGCTAAAAGTAATCTCAAAGTTTAGTGTCAATTTCCATAATTGGTACTTTCAAGTAAATAGTTTTCATTTATTTCTAGTGTTAATATTGAATATTTAATTAATTGCTCCATTAACTAAGTAGTTTGATTAATTTTTCTTGATAGTAATTAGTCATCATCTGCTAATACTCTGCAAATAACCATTTTTGCTTGCAAATACAAATTTTTTTTTGTTTTTAATATTTTTCCATGTTTTTCAATATTTTTTAATATTGTTTTTGATATTTTTTAAATATTCATTAAATGCAAAGTTAAAGTCCGTATTAATATTAATAATTAATAAAAAATTTTAAAGTTGGTTAAATATACAATTAATTAAAATATACATTTAATTAAAATAATAGACAAGAATAAGTAGTTGGATTGCTATTTTTTTCCTATTTGTGCGATTGTTTTTTTTTTTTTTGCGATGAAGAATTAGAAGAAAATGATTTTTCAAATCGTTCAATTTTTTTTTTTTGATTGATAAAAATGTTGTGTAGTAGTTAAAAAAAAGAGTTGATTAAGGAATATATGGGTGGTGACAGGTGGTGGGTGGCTCTGGGACTGTCATGTCTGCTGTATCGGGGGTGAATACCACCAGTGGCGGCAGTTCCGGTCGATCCGCACCCATTGCACTTGTATCCAACGTAAACGACTCCTCTCTGTCTAGGTTATCCCTAACACAGGTAAATAATCGTCGAGAAGCAGTTCGAATTCGCATGGATGACGATGTGTGTTCAAAAAATAACTCCTCATCCATATATTTCAAATAAGTCACCTTCTTTTTCATTCATTTCTTTTTTTTCTCTCTCTCATTTCTTTCCTTTTATTTCAACATATAGAAAAATTGAGGAGAGGCTTTTTCTTTAGTCAAATATTAATGTTTGGTGTTTGTTGACATTTTCGTTGAATTTTTACTTTCTATTCACGTAGAATGTGAATTTTTTTTCGTAAACTCGAATTGTGTATCTATTTTTAATTCCGAACGAAAAGTGAATTGTAATAATTAACATTCGTTGGTAATTTAATTTTTTTGTTTGGAAAATTGTAAACAACTCGTAATTGAATTCTTTTTTGAAACGAAAATTAAATAGAAAGAAATTGTGTACAATTTGATTAATTCGAAATGATTCGAAACTGAATTTAAAAAGAGGAAATTGACTATTTTTTGTGTGGTTGATATTTTTGGATGTTAAATTAATTTTGCATGAACTCGCAATTGCAACTTCTTTTTCGAAATTTTGCAGTTCTTTTGAAAAACAAATTGGAAATATTAACACAACCCACCGCCTGTCATATTGAATTTTTTTTTAATGAAGTATGAAAATTTGATAAAGAAAAAATCTATTGGCTGAGATTTTTTTGTTATATTATAAATAATCTTTGTTTTATTATTAAACAAGAATTAAGATTTTGAAAAAAGAATATCGAATCTCTTTGTAAATTGTAAGTAATGTGCATTGTGATTTTACAGAATCCAGTTGCAAACTCCAAAGGTAGCTCGTCAAAGGCACTTCCGCAGCCGAGTATATCAATTACACCATTGCCACGAACAGTGCAACATCAACAGCAACAACAGTCCTCTGTAACAGCAACATCGTCCAGACCCGCTGGCAATAAAAGTACATTTGTCATATGTGAGATTTGTGACGGCTATATAAAGGTAAGGAAGAAAAATTCCCGACAAATATTTTTACTTTTAATTAGTTCAATTGATAATTCATTTTAACTTTCGAAAAAAATTTACTTCTTACTTTAATAAATTAAATTGATTTGAGTAAATTTAATAATTATAATTTGAATGATATATTTGTAAAATATTTTTTTACAATTATAAACCTAATTTTTTACTAAATAATTGTTCCATTACAATATTTTTCATTTCAATTCAGTTATATTCTCAAAATATTGGAGTAAAAAATAGTTTTTTTATTTGAACTTTCAAGGAAAATTAATCAACGATTTAGAAAAAAAAATATTTTTTCTATTTAATTTCAACATAATTTTTGTATATAAAAAATGGTTTTTTGTTTAATGTAAAAGAAAACTTTGTAAACAAATTTCATTGTCTTCGGTATGGAAAATATTTTCTTTTACAATCGTTGATCAGAAACGTTGTTAACTTCGCGGACTTTTTATTATTATATTTAATTATAATTTAATTACAGAATAATTAATTGAATTCTTTTGTTCTATTAGGATCTAGAACAACTTCGAAATCATATGCAATGGATACATAAAGTTAAAATACATCCAAAGATGATTTATAATCGACCTCCTCTGAACTGCCAGAAGTGTCAATTTCGATTCTTTACGGATCAGGTAAGAAGTATTTCAATATTTTATTGAATTATTTGAACTTTTCGTATTTTTTTTTTCTGTGCTAAAAACCGGAGTATTTTCCTTTTTAAGTTTCTTACTCTCTAAGAGTAAAAAAATACTCTTATTTTTTTTAATATAATTAAAGTTTGTGAATATTGAGAAAGAAATTCTTATCAAACAGGGGTTGGAGAGACATTTGTTGGGATCTCATGGACTTGTTACGTCAAGTATGCAGGAAGCTGCTAATAAGGGTAAAGATGCAGGTCGTTGTCCAGCTTGTGGCAGGGTAAGTTTTTAATTTTTCGAAATTAACTGTTTTTAATTAGAAATTTGATCAGATTGGAAATTGAAGTCCTTATTTTAGTATTTTAATAAAAATTTACATTTATGATAAAATTTCTAATAATTTATATTTATAGTGTAAATTTTAGTAATTTATATTTATAAATACAGTGTTACAAGTTCGGAAAAGTCAGGAAAACTAAAATTGCTCAGTCCAGAATTTTTTGGCAAAAATACGAAGGAAAAATATTTAAAAAAAAAATTTATTAAAGAATAATCAAATTAACGAAAATTTTGTAAAATTGAATTGATAATAATTAAATATCTTAAACAATTTCGTTAGAGTTCAAAGAAAATTCGAATTTTCAAAGAAATTAAAGATTTTTAAAACTCTAATGACATTCTTTGAGAAATTTAATTATTTTCAATTCAATTTTACAAATATTTTCCATTCATTTATTATTTGATAATTTTTTTTTTTAATTAAAATCATTTTTAAAAAAGACAGTGTCTTAAAATATACTGAATTAAAATTTCTCAGAACAATTATAAAATTAAAATTCTTTGAAAATTCGAATTTTCATAATTAAATGTAATGAAATTCTTTAAGAAATGTAATTATTTTTATTTATATTTCATTAATTCTTGTTTATTAATTACTTCATTTCAAATAAACTTTAAATTTGAAATTTTATTAAAAATTTAAATTTTGAAATGTTTTTTTGTCATTCTAAAAAATTAGGTTTTTAAAATATTTCAATTCTTTAATTCAATAATGATTCAATTATCTTTTTTAAAAAAGGAATTAAAACAAATAATTGAAAATTTCGCAAAAATCTATTGAAAATAATTGAATTTTAAGTAATTATAATAAAAAACTTGAAAAAATTACTTTTTTGAAAATATTTTGATACATTTTTTAAAGCTAATTTTTATTTGAAATTTTTTTTATTCGTTTATTTTCAAAATTTGCAATTAAAGTTCTTCAAAATTCAGTTTAAAAATATTTTTATTGGGGGAAATTTTGTAAAATTGAATTGAAAATAATTGAATATCTCAATGAATTTCACTAGAGACTTTAGGAAAAATGAAAATTTTTATGAGAATTTTATTTTAATAATTATGCCAAATAATGGTCCAAATTTCATTTTAAATAATTAAATTTCGAAACAGTTGCCAATTAAAATTTTTATTTAGTAATAATTAAGTAACTTTTAGAAATTATTAAATTTTATAAATTTTACTCATTTTCCGTAAACTTTCATATTTTCCTGTGAAAATAATTTTGTCAGGGAAAATAATTTTAATGTCAGTAAATTGTCAGGGAAATAACTGAAGAACTATTTTTCAAAATTCTTTTAGTTAGGTAATAGAAGTGGTTTTTGACTGTTTATTTTTTTTTTCTCAAGGTATACCAATGGAAGCTGTTAAATCATGTAGCGCGGGATCATGGTATGACTTTGAAACCGGCTCATCTATCGTACAAATGCACAGTTTGCACTGCCACATTCGGAATGTATAAGCAGTTCGAAAATCATGTGTACTCGGCTCACAGTGTTGTCGCCAAGCGAGTTATAGACAAAAAGAACGCGCCTTCGTCACCATCAAGTCGTGCCAATGATTCACTACTGAAACCATTGAAAATCAACGACGAAATAACAATTATTCCACAACCAGCTAAACCAACAACTAGATCTATTCAAGGTCGAGGTAAATAGCAATCATCAGCAGAGTGATACGTGCAACTCGTTTCATTAAATTTCACATAACTTTGTGGTACTCCAATAATGGTCTCTGTCGTTTATATATATTTTTTTTCTCTTTTTTTTTCTTCTCTTGAAAGAAAAAAAAACAAACAAACAGTGATCGACGCGAAGTGTACATGTGTATGCATATTATGCTTAAGGCACACATTCACACAAATACAAAAACATGAAAAAAAGAAAAGCAACACAAATTGAACCGATACCCCCCCTCTAAAAAAAAGAACATCATCTAATTCTCTCTCTCTCATTCTCTCTTTTCCCTCTTGGAAAAATACTAGTTGACTGCGAAAAAAATAATTAATATTCCATCGACGATTATACCTGATATATTTATTTAAGAATTTTTATTGTTGTTATCAGACAGAAGAAAATAGACTGTAAAAAAAAGAACATTGATAAAAAGGGTGGCCTTCAGTATGATTCCTTCGTTGATCCTCGAGTCGTGCAAATCCTCATAAAAAAAAAAGAAAAACGCGCCTCTCTTGATTGTTCGAAAATCTACACAAATATTATTCGTGTCTTGTCGTGTTTTATTAAAAAATGGATCTCTCTCAGTACTGGAAGCTTGTAATTGTAAATCCTTTTTGTAAACTAGTATTTACACTCAAGCTTGAAAAAAAACATCTTTTCAAGAAGACAAATTTTTCAAGGGTATTGGGACTTTCTCTTTTTCTAATTAATTATTTAATTAGTACCGAAAAAAATAATTAATTATTTTGATCAGATTTAAATTAATTTACTAGATATTAATTGAATGTTAATTCTTTTTTTTTTACTTAAAAAAAATCTAAATAGACCACCACTCCCCCTGTAAATTTTTTTTTCTCGAAAATCGCACCCGATTTTTTAAATATTAAATATCACAGAAAAAATGTAAAGATGTAAAAGTTGGACACTTTGTCGAAGTGTCACTTGAACTGTAATAAAAAAAAATATATCCGCAGTTTTATTTTTTGCGCTCTTTTCAAGAACAACAAATTGTACATTAAAAATATAGAATATATAATATAATCAAGTAAAATACCGGAAAAAAAGCGAAAAAAAACATACACAAATGCGCTCGCAAACAATACACACGAAAAACAGAATATTATAATTTAAAAAAAAGGTTTTTCCGATTTTTCAAGTAAGTTTATCTTTACGAGTCGATATAGTTCTTGTTTTTGAAGGAAAAGTGAACGCCAAACATTATTGCTTATATAAAAAATATAAAGGGCCTGTAAAACATCTTTTTAAACGAAACGAAGAATTATTATTATTTTTTCTTGTGGATTGAGCGAGAGGGAAAATTATTATTTTAGTGAAATAATTTTTATCTCATATGCGAAAAAAAACTACGATTTAAATAGGCTCATATATTAACAATGTAGATAGTCCTTTTTTTTGAATGAAAAGGAAAAGAAAAGAGAGTAACGGGTTTAATTTAAATAATTTCGACTTCTCATAATTTTTGTACGTTACTATTATAGGTAAAAAGAAAAAAAAAGTGAATAATTTTAGAAGAGAAAACGTATTTCGTGCGAAGGGTTATAATAAATGGTGTGCTTTTGCACTCAGGCGGCTGTATTATTTAAAGAAAAAAAAACAAAAAAGAAAAAAAACTCGGCTATTTGCCAGCCACTATTAAACGGTGATCCATATGTTGGTAAAACTGAGAGCATTCATAGACGTAATTACAGAAATTATATAGTTTACTGTAATAATTTGTACAATATATGAATAATTAGTGATTGCGAAAATAAAAAAAAGTGTACCAACATTGTATTAAAAACAAAAAAAGGTAAAAAAAAAATCGTCGTTCAGCGAATTTTTCAGTTTTTGTGTCAGTCCATCGATTTTTTTTTCTTCTAATTACTATATCGCTTTTCTTGATCTTGAATATGTTTTGCTTCAATTTTCTTCTTTTTTCGAGTGAAAGAAAATTTATTTTTTTTTGTCGAATGCAAAGAAAATTATAAGTTAAATAATTTTGCATAATGTTGAGAAAAAAAATTTAATTTAAGAACATTAATTTTAATTAATAATCTTAAAAGAAAAGGCTGTAAATTTGAAGAAATTTATATTTTATTTGCGTCCAATATTTAAAAAAATTGTATGCGTACAATTTAATCCGTTTTTAAATTACTTTTTTTGGCTAAATTTTAGCTAAGTACTTTGTTTTTTTTAAGGAAATGAAATTTTAAGTTGACTTTTTTTTCTGCTGATTTTAGATAAAAATTTACAATTTTGTATTTTTAATTCAAGATTCATTTGCGAGTGTCGCTCAGAGAATTTATTATCTACTTATAATTATATATATATATATAATTTTCGATCCAAAATTCAGACTTGTTCGCCTCTTTGCGAGAAACTGTAGAATTTTATTTGTTTGTGTAAAAAAAAGAAATTAATCGAAAATAAATCATTCTTTTATATAAAAAGCCTTAGGCTGACGATAAAAAAATGTTTAATGAACTTCAATCTGATGTAGACTTTTATTTTTTCACTGAATTCGTTATCAAAATAATTATTTTTGTGACGTGCTCCGAAAATTTTAGGTTATGTTTATAGTTTTTGGAGTAGAAATGCAGATAGAGAATCGATTGCGAATACAAATTATTGACTTTCTAGTCTTTATTGTATCCGAAATAAGCTATAAAAACTGGTTTCGAATTTATTGAGTTACAAAGAAACTTTTAATTAAGGTAAAAGTAGCATAAACATAACCTTAAATTAATAATTTAATTTTAATTTAATTTAATTAATAATTATAATTAAACCGAATAAGGGTCTAAAGAGTTTTGTTTATACTTTTTGGTAATTAATTTTATATTTCCAAATTTCTTTCTTAATTCTATTTACAAATTACGTTCTAAAATTTTTTTTCGTAAATTAAGTTTTATTTTCAAATTTGAATGTTAACTTCCGTTTTCTGCATACATGTCGCTGCTTCCGTTCAAACATAACCTCAAAATTAAGCTGTTCATTTGACTAACGCAGTACCTGAAAGCCGGCAACCGGTGAAACAAGAAAGAAAAAGATCACCATTTGGCGCCGAATTCTCTCAATGAAAGAAGGTCTGTAAGGAAGTTGTGAAAGGTGCTCCTCTTTTGTGCTTTGGAAATCAACTTTATCCTGTTAAAATAGTGTTTTATATTTATTTTCCATAACGTAAAACAAATAGGAGAACAATGACCGATCTTCCGTTTCGCGTAGAATACGCGAAAAGTGGTCGTGCTGGCTGTAAGGCATGTAAAAATCCAATTGCGAAGGATTCTTTGAGGCTTGCTTCTATTGTACAGGTAAAAAGTCATAGACAAAGAAAAATATTCAATTTTACTTGTATTATTATTTTGTGTTACGTAAAAGTGTTGATGAGATGAATTTCTAACCTATAATTACTTGACAGTGTTTACTCTATATTTTATGCTTTTTAGATTATTCAGAAATTCTTTCAACATTAACTACGCAAAACTTTATTGTTCCTATTTATTTTCTTATTATCTTTTTCAGCGTCTAATTTTCTTTGAATAAAACATAGAATATAATTGAATATCTAAATTTTTACTGCATTGATATTGACTTTTTTCGATTATTTATTTATTTTAGAGTCCGTTCCACGATGGAAAAATGGAAAAATGGTTTCATTCGGCCTGTTTCTTTTCGAAGAATCGTCCAAAAACAACTGGAGATATTGCTCATTTTGATAGCATTCGCTGGGAGGATCAAAATTTCATTAAGGAACAAATTGGTATAATATTAAATTTTATTATTATAATTACAGGCTTGGAACTCATCTACTAAAATTTATTTACTACTTTTTACGATTTGTTATTATTTCAATACTTTTTTTTTATAATTGTGCCAATAAAAGCTACTTTTTTCTTTCCAATATTTAATTTAATTAAAATTAAATAATAATTTAATTTATTTTTGTGCTCTTCAAAAATACTTTACTTATTTAATAGTCTCGACTCTTTGGTAAAAAATCTAAAATTATCGAAAATTAGCAAAAATTCAAAAATCCGAATTTCTTAAAATTCAACATATTTTCCTCTCTTTTATGGGATTTAGCTTCATTATTTTTGTGCTCTTGAAGAATACTTTACTTATTTAATAGTCTCGACTCTTTGGTAAAAAATCTAAAATTATGGAAAATTAGCAAAAATTCAAAAAACCGAATTTCTTAAAATTTAACATTTATCCTTCTTTTTTATGGCATTTAGCTTTAGTCAAAATTTTCTTAATTAATATTAAATTTTTCTCTTATATTCGCTGGGAGAATAAAAATTTCATTAAGAAACAAATTGGTTCCTTTTTTACGATTTGTTACTATTTGGATACTTTTATTACAATTGTACCATTAAAAACTACCTTTTTTTTTAGACAATTTTCATTACTAAAATTCGCTAATAATTAAATAAAAATGTCGCATCATTATTGTAGTAATTAATATTAAATTCTTTGCTTCTATATATTTTTGTGACTCCAAATTTCAGGAGCTAATGCAGGTGGAGGTGCAGTCGATTCAGGAAATTCGAAAGGAAAATCACGAAAGAGAACAAATAACGCAACCCCAACGAATAATAATGATTTCACGGTGGAATACTCGAAATCAAGTCGAGCAAAGTGTCGTGCCTGTGAGGAGGTGATAATTAAGGGAGATGTGAGAATTTCCAAAAAGGATTACGACAGTGAAGAGGGTAGAGCTTTCGGTGGAATTGATCGTTGGCATCATGTTCCTTGTTTTGTGAAAATAAGAAACGATCTTGAATACTATGATGCTGGTAATAATATTCCTGGTTTTAAGAATTTGTCAGGTGAGGATCAGAAAATGGTGAAGACAACGATTCCAAAACTTAAGGAGAGCGAAATTCCTGACGCGAAGAAAATTAAAGTTAAAGATGAACCCGAGGATGCTGCTGAGGAGAAAAAAATGCAAGAGCAAAATAAAAAAATGTTCAAAATTCGTGATAAATTGTCGAAGAATGGTTATACAAGACCGTTTTTAACGCAACTATTGGCTGAGAATGAGCAATTTGTTCCCGAGGGCACGTCAAGTGTAATTATATTATTTGTTTATTAGTCATTTTTAGCATTCATAATAATTTATTTATTTATGCATTTCTTTATTTATCCTAATAATCGTTGTATTCCGTTAGTCTGCCTCGCAATTGAAATTTATTTGGTTCTAATTTCTTTTTCCTATTCTACTTTTTTTTGTTAATTTCTCTTTTTAAATGTCTTGAATTTTCAAATTAATAGAATTCTATAATTTAATGCATTTGAGATTAAATATTAAATTAATTAAACATAATTGCTTTTAATCAAAAATGATACATAAATTTCTATTTTAAATTTTACAATCTAAAACTTAACAAAAACTTATAAATTATTTTAGAAAAAGTCATGTTTATTATTGCGAAATACGGTTTTCTTCAAAATTTATTTTCTAGGAAAAGTTGAATTTTATTTAATTTATTTATTCTTTAAAGAATTTTAGGAAAATTTTTGAAAATAATTGAATTATTTTAAGAAGAATATTATGGAAATTTTTGACAACCAAATTATTTTGAAGAAATTTATGGAAATTTTTTAAAATAATGAAATTCTTTAGAGGAATTTAATTAAAATTGTATTTAGAAATAATTTAAATTTTATAAAGGATTTTATAAAATTTTTGCAAAATAATTGAATTTCTCTAAAGAATTTTATTATTTATGAAAATAATTGAATTTTGGAAATTATTTCTACGAATTTAATTAAAATTTTATTCGAAACAATTGAATTGATATTAAGAATTATATTATTTATGAAAATAATTGAATTTCCGAGAAGAATTTTATTATTTGTAAGAATAATTGAATTTGTGCGTAGAATTTTATTACAATTTTTGTATATAATTGAATTAATTTGACGAAATTAAATAAAAATGTTCTGGTTATTTATATTATTTTTCTTATCAATTTATTTATTTTAATTAATTAAATGTTACTTATTTTTCCAAGCTTCAAGACATGCTGGCGGATGTAATGACATTTGGTGCCTTGGACACGTGTAAACAGTGCGGTGGTCAGTTTAAATTTCAATCCGGAGTTGGATACAAATGCACAGGTGACGTTAGCGAATGGGCTAAGTGCGAGGAAATTGTAGTCAATCCAAAGAGAAGGAAATTCGTCATTCCAAAAGAACTGAAGGAGACTGATAAATTTTTGTAAGTTTTTTTCTTTATAATTTTTTCTTTTTACTTTTTTTTTAATTTATAAATTATAAATTGTCATTTAGATAATTTAAAATGTCATTTAGACAATTTAAAGTGTCATTTAAAATGTTTAAAGTGCCATTTAAAATATTGAAAGTGTCATTTAAACAATTTGAATTGTCATTTAAGAATTGTACCATTTTTGAAATAGGTCGTCATACAAGTCAAAAGTAATGGAAAGAGTCGTCAAAATAACAGCCCCTTCGGTTTCGAGTGCAGTCAAAAAAGAGGACGTGACTGATGGTCCAAAAGTCGATGCCGGACCAAAACCACTTAAAAATATGAATTTCTTGTTCGCCGGACGTCTGAAGAAAGACAAGGAATCATTGAAAACGGATATTCTCCGCTTAGGAGGGAAAGTGGTGACAAAACTCGATGACACTGTCACTGCGGTGATTTCCACCGAGAACGAAGTGGAAAAAATGAGTGCTCGCATTGAAGAAGCTAAGGAACTCGATATACACGTGATTTCCGAGGATTTTGTCGAGGAAGCAAAACCTCTCACCGATTCCGCCGTTGAACTACTTCAACAGAAGAGTATTTGCACCTGGGGTGGTGATCCAACAGTGAGAATTTCAAAATCCGCCGAAAAATCGAATGCAAGTCGAGGCAAGAGTATGTGGGACAAGAAATCGAGTTCGGGAAAAGTGAAATTGCGCATCAAGGGTGGCGGTGCCGTGGATCCGGACAGTAAACTCGAGGATGTTGCCCACGTTTATCAACGTGGCAAAGAAAAGTTCAATGTCAATTTGGGCATCACCGATATACAGAGCAAACGAAACAGTTACTATAAAATGCAAATTCTCAAACACGATTCCAGGGAGAAATATTGGCTGCACAGAAGTTGGGGAAGAATTGGAACGACTATTGGTGGAACGAAGACGACATCAATGTCACTTGAGGAATGTATTAAAACGTTCGAGGAAGTCTATGAGGAGAAGAGTGGAAATTCCTGGCAAAGACGGGATAATTTTGTCAAAGTACCAGGAGCGATGTATCCATTGGATCTTGAATATGGCGACGATGTTGATGACGAAAATGTCTTTCAATCGGAACTCAAGAGTAATTTGAAGAAACCAGTTCAGGATCTGATTAAATTGATATTCGACGTGAAGGCAATGAAACAAGTGATGAAGGAATTTGAAATCGATACGGAAAAAATGCCCCTTGGTAAATTGTCGAAGAAGCAAATCGAAAAAGCCTACGGTGTTCTAACTGATTTGTTGAATTTAATCAAGAATTCGAATCCATCGAGATTGCAGTTGATCGAAGCGTCGAATAGATTCTATACACTGGTGCCACATGATTTTGGTGTTCAGGAGCCGACGATAATTAGTACCGAGGAGGAAATTAAGGCCAAGTCGGAAATGTTGGAATCGTTGATAGAAATGGAAATTGCTTATAATTTGTTGCATGTCAAGTCAGATTCGACTGTACATCCAATTGACGCTCATTACGAGCAACTCAAGTCTGAAATCGATGTTATGAGCAAGGACAGCGAGGAGTTTAAGGTTATTCAGCAGTACGTTAAAAATACTCACGCTGCGACTCATCAACAATATGAATTGGAGATCGAGGATATTTATATTGTCAAGAGACAAGGCGAAGATAGGAGATATAAACCGTTCAAGAAGTTGCATAATCGAAAATTGTTGTGGCACGGTTCGAGAACGACCAATTTTGCTGGTATTTTGTCACAAGGTTTGCGTATTGCTCCACCTGAAGCACCTGTCACTGGTTATATGTTCGGAAAAGGTGAGTTTATCTTTTTTTTTATTTATAAATTTTTATGCACATTCAGATTTTCTCATAATATGTAATTGTGAAAATAAAAAATAAATTATAAAAAATAGTAAAATAATCAAAGAGAAAATAAACTAAAATTAATCTAAATTAATTAAAAAAATTAAATTTTTCGGCATTTTAATGAAATGTTCAAATATTTATTAATTGTTAAACTTTCCTTTTTTCTATAACTTTAAAGGATTGTTTAAATAATTAAAATATTTAAATACATAATTAAAATAATTAGAATAATAATTGAAATAATAAAAATAATAATTATTATTTTCAGGTATTTACTTTGCCGATATGGTCTCAAAATCGGCCAACTATTGTTGCACAAATTCGGCAAATCCAACGGGTCTTCTTCTCCTCTGTGAAGTTGCTCTTGGCGACATGTTCGAACGTTATCAAGCTGAATACATCGAGAAACTTCCAACTGGAAAACATTCAACGTTCGGTCGCGGTCAAACGCATCCGGATCCAACTGTCGTTCACAAGACAAGCGACGGAGTGGAAATTCCTTACGGTCCCGGAATCACAGCAAAATTACCAAAAAAATCCGCTCTCCTCTACAACGAGTACATCGTCTACGATGTCGCTCAAGTCAAATCTCAATACTTGGTCAAGACCAACTTCAAATTCAAGTACTAGAAATCGCAGGTTTTTTTTCACAAACTATATTTTCGTTTAAAAAAAAAATACGGTTAAGATTCCTCTACCTCTTAGTCCTGAACAATTTTCTACCAAACATATATCTGAACAATTAAAAACCAAATTTTTGTTCATAAAATCAAAAACAATTAGAATCTAATTTTTGTTTATTAAATCAAAAATTCAGTTGTTACGATTATTTAAAATCGTCGTCAAGTAAAAATGTCTAAATTCCTTTATTTAGAAAAAGAATTGGAGAACGAAAAAAGTTAGAATAACGATTCAAAGGGCTAAAAGTTGTAACTTATTTTGACTGCACCTCCGATTTTTCTCTGAATACTTCTATTGAAAATTTAAGTGTTTGGTATTTATCTCGCAAAACAAATAATTTTTTTTTTTTAGTAAAAAGACTGAAACATTCAAATAAATGTTGTTACGTCTTTAATTTCGTCTCAAAAATTGTCTCTCTTCAAGTGTTGTTTAAAAAAATCGTGAAAAATTCAAATGTGTACGTTACCCTTAAAAGTAATAAAAAAACCCTTAAAAGAAATTTTACGCAAATTGAGATAAATACAGAAAACACAAAATTTTTTGTTACAAATATTATTGTGAGAAAAATTTTTCCACTTAATCTTAAGAGTTATTCGTAAATTATTTTTGTGTCAATTGTTTTTAAATATTAACGTCGACAGTTAATATTAATAGAAATTAAGTTTTTTGCGGTTTATAATTTATCATGTTTTTTATAATAGAAAACTGCATTTACTATTTTTTGGTAAATAAAAAAAAATATTTCTTTTACTATTGCTTTTATTATTATAAAACATTCTCATAGACGAATTTTTTTTTCATACAAATACAAAGTTCGCGGTTTCCTTCCAAGAATACTTGGCACCAAGATAAATTATAAAACTAACGACTTTTTCAAAAAAAAAAAAATGATGTTTTGCACGATCGTCAAAATTAACAATGATTCTTTTTTTACAGCTGTATTTTGCACTTGAGTGGAAAAAGTCAAAGGGGGGAAGATTTGAACCAGGCGAAATAGTCCAAATTTTAATTGATATTTTTCTCCTTTCCTGCACTAGGTGAAATTAAGCTTTTTTTAATACTCGAAATGGAAATCGTAATAGGATTGATCAAACGTATTAATTCGAATGTAACCGTCCTCTCCGCCTGTTGATATTGTGCGACCATTTGGATGGAATGCTAGGGAATTGATTGGACCGAAATGACCCTTTAGACGGGCGAATTCTTCCTCGAAGACCATGTGGAATAGACGAGCGTCGAATTTTCCTTGTCTTGCCGAGGTCGTTGTTACGTCCATGGCGTCTTGTCCTCCACCCAACACCACCTGAAAGAAAATTAGTTTTATTTTCCTCTTCTATTTCTTTTTTCTTCTCTTTTCTTCTCGAAAGTGTTAATAAAAAAGAAAATAAGAAAATTGTTGAGAAATCCGTAAATCCCGTAAATTTTCTCGAAGTCCGTAAAAGTCAGATTTTTTTTAAAAAAAAAAGGTCCATAAAGTCCGTAATTTGATTGAAAAAAGTTCGTAAATTCTACGATATAACTTGGAGAATTTTTAGAGAAATTACAAATGAATGCAAAAATTAAATTATTTTCAAAAGTAATAAAATTCTTCTCAGAAATTCAATTATGTCCAAAATTTCAATTATCTTTAGAAATAATTAAATTCATCTTCGAAATTCAATTATTTTCAAAAATTTTAATAAATAAAATTCTTGGCAACTTACATGGTCAAGAATTGGAGATATCGTTGCTGAATTCACAGGTCTTTCGGTTTTGTACGTCTTCAGCAACATTAACGAATCACTGTCGAAAAGTTTAGCGGTGTGATCTTTGGATGCAGTGACGAACATGGTTCCATCTTTATTCATCTGCATGTCATTAATTTGTGTCTTGTGTCCCTTGTTGGTGTTTATTTTCTTTCCGGTCTGTAAAATAAATTAAACGAATAGATGGTTTCCTATTTCAACAATATTCGTTATTTTTCTGTTTCGAAAGAATAGAAAACAATTGATGAAGTAGAAAATAGAAATAGAAAAAGTAAAATAAGAATTCAATAGAAAAAGAACATGGAAAATATAAAGAGAAAATACAAATAGATATAAGAATAGAAAAAGAAAATAGGAATAGAAGAAGAAAATAGAAATGAAAGAAAACAAAAATTAAAAAAGAAAATAGAAAAAAATAAAATAGAAATAGAAGAAAGAAAATAGAAAACAAATTGAAAAGAACTATAAAAGAAACTTACAGTGACGTCCCAGATGTTAATAACACCATCCTCATGACCAGTTATGATCGTTTCCTCCAAAGCTCCCCAAAGAACGGCCGAAATTCTAGGACCGTCAATTGAAATTCTGTGAATTGTGTCCTGTTTCGACAAGCCGGCATCGACATTTCTCGTGTCAATGATAAACATTTCGCACTGATGACCAAGTGCCTTGTCAGTACTGTACACCGTCAAATTTCCAGAATAACTGAACGAACACGTTCTCACTGAACTGTTTGTCTCCAGCTTTCCAATAACTTTTCCTAATAATTAAACATTTTTATAGAAAATATTTAAATATATAATTAGAAAATTTTTTATTAATAATAATTACAATACAAATTGTAATTAAAAAATTCATTATTGAATTCCATAAAATTATTTTTTTGAAATAATCGAATTCTCAGAATTTTATTATAATTTCGAAGAATTTGATTGATTCCTGTGTAGAATTTTATAATTCATAAAAATAATTGAATTCTTGAGAAGAACTTAATTTGAAATTTGTGGAAATAATTGAATTGTTTGGTATAAATTTATTAAAACTTTAGAAAATAAAGAATTAAGAGAAGATCTTAATTGAAATTTATGAAAATAATTCAATTGTTTGAAGAAATTTATTAAAGTTTTAGAAAATAAATAATAAATACTTTAAGTGTTTTTTTTTTAATTTTGAATCTGAAATTATTGAAAAAATATTCTTCTAATAAAAAATATAATTACCTGTTTCACAGTCCCAAATCATCAAAGTATTGTCACCACTTCCAGACATAAATCGAGTTGTATCCCAATTAACATCAATGCACCATACCGAACCATTGTGTCCATTAAATGTACCCAATCTCTCTCCATTCAACGAATACCAAACATTTGGTTTTTTATCCTTACTAGCTGAGAATAATAAATCTCCTTCTCTATTGTATTTAATTTTCGTTATCGCACGCTCGTGCCCGTGTAACATCAACGGTTTCTGGAAAATTAAAGCCGATTTCAGTTAAAAAAGCAGAAGATATCAAGTGAAATAAATAATTATTTCCTCTATTTTCAAAAATTTTGGTCTAACAAACTTTTGTTCATTTGTCATTTAATTATTTGACAACCATACGGAATTTCGAGGAAAAATGCAAAATATTTAACAAAATGATAAATTTATAGGTTAGGTAGTCACATGCTCCAAATGTTCTTCTTTAAAAAATAGTTCCTTATTATCCATAAAAGCGAACACTTGTTCAATTTATAAATTTATCAAATACTCACCATTTTGCTATGAAATTATTTAACTACACTGCTAGAATAATAAAGAATAAATATGAAGGATAACAAAAATTGTCAATCAAGAGAGTAGAAAAAAATTCTTCTATAGATGTGAAACAAGATGGGAAAATTGATATTTTCTGGACAAGTTACATTCTTAATTCTGATTGGTTCTTGTAATTATTCCACGTGCATTTTACGCCATCTAGTAAAGGGAAAAAAGGAAACAATTATTTCTTTTCTCAATAAGAAAACATCTATGGAAATTATTAGTTCCGATTCCGAATTCCGTTGTTGGTTGGACATTTTGGGAAAAGTGAAAAATTGAAATAGAAACGCAGGCATGTCAGAGGTCAACAATCAAATTCAAGTTGTTGAAAGAACTTGTCTACAATGGGAAGATTATCAAAATCAATTCTCAGGTGTTGTTCGACAACTTCTAGACGAAAATTGCATGGTGGATGTTACACTATGTGTATCGGGACAACGCATTCTTGCTCATCGCATCGTTCTTTGTGCTTTCAGCACTTTCTTCAAAGTAAACAGATTCACGTTTTTCCTATTTTGAATTTTTTTATTTTTGTTTTTGTCAAACTTTTATTTTTTTGCAAAAATAATTATATTTAATTTTGGAAATAATGTTTAAATTTCGTTTTATTTTTTCTCTACTCGATAATTATTGAGGGAGGAAAAATTCTAGATATTTACAGCTTATTTTAATATTTATAATTTAATTAATAAATTTTGCAGGATTTGTTGAGTCAGGTGACTGACGATCATCCAGTTATTATTTTAACCGGCGTGTCTCCTGAATGTGTCAAAGGAATTATTGAGTTTATTTATCAAGGAGAAGCCTATTTTCCCGCAGATAGTATAAAAAATATTTTGGATACTGCATTTTATCTTAAAATTGCTGGATTAATGGAGGTATACGAATTTTTATTCATAGAAAAACTTTTAATCAATTTATTTATTTACCTTATTTTTTTCCAAATTTTTTATTTCTCTTCAGAAAGAGAAAAAAGAAAGAAAGGAAAAAAATGTACATTTTGTTTGCAATGTTTCAGTACAAAATCAGTGAAACAGTTTCGAAATTGAAGGAAGATGCGGAAGAAATTGAAATATCGGATACAAATTTGAATGAAATGGAGGAGGAGGAAGAAGTTTTGGATGTTTTCGAGCATGTTTATGAAGAGACGAATGATCAATCGGAACAGAGTGCAACTGAGGAAAATTCTGATAGTAAAAAAAGAAAAAGACGTTATTCAATGAAACGGGAATACAGTGAAGATATGCTTGCTGCGGCTATTAATAATTTACGTGAGGGACAAACATTAATTGAAGCTGCTACTAAAAATCATATTCCTCGTTCTACATTGTATATGCGAGCAAAAGCCTTAGGAATTCAATTGCAGGCTTGCAGAAATGAATATCCTGCCGAGTGTATGAAAGGAGCAATTGACGCCGTCATCGGTAAATTTATTATTTCTATTTCATTTATAAGAAATATTATAATTGTACTTTTTTTTAAGAGGAAAAACAAATTTTAAATGCAAACATTTATTATTTCTATTTGATTTATACGAAATATTATAATTATACTTTTTTTTTGAGGAGGAAAAACAAATTTTAAATGCAAAAATTTATTAATTCTATTTAATTTATATACGAAATGTTATAATTGTAATTTTTTTTAGGAGGATCGAGTTTGCAGACTGCTTCGGAAATGTTCGGTATTCCAAAAACAGTTCTTTGGCGACGAATGCAAAAGGAGGGTTATCAAGTTTTTCGACCAGAACTGAAGAGGAGTTATGGTTCGGATAAAAGGGAAGCGGCAGTAAAAGCATTAGAAAGAGGGGAAAATCTATCGAAAGTGGCGCAAGAATATCAAGTAATTTCAAATCAAGAATTACACTTTCTTTTCACTTTAAGTTTAAAAGTATTTCATGCATCGATAATAAGGAATTTTAAAATTAATGAAATTCCAATCCAATGCTTGGAAGTTTAAAATAATAATATCAAAAATTAATTGAACCAAATTATTTTCCAAATTTTGAATCTGAAATAATTGAATTCTTATAAAGAAATTTATTCAAATTTTGGAAAATGATTGAATCTCTTGAGAAAAATTTAATTAAACTATTTTAAAATAATTTAATTCTCACAAGCAATTTTATTAAAATAATATTTAAAGTATTAAAATTCTTATAAAGAGTTTTATCAAAATTTTCGAAAATAATTGTATTTCTGCGAAGAATGTTACGTTTAACATTTTTTTTTTAAATAATTTAATTAAATCGAGAAATTCTATTATAATTTCTTTAAATAATTGAATTCTTTCGGAAAATGTTATTAATTATGAAAATAATTGAAAACTCGGTAAGAATTTTATTAAAATTGTATTAAAAATAAGTGAACTCTTACGAGAAATTTAAGTAAAATAATATTTACAGTATTTAAATTCTTATAAAATGTTTTATCAAAATTTTCAAGAATAATTGAATTTCGATCAATTTTATTATAATTTCTTTAAACAATTGATTCTTTCAAGAAATGTTATTAATTATGAAAATAATTAAAAACTTGGTAAGAATTTTTTTAAAATTATTGAAAATAATCAAATTCCTGAGAAAAATTTTATAAATTATCAAAATTGAAATCTTGCTAAGATTTTGATTAAAATTTTCAAAATTAATTGAATTTTTTCGAGGATTTTATTATAATTGTTTTAAATAATTGAAAATAAGTGACTTTTTATAAAGAATTTTACCAACATTTTCCCAAATAATTGAATTTCTAAGAAAAATTTTATTATTTAGGAAAAGAATTAAATTTCTTCAAACCATTTAATTAAATTTTTTTTTTATAAAGAATTTTTTTGACATTGTTTTAAACTAATAATATTTTTGTCAAGAAATTTGTTAAAATTCTTTGTAATAAATAAATTCCCGCGAAGAATTTGATTAATTATGAAAATACTTCAATTCTCATAAATAATGTTATCAAAATTTTTTAAAGTAATAATTGAATATTTTCCGAAGAATTTCATTAAAATTCTATTTGAAAATATTTCAATTCACATAACGAATTTAATCAAAAATTTTTCAGAATAATGGAATTTTTGCTAAGAATTTTATTAAGTTTTTAAAAGTAATTGAATTCCTAATGCGAAAATTTTCCTAACATCTAAAATTTATTCTAGATACCAAAGACAACGTTGTTCAGGGACAAGACAAAATTAATTGATCAAGGTAAGTTACCAACGTCGTTTTGGAAGAAGAGAAAAACAGAAAACGAAGCTGTTAAACAATTTCGACTCGAGGAAGCAGTAGCTGCGTGCAAAAGTGGAAAAATGTCACAAGCCGCCGCATCAGTTTGTTATCGAATTCCAAAAACAACGATATGGAGGCGATTGCAGCAGGACAATTCGAAAAATAAGAGGAAAACTAAATCAACTGGTGCAATTAATGCAACCGCTAACACTATTGACGCTAATGAATTCACATTTTGTGAAGTTACATCAGGAATTCCAATCACTTATATAGACGAGAATAGTATTCCCGAAGATTCCGTCATAATTCTCACAACAGAAGATGTCGACGAATTGAGTTTGGAAAATCGAGCCCAAATTATTGTCAATTCGGTAAGAATATTATTCTAACCAAATTAACAAAATATTTAGTAACCAATTAAGTTAATAACTAATTTTTAACCAATTGACTAATTTCTAATCAATTAACTAAACTTCTAATCAAATTAACAAAGAATTGTAATTAACAGTTTAAAAATTAATTTTCAGAATGTCAATGAAGAATTCATTTCCAATTCGGAAGCGGAGCCCACCTACACTGTTTCGAAGAGTTAGCAAATGCTTCTTGCAAAGAATGTATAGCTATTAGATTAATCTACGCTAAGAAATTTAGTCAGTTTGTTTCATAAATTCACATATAGATATATATTTAAGGTATGTAGTATTTTTTTCAGTTTTTATATTGAAAAGTAGAAGAAAGAATTTAATAGAATTTTCTATTGATACAAAAAAAAGGATCAATTCTTGATCATCTAGCAATATTTTTTGCACCAATTTGTTCTTAAGCAAAAGATTTGTTCATTTATAACGTGGATGAAATTTACAATCAACGATTAGAAAGAAAAAAAAATATTTTTGTTTTACTAATTTTTCTTTTGAGTTGTCAATGAAGAAACGTGAAAATTTCTCTTAAACGACAATAATTTTAATAGAAAAGAATTTTTTTAGCTGAACAATTTTAGAATTTGTTTTCTCATTTATACATTTTCTTCTTAATCGTTCATTATGTTTGTGAACTTCATCAACTGTTTATATATTACTGTACAAGTTTTGCAAATTAAAATATTTAGTTTATGAATAGTCAATTAATTTAAATTAGAGAAACGCGATTGACGATTAAGAATTTTGCATTCTGTACAGTAATATATAATAATTTTGCAAGTGATAATAATTTACGAACATTTGCAAATGTTTAGTATTTACATTGATATTTCATTTTAGTTGAAATGTATTATAAACAATTAATTATTAATGTTCAAAAAATAAAATATATAAATAAGTTTGAAAGTTAGTCTTTAAATTAATGCAAGTTATTTTAATTGTTTTCAGAATTTAATTAATTTAATTCAATTCTTTTTATTTTTCAATATTGTTTTATTGAATTTTAATTATTGAATTTAATTTCAATGATTACTTTAATTTCAATTATTTAATTGAATATCAGCTATTACTTTAATTTCAATTATTAATTGAATTTTTTTAATGTAATTTATTAATTTAAATTAATACAATTTCTTTCAGTTTCTTTCAATTTAAATTTATTATATTTTTAAAAAGTAATTTTAATTTTCAAAAATTATCCAATAATTTTGTACAATAATTTATTTTTCATATAATACACAATTTGAATTATACATTCATTCAGTATAAAAGTAAATAATTCATTTCAGTATAAAGTAAATTAAAAATAATGAAAGTTATTGGAAAATAGGGGAAAAATAATCGATTTGTCGGAAATTGACTTCATTAAAAGGTAATAAAATTTTCATGAAAATTTGGAAGAAGGTCACACTTTTTCTTATTGACAAAAAAGTGTCAAATTAAATTCTAACTTAATATTTCTAATCAATATTAATGTTTTAGTTTTTTTCCAATATTATATTTTCTAATCCTATTGTATTTAGAGTGATTACTGAAATTTTTTTTTTATTCAATTCTTATGATTAATTAATTTTTTAAGTCTCATTATTTATTATTATTACTTATTTATTATTATTATTCATTATTAATATTATTATTAAAGTGCTGAAAATATTTTTATTAACATTTTAATAATTGAATTTTTATTAATTAATTTATATTTTAAATATTTATATCTTTATATCTAAAATTCTAAAATTCAATTTTCGTTCATTCATTTACATCTTAAATTAAATCATCGAATTTTTATTAATTTTCTCCAAAAGAAAAAATTGATTTTTAACTAAAATTTAAAGTTAATCATTAAAAAATATCTCTGACTTTCGAAAATTATAGTTGTTCGTTTAAAGAAAAAAAAATCTAAAATAGAAAAAAATTGAAGAAATAAAAATTAATAATTAAAATTCTATGACGACAGGAAAAAGTAAATTCATTGTGAAAAAAAAGTGTTATAATTAGTTTAATCTATGATTCATGTGTAATATTTTTTTCCTTTGGTTTTTCAGTTCTTTGAAATTAATATTTGAAAAAAAGTGTTTAAACAGATGTTTATATATTAATTATTTCTGTTGACGAAAGTACGACTACGAAAGAAGAACTCGACTGCACACCTACATAGTTTCAATAGCAATCGTTTTTGAAGTTCAGTAAGCAGAAGTCTCTCGCCCGCGTCGTGTCGTCGCCGCCGCCGTGTTCAGTGCTAAAAAAGCAAACAAAAATAAAAGACAAACAATAAAAAAAAGGTCAGTGCATTGTGTAACTAATTTTCTTTTTTAATTTTTAAATAATTTTAAATCTAAATAATTGAATTCGTTTAACTTTATTTGAAACGAAAATTTCTTTCAAGGAGAAAAATTTCCTTTTTTTTACACAAAATTAGATTAATTTCCTTCCGGCTATATTGAAATAAACAATTTTTACACTCCCGGAAAAAAAACAAAAATTTATTCAAATTGACAAATAGCAATAGTTTAATTATCACTACTTGTTGCTGAAATCGGAATATATTTTCGCTCTATTTTATTTTTAGTAACTAATCTACTTCGCACGATTAAAAAATTAATTTATTCCATTTATTTTTGTTTTAATTTCATTTTAATTTTAAATTAATGACGATTTTTGTCATATTTAGCAATATTATTTAAATATTGTGATAAATTTTAGAATTATTTATTCTTTAAATATAAAGAAAGTAACCTTGATATTTGAAAACGTCAAGGACAGAATAAATTTTTGTTGCGTGAGGAATAATTTCGAAAGAATGCATAAAAAAAAGTTTACGTACGAAAATCTTATTTCCGCTTTTAAGGAACAATAATCTTTTTTTGAAAGAGTTTTTTTTTTGTTCTTGAACTTTTTTTGGAATTTTGCCTCATGTTTCAAAGAGGAAGTTATTTTTGACAAACAAAAAATAATAAAATGTAAATCACATATTCAAGATTGTTTTTCATTATTTGAGTTACAATTTAGTGAAAATTTAAATAAAAAATTAAATGTTATAATAAAATAATTTTAATAATTATTTTATTAATAAAATTTGTTTTAGTAAAACAAATTTTACTTTTTAGTAAAATTAATTTAATTTTTAGTAAAACAACTTCAATTTTTTAGATTATAAACTTTTCTCATTTTCTTTCTGCGATTAAAATTGAGCGCATTATTTTATCATTTTTCTTGCTATTAAACCTTTTTTTTCCAACTTTTCAAGATAAGATTTCGAGGGAAAGATAAGAATAAAACAGGTGGAAAATTATTAAATATATTATTAATATATAAAAAATTATATTGTCGTTTATCGATAATTTGAAACAAAATAGACAAATTTTGATAATACGGCAAAGAATTAACTATTTTTTCAATATAATTTATATCAATAAATAAACTGTGTCAAAATGTTGATAAAATTTAAAGTAAATATTTATATAAACTGAATATTGACTAGAAAAATAATTTTTTAATATTTTTCTCCAATGAGAATAATTTACTTAATTTTTTTTTTTTTTGAGAGAAAAATAATTTTTTATATGTTGATTATTTTTAATTTTGTAAATTGTAACAGTGACCTATATATATTTTTCCTTTTCGAAGGATAAGCTACGCACTGCACATTTCAAGAAATCAATAACTTTAAGGATGGGAGGAAATTTATTTCCCATTGTTAGCATTATGATACAGAGAGGCTAAAAATCAATAATTCAGTTTCATTATCGAGAGAAATTAAATTTCAAATGAAAATTTATTACTGTCCTATCAATATTTTAAAACGGAAATTTTAATTTTAATTTTTAAAATTTAGATTTTTTTCTATTGAAATTGATTTCGTTAAAGAAAAATGTTTATTTTTCAATTTTACTATTTGAAAATAATTTCTTTCTTTGCTTTTCAATTCATTTATTTAAACGATATCAGAGAGAGGATTAATTGTATCGTAAAAAAGAACCGTATAGATTTGATGAAATAACAAAAATTTATCACTCTCAATAAACAAAATACAAAAAAGAGTTAATTTTCCTGTAGGCTTAAAAAGATGAGACATCAATTTTTATTTTTAAGCGATAAATTACTGCAATTAACAATAATTACAAAAATAAAATTACAAAAATGCAAAGATAAAAATTTAGGGGAAATAAATTTGAATAAATTTTCTCTATCAATTTTCGAAGAAAAAAAAGTCCTGTAGATTTTTTATACGAAAAACATTTTTTGTAATTATTTATGAAAAATTTTTGAAAAAATGTTAACTTTCATATTTAACTTTTGACGATGCAAAAGTAAATGTTTGGCAGCAAAATTCCTGTAGATTTTGTGTGCGAAAAACAATTTTTTCTAATTATTTCTGAAAAATTTCTCAAAAAATGTTAACTTTCATATTTAACTTTTGACGAAACAAAAGCAAATGTTTGGCAGCACATGAATAAGTAAACGAAATGTGTAGGTGCAATTTACTTCAAACTGATTACATGAACACGATAATAATGTGCAGCCTTAAGGAAAAAAGGAGGAAAATTCGAAAAACTAATTTTTCAAAGGATCGTTAAATATATTCCATAAAGAGAAAAATTCTGTGCGAAATATATTTTATTTTGAATAATAATTTTTATTAAATTTTGAATAATTAATTATTTTTATTAGTTATTATTGAAAATATTGAAAATTAATTTTTTTTCTTCTTTTATTAAAAATTAATTATTTTTTTTTCATTTATTGAAAATTAATTATTTTTCTTCATTACTATTAAATAATTAAATATTTCTATTAATTATTATCATTATTATTATTATTATTATTATTATTATTATTATTATTATTAAACTTATTACTAAAATCGTTAATTATTTTTGTAATGCAAAAAAAAAAATTTACAATTATTTTTGAAAAAAAATCGAGAGAATAAAATTTATTTCGTAAAAATATTCAAAAAATTGAGTAATTCTTTGGGGCTTGAAAACGTGTTCTTTGTAAATTTATTGTTAAAGATATGAGAATGGAAAGGAGTCTATTTTTGTATAGGGAAGTTTATGTGCATTAAGAAATGCTACTAAACGGAATTCGCCTCACTGGTTGGCGTTTGCTTTTTTATGAGTCTGTGAATGTTTGAAGTTAGTTCTTATTTTAGACTTCCGTTATTTAGCCATATGTACAAATTATTCGATGGACATCTCCAAAAATTTGATAATTTTCTGACATTTTCTTCACTTATTTTATATTTTTTTGAAGGAATTTTTGAATTTTTTTGAATTTTTGAAGGAATCAAATTTCTTAATTAACAAAAAGTAGAAAAAAACCAACTAAAGAATAAAGAAATTTAAAAAATTACAATAATGAATAAATAAGAGTGGTAATAATAATTATAATAATATTAATAATTATAATAATTCGTTAGAAAAAAAAATTATTTTTCTATTATGAATACTCAGTAATTTATATAAATATTTAGAATAAAATTTTGTTGACATATTGACGCAAGTGGCCCAAAAAATTTCATTGCGAAAGTCAAGTTCGGCTCTGTATTTATTAACAATGACGTTATAAGTTATCAGGCTCAATTACTATTATCATTATCATTTATTAATAAACGTTTCAATCCTTTTTTAACAATACCTTGACAATGAACAAAATTCACTGTGACTAATTATTTATTTTTATTGTCTTTCACAAAAATCTATACATTATCTTCTACTTCGTGAATAAGATATGATAAGAATATTTTTAAGAGCATATATTCTATAGCCCTGGCAAAAAATTGTTTAGCAATTTTTTTTTTCTAAAATACAACTGAAATTTTTTCAATTTAAACATTTTCTAAAATTTTAACTGAGCTTCTTTTTTCTTTTTGAGAAAGAAAATTCAGTCTATTTAAAATTTTGAATTATATGAATTTTTTTAATTTGAATCCTTATAAAAAAAAAAATAAAAAAGAAAATACAAAATACAAAAGAAAAATAAATATAAAAACAAAAAAGATATAAAATAAAAATGTAAAATAAAAAAATTGAATTATAAATTATATAAAATATTCCATTATATTATACCAGCAATAACGAAAATTAATCAATATAATTTCAAATCGTTAATTAAATGGCGTTTTTAACAAATGATAATAAAAAAAAAATTAAGCTCTCAACTCTAGTAAGTAAAAAAAATATATTAATTGCTGTGAATAATCATGAATAATTAAAATTGACGTACGTTGACGTATTCATGATTCACTGGCTTTTCAAATGCATATATACACCTTACTTGCTTGACAATGTTTTTCCAGTGTATTCGTTTAACCCATTTTCCAAAGCAGTAAAAATATGTTATCACCTTATCATCATAGTAGTGCAGTCATTCCGCCTTCAATATAAATGTCATTCGATACCTGAAAAAAAATTCAGTCACGTTAGTAAATAACATTTATAACTAACACTATTTTTTTAAAATATGAATCATTTCAAAAAAAAAGAGAAGGTAATTCCCTTGCTTACATAATAATAAAATTCAGACCATTAGAAAAAAATTACGTAAATGAAACAATGAGGGAAATTGTGCAATCTGTTGCCAACAATTGAATAGAGTTGACAATAGAGAATGGAAATGAGAATAATTACTCATGCAAAGGTATCGATAATTTTTATTAATGTAAAAATCGAAATTAAATATATATATGAAAAATTATCGATCCTGAAATATTCTAAACTATTAAATTTTCTTTTAATAATATTTTTAATTCTTTCAATATTTTTTAATTCTTTTAATATTTTTTATTCTTTTAATATATTTAATTCTTTTAATATTTTTTATTCTTTCCATATTTTTTATTCCTTTAATATTTTTAATTCTATTAATATTTTTTATTAATATTTTTTATTAATATTTTCTATTCTTTAAATAATAATTTTTAATTAATTAAATAAAAGAATTTCTTTTAATATATTTTTTATATAAAAAATTTTTTTTTAATTTTCTTGATTTCCGGCCTTTTTTCCGAAACGATAATTAATTTTCTTTAAAGGAGGAAAGTATTTTCTTTGAATATATTTTTTTTATAGAAGAAAATATAAATTATCGATTTGATTAAATTCGAATATTGGAAATATGATCTGATTTTTCTGTAATCTCTAGAAACAAGAGAAAAATAATTTTCCCGATAAGATTAGTTTTTTTATTTCAATTTCTGTCTTTCCTTTTTTTCAATTATCTTAAGGTCGCGGAGTTTGAAACTTCAATGAAACTGAAAAAATGTAGTGTTGCTTTGATAATCGAAATATTGTATAATAAAAATATGAAATCATCAAAAAAAAAAAAAAATAGAGAAAGAATTTTTTTTGAATTAATAATTTTAATCTATAATCGATAAGGGGAAAACTGAGTAAATAAATTTTTTATGGATAAATTTCATAACAAATCGTGTGAATTTTTTTTTCTTTGAAATTATTGGATACTTTTGAAAGTGTATCTAGAATGTCGTTGATTACTCAGCAATGAAAGACGATATATTTAATATAAAAGTTGATAACCGGTTAAAAAGAGTGAACATTATATTACGGTATATATATATATGACTCGGAATGCAAATTTAGATTCTCTTTTAGAGAAATTATTCTACATTCTGTGAATTAATTAATTTTTAAAATTATAACAATTTTTAGATACTAATTTGTAAATTTATAAATTTGTTATTTAATTAATTTATTAACAACTCGTATTTCATTTTTTCAATATTTGAAATAATCAAATTTTCTCCACGCCTTTTGAAAAGTTTTGTTATTTTTGAAATTCTTCTTTTAATTTCAATTTAAATTGTTTTTCTAAATTTAACTGTAAATTATTTGCTTGTGATTTTTACATTCTCATTGGGGGAAAAAAATGAGAATTTCTTGTTTTTAATTAACGAATATTGTCTTATTTCTTCTCTTTTTTTTTAGATCAGAGTACGAAATGAGTAAAGCTGGACCACCACCACCAGGTTTTGCTCCTCCTCCATCCTACACTGACGTAAATATGCCTCCACCACTGCGTAAGTCTGCGTTTTATCAATTTATTTATGAGTCATTATTTATATATCCACCTCGTTACTGTAGTTTTATCTACAAAATTTAAAAATAAAAAAGAATTAAAGTTTTTTCACATTCAGAGAGATATTACACATAAATGTTTACAATTATATTTTGTAAAAATGCTATTAACAAGAAAAATTAATGTTAAACAGTATTCGGAAAAATAATAGAAACTCATTAAAAAAATAATAAAAATAATGAAAATTATAAAAAATAAAAATTTGTAAAAAATAATAATAAAATAAATAATTAAAAAAAATAGAAATAAAATAAAAATTATTTTTTTAATTATTAAAAAAACAATTTCAGTCCAGTAATTTTTCCAAATATTGGAGCTAAAAAAAATTGTTCATTTAGAACGATTAAAAAGTTTAGAAAAATAATAATAAATACCTTTTTTGTTTAAAAAATTCCATTTTTGAAAGTTCATTCCTATTTTCAAAATTTTTGCTTTTAAAATAAATTTTCTCTTCTGTGCTGTATATTCATGAATTTTTCTATTTTCGTAGAACCAAATGTTGTCATTATGGGAGCTCCTCCAGTATTTGGACCCAATTCACAGCCGATGACTTGTCCCCATTGTCACGCCAATATTTCCACACGTGTTGAATCGGAATCTTCAACAAAAACCCATCTGTTCGCTCTATTGCTGTGCATTATTGGGTATGTTATCTGAAAAAAATTTTCAAACTTTAAATTTTAAGAAATAAAATTAAAAATTTCGACTAACGAAATTCTTCAAATCGAAATTTAACAAAAAATAAAACTACATAAAATTATAGATAAAATTCACACTGAAACTTTTATCGAAACGAAATTATTTAGAGAAAGACATTTTTCAAACAAAAAGTTAAGAGAAAATAAAACAACATAAAATAATAAAAATATAATTTAAAAATCAAACTAAAATTTTTATAGAAAAAAAATTATTTAGAGAAAGAAATCATTCAGAACAGAAATTAATTTAGAATAAGAAATTATTTAACGAAGGAATAGACTTAGGAAAAAATTAATTAGAGAAGAAATAGAATTAGAATAAAATTATTTAGAGAAGAAATAGATCTGGAAAAAAAATTATTTAGAGAGTAAATTGTTTAAAAAAAATTATTTAGAGAAGAAATAAATTTGGAAAAAAATTATTTAGAAGATAAATTATTTAAGAAAGAAATTATTTAGAGAAGAAATAGATTTAGACAAATGATTGCAGAAATTCAATTATTTTCAAAAGTTGTAAAATTCTTCGCAGAAATTCAATTATGTTAAAAAATTTTTAAAAAAAATTCTCATCAAAATTTAAATTATCTTTAGAAATAATTAAATTCTTCTCCGAAACTCAATTATTTTCAAAAATTTAAATAAAATTTTTGGGAAAATTTCAATTATTTTCAAAAATTTTCCTCAATTCAATGATTTTCAATATTTACTATTTTCATAAAATTGTCCAAAAGAATTCAATTAAGTATTTAAAAAAAAAATTAATGAAATTCTACACTAACTTTTAATTATTTTCAAAAAGTAATAACAAACTCCACAGGAATTTCATTATTTACAAATTTTTTTTATAAATTTCTTCTCAATCATTCGATTATTTTCATAAATAATAAATTTTCTAAGGGGATTCAATTATTTTCGTAAATAATAAAATTCTTTTTAGGAATTCAATTATTTTCATATATAATAAAACTCATTGCAGAATTTCAATTATTTTTAATACAATTTTAATCGAATTACTCGAAAAAATTCCTAAAAATTTTAATAAAATTCGTCAAAAGAATTCAGTTATTTAAAAATTTATAGATAAAATTCTGTATGAGAATTTAATTTTAAGAAACATTCAATTATTCAAAAAAAATTACTAAAACCTAAATAAAAATTCGGAAATAAATAAATTTTATTGACAAAAAAAAAAAATGTTTCAGCTGCTGGCCATGCGCTCCTTGTCCATATTGCATGGAATCGTGCTTAAATCAAAAACATTTTTGCCCGTCATGCAATGCGTACCTCGGACAACATGAGAATTAGTAACAGTATACGAAGCCGGACAACATCGCAAGTTCATTCCACTGTTGTTACTATATATCAGGATGCAGTTCGGATGACCCGGAAAAAAAAGGGGGAAAAAATATGTGTCTACTTTATAAAGCTCAAGTTTGCAACTCTTAAAGATAATCAAATTTCTATTTCAGAGACTAGAAATTAAAATTATTAAGCGAAATAACTTAATCAACTAAATGAATATTTTTCTATTTATTATTTGATATAATAGTCAAATAATAATTTAGTAAATTTGCAAAAAAAGAAAATATTTCAATAATTGAACTGTTTGAATTTTGAAAAAATCAAAATATTAAAATATATTTCAATTATTAAATTTTAAAACCTAAAAGAGTACAATTTAAATTGAAAAACATCAAAATATTCAAAAAATTAAATGAGAAATTAGAAATATTTCTAAACAATTTGATTTAAATGTTAAATTTAGCTAAAGTGCCTGTTCCGTTTATTTTATTTTCTTTATTTTGTAAATAAATGTAATTTTAGAAAAAAGTGATGTTGAGACAAAATTTAACACAATTAATTTTTAAGTGTTGCAAAATTTAGCCCGATGTCAATTTTTAAAACGTCTTTCACACTCAAATTGTATTTTTTACGTTTTAATCAATGTCGTGTTTTAATGTAAGCTGATAACAATCTCATCTGAATTAATTAGTCATTCGCCAAACAGAAAAAAAAAACAAAAAAAAAAAGAAGAAGAAAACGAAAATAATTACTCAATGTCCGTCAATAGCGCAATTTGCTAAGATAAACGATATTTTACGGAATTAATTATTTTAATTACATAATTATGTAAAACTAAAAGATTCTTCTATTTAATCTTGATTGCGAATTTTTTCCGTATTTCTCTAACGTAAGAAATCTCGAGTTTTTAATGTAATTTGACAAAGTAATTTGAAAATATTTTCCAATTTAATTTATAAATGATTTTGCAGAATAATTTGAAAATATTTTCCAATTTTTACATAATTTTACAGAATAATTTGAAAATATTAGAAAATATTGGAAAGTATTTAGAAATATTGGAAATTATTTGAAAATATATTAGAAAATATTTGTAAAATGGAAAATTTTTGAAAATGAAAAATATTTAAACATTTAAAAAAATGCTTTCAAAAATGTAACGACAGATTAATATATTATACTTTGGACATTCCGGATAATATTTAATTGCGTGTTATAAAAAAATAATAATTTAAAGACATACAAAAAGAGAATTAATAGTTCTCAACAATTTAATTTAATTAATAATCTTGAAAACTGCGATTTGTTTCTATGCAAAAAAAAATCAAAGACTGCCATATGTTATAAAATATTTCATGTGAAACAAAAATAGCCTACTTTTTAGTGCCTAATTTATCATGAAGTATCTTCATTGTTATTAATTTTGTTTATACCAGTATGTCACGAGATTTTTTTTAAACTAATTTTGCGCCAGAAACTTGCAAATAATGATGTAGCTTCGGAAATAATTGTATTTTTTTTTAAATTCAAATTCTGTGTTAAAAGTTAAGAGTTCTTTTAAAGAAACAATTTTATTTTCAAAATATAGATAGAATTTTAAAATGAAATTCCAAAATGAAATTTTATTAAATATTCAAAATAGAATTTTAGAAAAATTTTAAAAACTGAATTTTAGTAAAATTTTAAAAATAGAATTTTAGTAAAATTTTAAAAATAGAATTTTAGTACAATTTTCAAAAACAGAATTTTAGTAAAATTTTAAAAATAGAATTTTAGTAAAATTTTAAAAACAGAATTTTAGTAAAATTTTAAAAACAGAATTTTAACAAAATTTTCGAAATAAAATTGTTTAAATAATGTTTTGAAATTTTAAATTTAAGAAGAAATTTATTTTGGAGAGAAATATATATATATATATATATATATATATATATATATATATATATATATATATATATATATATATTAAGAGAATATTACAATAATTATAAAGTCTATTGCAATAATTGCAGCACTTTATGAAAAATGCAGCGTGAATATTTTGCAAGTTTAGTTTTTAACTGTATTCGCCTAAGAGGTATAAAGAAAATATTTTTATTGTATATGAAAAACATTATATGCAGTAGAAATGTAAATATTTTTGCATATTACCTGTGTTTAAAATAAGAATGAATAAGTACTTATATTTACTTGAAAACCTGTTAATTTTGTCTTTCTTCCATTCAAAATGATATTATTATATTGAAAAAAGAAAAAAGTATTTTTCGATAATTGCTTCACAAAACTTCATTCTTATCTCAGAAATTGTGTAAAATAAATTTACACATTGCCATCATTATATAAGAAACAATAAAAATGTTTGATCAAATTCAAATATTGTTAAATAATCTACCTCGATATTTTCATATTTTTCCGTTTGGATTATTGTTTCTTGAAAAATAAATTAAATTATTAAAATAATAATTGTTTCTTTTTCGAAATATGTATTAATTTCTTCGTAGACTAAAAATACTTTTTTTTCTAATTAATTACAGGGCTAAAAGTATTTAAAAATACGGACTTTAGGGACCAAAAATGAAAAATTACGGACCAATTACTGACAAAAATATAACGAGTCCGAGTAAAATAAGAGAACATTTTACTTAAAACTATAAATAAAATTTTTCCATAACTATAAAATTGAATTTCGGAGATGAATTTAATTATTTTTAAAGAAAATTAAAATTTTGATGAGAATTTAAAAAAAATTTTGAACATAATTGAATTTCTGCGAAGAATTTTATTACTTTTGAAAATAATTGAATTTCTGCATTCATTTGTAATTTCTCTAAAAGTCTCCAAATTAAATCGTACAATTTACGATCTTTTCGTCATTTTTCAATCAAATTACGGACCTTTTTTTAAAAAAAAAACGGACTTTTACGGACTTTAAGCAAATTTACAGACCTAGTTCGTGCCCTGTAATTATAACGACTGCAAAGCATATTTTTCACAAAATTATTCAAAGAAAAAGGATTTTTTGATGGAAGAAATAGATAAAAAAAAGTCAATATTTAAAATTTGCAGATATTTTCTATTCATTTAAAATTGAAGACGAAATGACAATATTTTTAGTCGAAGTAAAATTGTTTATTTACAATTATGTTAATATTTTAAAAAGGGGCAGTACTTTGTGATAGTCAAAGATAATGACTTTGGGAATGCATTGTCGAAAAGAACTCCTTGCAACGACGAATCATTGTAAACAGTTTAATCTGCAGATTATTTTAATTATTTATTTATTTTTTTTTTTTTAGAAAAAAAGACTCTTATTCATAGATCCATTTCTCTGCCCAGGAAGCCCAGTCGATAGTTTCCTTCTTTTCTTTGCTGCCAAACCATAGATCAATTTCCTTATTGGCCGATTCCACGGAATCAGAGCCGTGAATAATATTACGACCCACCTGGATACAGAAATCTCCACGAATTGTTCCTGGTGCTGAGTCCTTTGGATTTGTCTCACCGAGCATAACACGTCCGGTTTTTACTGCGTTCAAACCTTCCCAGACCTGAAATTTTTCAATTGTCGATTAATTGTTCAAATAATTTAATTACTCAATCAAGTTAATTGTTCAAATAATTTAATTGTTCGAATAATTTAATTGTTCAATCAAGTTAATTGTTTAATCGAGTTAATAAAAAGAACAATAGTTTAAAAATAAAAATGAAATTAATTCAAATAAAAATAATTGTTTGAACTTAATAAAAAAATTGGTTAAAATTAAAAATTAAATTTAGAGAATAAAATTTATTACAATGAAAATATTGTTCAATCAAGTTAATAAAAAAATAGTTTACAAATAAACATTAAATTTAGAAAATTAAATTAAAGTTAAAAATTTTATTCATGATAAATTTTTCCGTTTGGGAAAAAAATTTGATTCTGGCAAGATTTTTAATTTCAGTATTTTTTTTAGTTTATACAAACCATTGGAACAACTGGTCCGGAGCTCATGTATTTGATTAAACCAGGGAAGAATGGTCTGGAAGATAAATCGGCGTAATGTTTTGACAAGAGATCTTCCTTTGCCTGAAATAAAAAAATTTCTGTAAGTAATTTTTACAAATTATTTAGTTATTTCAATATTAAACAACTATTACAAATTCTAAAGTTATTACAATTATGAAATTTTTACAATTATAAAATTTTTAGAATTACACAATTATATTTGAAAATAAATAAAGAAAAGGTTGATTTTAAAATTACAAGTTGTCATTGAGAAAGGAAAAATAGAAATTAAGGTTAAATTTGTTTATAGAGAAACAAATTAAATTCATTGTTGAGAGAACAATGAAAGAATGTTTTATTAATATTAAAACAACAATTAAAAGAAATCTAAGTTTCATATAATTTTTATTAGCATTTCGTTCTGATAACGAAATTTAAATCGTTTTATTCCTAAGCGTATTATCTTCAGTATCATAAAAGTGCAGCTCAGCTTTCAGGGGCAAGTTACATAAACATTTTATCGATTTAATACTTTAATTTGTTACAAAATCATTCTATTAAATTTCCGTACTTGATTAAATCTCAAAGCTAAATTTATTATTATTATTTTTACAGAAAAAATAACGAATTTTAATTCAAAAGTCCATCAGATATTCAGTAAAATCTGTTAGGAAATTTACGATTAGAATCAAGTTTGAATTTTACTGAATTTGGAGAAAATTTCTTGGAAAATTTTTTTAAAGAGGAAATTTAAAAAATTTAATTAAAAATAATAATGTAAAGATTCTCTGAAGAGAAAAAACTAAATCGATAACCACGTGTTATAATTCTTTAAAACGGAATTTACATGGCGAAGGAAATGAACTACTCACCCAAACCATTTTCATGGCAACGAGTTTGAAGCCTTTTTCTTCAAAACGCTGGATGATTTTGCCGACAAGTCCACGTTGAACTCCATCGGGTTTAATCATAATAAAAGTACGTTCCTTATTTTCTGCCATTTTAACTTTAGAAATAAAATAAAATAATGTCAGCAAAAGAGTTCGAGACGAATGACACCAAAGATTAGAAGGAAATGCCAACTGCAAAAACCGGTCTCACTTGTAGATTCAGAAACAGTGGAATTGAAAAAATAGAGATTCTGCAAAAAGGAATTGAACCGGATGTTACGTTAAAAAATTCAATTTATTTCGCGTAGTAAATTCTGGAAAATCGTGAAAATAATTTTTGTTTCCATTACCTGAACTTGTTAATCAAAAAAATTGTTTAGTCCATAAACTAACAATTTTTGAACCACAATTTAATTTCCTCATTAGCGGCTTCAATTGAATCTGACGCGTGAATTACACCGCGACGAACGTACATGGAAAAATTTCCCCTTATCATTTTCGGCGAAGCTTCTTCCGGAAAAGTTGGCCCTATGAAAATTCTTCCGATTTTTATGGCATTTATTCCTTCCCAAACCTTATAGAAAAAATAATATCAACTGTTTTTTTTTGTCAATTTTTCAAAGAATAGACATTTTAAATCATTTCAATAAATACCATCATAACGACTGGACCGGAAGTCATATATTTTATATAGTTGTTAAAAAAGTCCCGACTCTGCAAATGCTTGTAATGTTGCATCATCGAATTCTCAGGAGACTAAAAGTAAAAAAAGTAAAAAAATCTAAAAATTGAAAATTACTATTTAAAAAAAATTATTTTTACCAATAGCATTTTTATATTCTGTAGTTTTAGTCCCTTTTCCTCAAAGCGCTGAATTATTTTTCCGATAAGTCCCCGTTGCACTCCGTCCGGTTTAATCATAATAAACGTACGTTCGATTATTTCAGATTCTGGAACTAATTCCTCCATGATAAAATTCGATTGTCACTTAAAACAATTAACCAAAAAGAATACTGAACAATGACACACACTTGTTGATGACAATATGTCACGTGACACAATAACAAATCATTCAATTAAGGTTAGGTTGCGCTTACAAAAAATTTTTCCTTCAATCTATGAATATTCACATATTTCCAACTCTGGGAAATCAAAAACTAGTCAAATAATTTTTTATTCAACTTTATCTCTTTTCTGAAAGAGAGAAAACAACCGAAAATTCAATTCCCTTTTTGAATTTCCCACCAATTGGTAAAACATCCGGCACCACTCGTTCTGCGCACGCGCACCGGAAATCAGCAATCAGCCATTTTAAATCTCGAACCCAGCCAACTACGGATCGATTCGTCCTGTCGGCTGGTTTTTCGCGGGACATATTTATTTATAACAAAAAACAAATTTATTATTATAAAATAATTACCAAGTTTTTTAATCATTTGAATTAAATCTTTAAAAATTATCAAATAATTTGACAATTCACTTCAATTAAATCAAGTGAATTCTTTAAAAAAAAAACAAAAAAAAAAAATTGAACTTGTTAATCTCGCCAAATCTCAATATCATAATGGCGGACAATGAAAAGTCGCGTTATTTCTTTTGTCGATAATAATTATCATTAATTTTGAATAAAAAATAACTATTAAATAAGTGACGAGGAACTCGTGCAGGGAACGAAGCGACTCGATAATTAAGTGAACATTTTGATTTAATTGACAAGTATTAAAAGTTTATTGGAAACTTTTTTTTTTCTTCTTTCAATATAAACTGAAATGCATGCACAACAGCAACAACAGTCGCAAAATCATCAGCAAATTGGTGGTTCGAGTGTCATTCTCAAAATGAATGAAATTCAACAATTGTCCACGGCTGGTGAGTTTTGATTTTTTGATTAATTACCGAAAATTGATAGTTTTTTTGTATTAATAACTTAATTGTATTCAATTCTCATTCAAGTGTTAAATATCAAATTATTGAATTTAGTCGATTTAGTACTGGAAAATTATTATTCGATTTTTTATTTACTATTGTGATTTTTGGTTCATTTGGAAGATTCCATTCTTATTTTTTTAAAAGAAATTAATTTTCTTTGGCTTCTTTCATTTTTTTCGCATTCCTCTTCATATTTTTTCGTTTATTTTCCTTATTTTAGTTAATATTTACTTTTTAGTAGGGCTTTTTAGTTATAACTACTCAGAGAGTAAGAATAATTTTTATAGAAATAGTTCTTTTTAAATTGTTTTCATAGTTTTATACATTTTATAGTTATTACTGAGAAATTTACAAAATATGTGAATTTGCAGTACGATTTTTTGTACGAAGGAAAATTTATCGATTTACCGCAGGGGAATTGACTTGAAAATTGCTGAAAATGGAAGAATTCGAGAAAATAGAGAACTTGTTTTAGGTGTATGATGATTATATTCTAGTTAATGATTTTTAGTCATTCAGATTGCATATATTTGCATACACTTGTATATACAAGTATTAATGTATTGACCGATAAACGGTGATGAAGAAGCAGGGGCTCCTTTCTCCCCTTATTTTCCCCTTCTCACTTTCATGGGCAAGATGGAAATTTACAGCAATCCGAGCCGATGATTTGCCCTTGCCCCTCCAACCGTTTGGCGATTGGTTGTCGAGGTCAACAGAGCAGCTCACAATGATTCGACATAACCTCTAAACAACTGTGGCAGTGGCATCTCTGCCATTTGACTGTAATCGTAAAAAAAAACCTTTTTTTTCAATCGTGTTTGATAAATCCGATAATGTTCGACTTCAACAAGTTTTCTTCAAGTTTCAGTTTATTGTGAATTGTGCTTACTGAATTATTCCCTCAAAAAAATAAAGTGAAAGGCATTTTAGCATCGTTTTTGACAACTCACTTTTCGTACAATTTAGTAAAATAAAAACACAGTACAGTTGATGAAATTGGATAAAAATTTTAATTCTGAAAAGGGGAATATTTTTTAAATGTTTTTTTTTTTGAAATTATTTGAAGTATTTAAAGGATTTTAAAGATTTGGAGTAACTTGGTGGAGGTGTGAAAAATAGTTTTTTCTTGCAAAGTGTGGATTCTTGTGAATTAGAAGCACACCATTGTTCGGTATTGACGTTTGCGCACCAATCATGATGATTTATGACAGTTTATCAAAAAGTCAGTGTATTGTTTTAATTAACGAATCCGGGACCATTGAGAATAAAATTAAAGACTTGCCAAATAATCGAGGTCGTGCTAATTTCCTCATGGCGCAGAATTTTCAATTGAAAGAAGTAACAATGAATAAAGAGGACACTTCTGAAACGTTAGATAATAAAAGTTGGTTCAATTTTTATTGCTCTTGGTATTTTTGTTTTTACTTTTCTGACATTTGATACATTTTTCTTAAATTTTCCATTACTTTTTTTACTTCCATTTTTAGTTTATTTCTTTTCTGTATTTTCGGTTCTTTTTTCTTCTTCGAATTTTCTTTTCTATTCTATTCAAATTTTCTGTTTCATTTTTTTCCTATTCTATTTTTTTCTATTCAATTCTTTTCTTTTTTCACTTCTATTTTTTTATTTTTTTCTTTTCTCTTATTTATTCCTTTTTTCTCTTGTTTTTTTCTATTTTTCTTCTATTCTACATTTTCTCGTTCGATTTTTCCATTCTTTTTTTTAAAAAGGAAATTTTTTTTTGCCCGACTTAAGACTTTCTAAGAGCTTTGATTTTTTCTTTTGTTTCAGGTCTACTTGAATTGGCACACAGAGAATATCAAGCAGGCGACTATGAAAATGCAGAGAGACATTGTATGCAACTCTGGAGACAAGAGGCGAACAATACTGGAGTTCTCTTACTTCTTTCGTCCATTCACTTCCAGTGTCGTAGATTAGAAAAGTACGTATTTTTCCCCCTATTTTTGCGTGTCCGTCAATTGTAATTTTAGATTTGTATTAATTTTCAACTCACTAAAAGGCAAATTTTTATAAAAAAAAAACTAATTTGAATATTTATAAAAAATGTTTCTTTTACAAAATTAAAAAAAAACTAATCTGAATATTCACAGAAATGTTTCCTTCACAAAATCTTTTTTTTTTTTTTAATTTTCCATGTTACTCAGTAATTTTTCAATTTATAATCAAATTGAACTTTATTTTTGAATATTCAAAATTAAATTTTGTTTCTTAATTTTTAGATTAAATTTTCTTCTTAAAAGTTCGAACTAAATTTTGTCATAAGATTTTGTCTTTAAGTATTCGAATTAAATTTCGTTTTTAAATATTCAAATTAAATTTTGTTTGTTTTGTTTTGCAGATCAGCTCATTACAGTAGCTTGGCTATTAAGCAAAATCCACTTTTGGCGGAAGCCTACAGTAATCTTGGTAATGTATATAAGGAACGGGGTCAGCTACAAGATGCTTTAGAAAATTACCGTCACGCTGTAAGATTGAAACCAGATTTCATCGATGGATACATTAACCTAGCGGCAGCCCTCGTAGCTGCAGGAGATATGGAACAAGCAGTTCAAGCCTACGTCACGGCATTGCAGTATAATCCTGTAAATTTCATTTTCCTTCATAATCTACTTTTATTTTTTTAATATCTCCCAGTAATTGTATTTCTATTACAAATTTTATTCATTTTAATTAATTTTTATTTCTAATTTCTAATTGAATGATTTCTATGCAATTTTATACCAGTTTTAATTTTAATTTCTTATTTCTGATTCTATACAATTTTATACCAGTTTGGGAAAAGTAATTAATAAAACAAAAAATAATTTTTGGAGAAGTTGCTGTAGCAATTCTTATAAATATTATTGAACTTTTGAAAAATTTTTATTTAAATTTATTTGTGAAATTAGTTGAATTTTTAATTTTTGAATATTTAAATATTTCAATATTTAATTGGAAAATTTTCGAAGAGTAACATTAATGAGGAAAATTTATCTAAAATTATTTTTATTTCTTTATTTTTGTTAGATTTTCTTCTTTAAAAATTTTTATTTATTTTTGTTTATAAAAAAAAATATTTTTTTGTGTATCAAAATTCTGTCTAGAAATCAGAGAACAAAATCAAATTTTTGTGTCAACCCTGATAATTTTTTATATTTCTATTTTTTGTTTCTTATATATTTTTTATATTCCTAAAGTTTTGAACGTCCAAATAAACGACGATTTCTTTTAAATTTCGTGAAAATTTAAAATTTGTTAGAAAATATATATTTTTTTTTTGTTAATTTAGAAAATTAATTCCTTTCTATGTTGAATTAATTTTATTTTTAATTTCATTCTAGTAATTATTAAAAATATTTAAATAGAAAGATTATTTCCTTCATTTGAACGTTCAAAACTGTAGGGAAAATTTTTTACTCGTTATATATATTTTTTTGTTAATTGGAAATCACTAAAAATTCTTTTATTTTCCTTTCAGGATCTATATTGTGTGCGAAGTGATCTTGGTAATCTTTTGAAAGCTTTAGCAAGACTTGATGAAGCAAAGGTAATTTTATAATTTAATTCACACTTGAATTTCAATGTGTTAAAAACAATGCATAATTTGCATATGAACGTTGTCAATAAATAGATCATCTGTACATGGATTTTTTTCTTGTTTGCAAAATTACACAAAATTAAAATTAAATTTAAAAAAAAAAAAAATTTAAAAAAAATTCTTTTTTTTCAATTAATTACTGATACAGTTTGACATTTTATTGACACGTTACTAATGCATGTTGTGCGTAAATCATGACTAATGTTGTTCTAAGGAATATTTGGAAAATTATTTCATGTCAATGCAGTTTGTGCAGAAAGCTGTTTCTATGTTTACCAAGAAAAGAAAACAAACAAATTTTTGCAAATAATATGCGCGGCGCGCGATATATTCAGATTCTTTATTATAATCAATCAACACAAAACCATGCATCATCTGCCAATGTTTTAATCTGATTGTGATATTTCTTAATTACAGAAGAATAACGTCTTTTCCCATCAGGGAATATTTCTACATTTACAAACATATTGTATACTGTTTTCCATAATTTGGAATTTGTTTTATTCTTTTCTTTAGAGATTGTTTTTTTTAGATTTTTCAACATTATAATGAAGCTGATTTATTATGTATTTGTATAAACAAAAAATTGAGGCTTTCAAGTTGTATAATAGAAAATATGACATGAAAGCCACAGTGGCAGTGCGCGACTCATTGCAATCGTGAAGATTTTTTTTTTTCTTTGCTCTTCACCATTGCAATGGGTGTGATAATTTTTTACTCTCACTGATTCTATTAATTGAATTTTTTAAATTGATTTAAATCAATTAAATTAATTTTTTTTTCGATTAGAAATATTGAATATTTTTTTCAAATATAATTTTTTTTGAATTATAATTCAAAAAAATTATTAAATTATAACAAAGAAATTAACTACAAAAGTCAGAATGTAAAATTAGTGATAAAAATTCAAAGAGGAATTTATAAAAATTTTGTAATAGAATCAGTTGCGCGCGACTAGTTTTAATTTCATTTACACCATAAAGTATCATCTTTTTTTTTATAGTGCACCTCACACATTCCATAATAATATTGTTTCACATTGTATTTATTGGCGCGAGATCACTTGACTATTTTGTAACCTTTTGTTTTTTCTTTGCTAACTTTTTCTTTTCTTGGAAATCGAAGAAATTTTTGATTTTGAAGAACTATTATTTGTTTCAAATTGATAATTAGAATAATTATTACTGATATACTGATTTTTACAGGTATTTTTATTTTAATTGATTAATAGAAACAATTAGTGATTCTTTTCCGCGGGGAATAATATTTTAATTTTTTAAATAATTCTTTTGAAAGAAAGAAATATTTTTCTTTTAAATTAATTCTTTAAAGATGCTTTTATAAAAGTTTATTTTGGTCAAGAGGTCTGCTGCAGCGCGGCGCTGGCGATTACTGAATGCATTCACGAAGTTGTATTTACATGATTTATTTATTAAACAACTAAATTGATTATTAATTAATAATGATTAATAATTCGTTAGGAATTGAATATTTATTAATTTTCAAATAATTAGAAATTAATTGAAATATGCTCAATTATATTGAAATTTTATAAAAATTGTACTAAAAATAATAATTGAATTAATACGAAGTAATTTAATATTTATACAAATAATTTAATTATTTTGAAGAATTTGATTTAAATTTTTGAAAATTAAATTATTTTAGAGAAATTAATTAAAATATATTCAATTATTTCTTACGATTTTTATGTATTCAATTATTATGTTTGAAAATAATTGAATTCTCTAGATGAATTACATAAAAATTGTACTAAAAATAATTGAATTAATACGAAATAATTTAATAATTATTAAAATATTTTAATTCTTTTGAAGAATTTTATTAATATTTTTGAAAATAATTGAATTATTAAGAGAAACTATTCAGAGAAATTAATTATAGAAATTAATGGAAAAATATTCAATTACATTAAAATAATTTAAATATTTTCAATTACCCTTTTTTGATTTTTATGTCTTCAATTATTTATTTATTTTTTTAAAATAATTGAATTCTCTCGAGAAATTGTATTGATGTAATGAAAAATTAGGAATTAATTTCAAATTGGTTGAAAGTTATTAAAATTATTTTAAATTTGTTAGAATTGAATTAAACCTGAATTGTTTAAATTTAAAAACAATTATTTTAAGAAGGATTGAAAAAAGAGATTTTAAGAGTGTTTTGAGAAAAGAAAAAAATTTTGAAAGTGACAAAATTTTACATATATTAACATCGTTAATGCACTCAGTAAAATATCAAAATGGTTATGACGATAGTTTTCTGCTACTCGTACAAGTAATTCCTGAGAACTCGTTAGTTTCCTTATTATTTTTTAATTTTTCTACTCGTTCAGCCACTCAATTCTCATATTCAAATTTAATTTTCTTTTTGAGTCCTGTAATTTTTTCGTAATAATAATAATAATAATAATAATAATAATTTTTGTCAATTTTAGTTTCTCCATTATTCAGAAAACGCAAATTAGGTACGTTAATTGTTTTTATTCTGCAAATTAAATTTTTCTCTTGGAATATTTTATCTTCAGTGTTTGCATAGTTTTTGTTAAAATATTTTAATTTTTATTTCTAGAAAAAATAGTTTGTCTTAAATTATAAAATCAATTAATTTTATTACGTTGTTTTTTTTGTTAAATTAAATTTTTCTTGTGGAATATTTCATCTTTAGTATTTGCACAATTTTTATTAAAATATTTTTATCTTATTTCTAGAAGAATCTAGTTTTTCTTAAATTAGAAAATAAATTAATTTTACCACTTTGTTCTTTTTTTTGGTCAAATTAAATTTTTCTGTTAGAATATTTCGTCTTCAGTATTTTTGCACAATTTTTATTAAAAATACAGTTATTTTATTTCCAGAAAAAAATAGTTTGTTTTTTTTTTAGTAAAAAAATATTAATTTTATTACGTTATAAAATTTGCGATTTTCTTGACTTTGTGTTTTATTATAAAATTAAAAAAAAGCAAATTGACAAATTTTTTTTCGATCGTGATTATATATTGAGAATTGAGGGAAAAAAATCGAGTGGCTGATGAGTAAATACAAATAGCAGTAGATCAAAGTCGTGCTAAGAAGTGGCGCGACACTAGGTATATAAAAAAAGAAAGTTGAGATGAAATTTATTGAAGAAAAAAAAAGAGATTAACGCAGCTGTCTTATTGTTGTGGATTGGAATGGTCAGCTCTAGGAAGGAGTGTTTGGAGAGCATTGCAATTGGTTTCCACTGGTATCTTCATCAAAGGATGATTCAGATTCTGGTTATTTGGTAACACACTGTCTCTCAGTCTAAGTTTATTATGAGAGCATACGACCCATACCTACCATCAAACTACCGAAGGGTTCTTTGCAGGTAAAGTAATTCCCGCGGCTAGTCTCTATCCCAAAAAAAAAGATAAAAAAAATACAAATAATAATTAATAATTAATAATGTTTCCCATTTCCTCACATCACTATATTTAATAAATCAATAAATAATTTCAAACTTATCCAGTTCAATTTTTTAATTACTGGTAAGTATTTCACTTTTAGAAATTCATCTGTTGTGCCAGTCTCTTGAAAATTGAATTTATATTCGTAACGATATTTATTTAATAGAACAAATTTTTTTTTTTTGCAATGTCTTTCCGAGTGCATCGGAAGTGATTAAACCTTTAATTCCTTTTACTCGTCACAGCACTAAAAAAAAAATTTCTTTGTTCCACTGACCTTTAGAGACTAGCCAAACAATAATCCCCTTTTATTTTTTTAGGTATGGATTACACTGTTTTATATTGCAGCCCACCTCTCGGCACGCGCGATACACTTATGCTTTTTTTTCCTTCGAGCGTTTTGGATTTAAATGACAAAGTGCAGAGAATTTATTTTTAATCTCCCTGAAAATTAAAAAAGGGATTTTCTCATTTTTTCTGAAGCAAAAAAAGCCTTTTAATCTTTGTGCAAATGAATTTTCTCCCTTTTTCTCCTCGCAAAAAGATGTGAAAAACGAAGAAAATTGTTTGCTGACGAGTCCACCGGACGCATTTCGGAGAATCGTCAGCATAACAAATCCCAAACGTCTCTTGGTGCGTCTCGTTAATCCTGAAAAACCTTTTCCTTGAAAATTCTTTTTTCCATTACACTGCAAATATTTCACAAAAAGAAAAAACACTGTTAATACTATTCTGAGAAATACAAATTTGTGATTTTTTTTTGTAAAAACTCTGCTAAAAGTAAATAAGTATGGAAATAAATACTTACTTTATAAATAAACTTATTGTTATAATAAAAATAAATTATTATTTATGTAGTTGATAAAATTTTTATTTTAAAAATGGAAGTTTTCTTCTTTATATCACTTTTGAGTAATTCTCGGAATTTCTTTTTCAGACAGATCGTCTCGTGCTCGAGGAAATTTTCAAGTTCTTGCAAAAAGAATTTTCAATGAAATACTACAATGACCGGGAAGAGATAGAATAACAAATAAAGAAGAAAGTATCGATAAATTCAAGAATATTGTGTCATTTCTCGATTTTTCTTCTTTCCTGTAAAAAGGGATTTTTGTTCAAGTTGACATACAATTTTTGCAAATAAGAAAAATTGACATAAATCAATAAATTTTGAAAGAAAATTGAAAATTACCGAGAAAGCGGAAATCATTTATATCGTAAAAATTGTTGTAAAAACAATTATGTATGTGAAATGGACATTTCTCTTATTTCTGGGGAGAAAAAAATCGAGAATGGGGAAAATTTGAGTGAAAGAGCGAAAAAATTTATCGAGCACGTTTCGAGAGCTGCGGCGCGGCAAGAAGAGGTCGGGCAATGCGCGGCGCGACCCCTTTAAGAATCGCGAACTCTTAAATTAATAAATTTTTTTCAACTTTAAACTCTAGGCGTGTTACCTGAAGGCAATTGAGACGCGACCTAATTTCGCGGTCGCTTGGAGCAATCTTGGTTGCGTTTTCAATGCTCAAGGTGAAATTTGGCTTGCGATACATCATTTTGAGAAGGCCGTCGCTCTTGATCCCAATTTCCTCGACGCCTACATCAATTTAGGAAATGTTCTCAAGGAAGCACGCATCTTTGATCGGTAAGTCGATTTTCCAATTTATATATGACAATAAATTTCTCGCATTGATGAGCAAAAAAAAAAAAAAGAATTGCGTTCTATCAATTAAATTGCTGACTCAATTAAAAGCAATGGAATGGAAATAATTATATTAGTTGGAATGGGATTCGATTTAAAAAAAAGGGGGCATGACGATTCTTTAATCAAATTAAATTCAATGAAGAAAATTTTTCTTTCGAAACTGTATTTTTAAAGTCGTAGAATTTATTTTAAAAAATTCTCCCGAAGAATTTTTATTTTTTATGAAAATAATTGAACTCTTGGAAAGAATTTTATTATTAATAAGAAAAATAATTGAATTATTTCAAAGAATTTTTAAAAATAATTGAATTCCGAGCGAATTATTTTATTATTTTTGAAAATAATTCAATTTTAAAGTATTTTATCGAAATTTTTCAAAATAATTAAATTATTGTAAAGAATTTTATTGAAATTGTTTTAAATAATTTGAATTCTTTTAGAAATTTTTCTAAAATTCTATTGGAAATTAATTGAGTTTCTTTAAAGAATTTTATTATATTTTCGATAATAATTGAATTTTTTCGAGGAATTTAATTAAAATTGCATTAAAAAAAATTTTATTTCTGCGAAAAATTTTATTATTTATTAAAAACAATATTTGAATTCCCGCAAAGAATTTTATTATTTTTGAAAATAATTTAACTCTAATTGAGGAATTTTATTAAAATTATTGAAAGTAATTGTATTATTTCAAAAATTTTTTTTAAATAATTGAATAGGTACATGCGAATTATTTTATTGTTTATAAGAATAATTGAATTTTGAAGTATTTTATCAAAATTTTTCAAAATAATTAAATTATTGTAAAGACTGTTAATAAAATATTTTTAAACAATTTCAATTATTTCGAGAAATTTGTATAAAATTCTATTGGAAATTAATTAAATTACTATAAAGAATTTTATTATTTTCGATAACAATTGAATTCTTTCGAGTAACTTATTTAAAATTGCATTAAAAGTAATTAAATTTATTTAATATTTTATTTATTTATTTAATAAAAATAATATTGGAATTCCTGCAAAAAATTTTATTATTTATGAACATAACTAAATTTTAAAGTATTTTATCAAAATTTTTCAAAATAATTGAATTACTGTAAAGAATTGTATTAAAATTGTTTTAAATAATTTGAATTCTTTCGAGTAATTTATTTAAAATTGCATTAAAAATAATTGGATTTTAGCGAAGAATTTGATTATTTATTAAAAATAATATTTAAATTCCAGCAAAAAACTTTTTTGATTTATAAAAATAATTAAATTCTAGTGATGCATTTTATTAAAATTATTAAAATAATTGAATTATTTCAAAGAATTTTTAAGATAATTGAATGCCTGCGAATTATTTTATTATTTATGAAAAGAATTAAATTTTTATTAAGAATTTTATTATTTATCAAAATAATTTAATTTTAACGAGTTTGAACTTTTTTCAAAAAAATTGAATTATTATAAAGTATTTTATTAAAATTTTTGGTAAAAATTAAATTCTTCCGAAGAATTTCATAAAAAATTTTTCAAAATAAAATTTGAATTCGTTCGAGAAATTTAATTAAAATTTATTGTATTTCTAGAAAAAATTTTATTATTCACGATAATAATTGAATTCTTTTGAGGATTTTGACAAAAATTGCATTGAAAATAATTCAATTCCTGCGAGGAATTTTATTATTTATGAAAATAATTGAATTCCTGCGAAGAATTTTCGGTTAATTTTTGATAATCCTTGAATTGTTTTGAAGAATTTTTCTGAATTTTTTGAAAATAAGGGAGTTTTTTTTAAATAATTTCAATTTTAAAATAATTTGATTATTATAAAAAAATTTTGTCATAACTTTGGAGAATAATTGAATTTTTTGGAAGAATTTTATTAAAATTGTATTTAAAATAATTGAATTTCTGACAAAATTTTTATTGTTTATAAAACAATAAATTTCACAAAAAATTAATTGAATTTTATTAAAATTTCGTAAATAATTAAATTTTTCCGATTTTATTAAAATTTTATTGAAAATAATTGAATTTTATCCTTTTTTTTTATACAAATTTTCCTCTTCAAAATATGTAGCTGATAAGAAAAATCTTCTTTTTTTGATCTTTCAAGCGGAAATTTGTAAAAATATGCTTTGAAAAATATTTTTAAACATTACCCAAGCGATAATTTATAAAAAATTTGCTTAGGAAAATATTTTTAAAAATTTCAAAGCGAAAATTTGTAAAAATTTGCTTAAAAAGAATTTATTTTTCCTAATTCGTTGAACAAGCACGTCAAGAACTTTACGAACGTTACTTATATGAATATTTGATGAATGAAATTTTTACTTATTCAAATTTTTGTTCAAAAAGTTTTGGAGTGGAAAAATATTTTCTTGGGCAAAAATGATTGAAAAAAGAATCTGGCTTTAATTTTTAAATGACACTTAATCGTCATGTGTTCCAATAAGAATTAACTATATTAATCTCTGTGGTTTTTCATTCGTTCTGTTCGCAGTATGAAGTTGGTTGTTAGTTATCATTTGCGAATTATTATCATGATTTTTTTGTTTGTTTATATTTTTCGTGACATGTTTTGACATCTAGAAAAGAAATTTTTAATCGTAAATGACGCGTCGCGATTGCTATTTTCGATTTTATGTTGTCAAATTTATCATTAGTGTGATAAAATTTGTTAATAATAATATCAGTGTAGTGGGTGTATTTCAAAAACGATAAATAGTGACTTGGAAGAATATTGTGCGTGAAATCTCTGGTATCAGGCGATCGTGCGAAAGGGAGGTTATTGTTTTCAGTGGAAAAAAACTGTAGATTGGTAAGTTCTAATTATTAATTAAAATTTTCTTCTTAATTAAATAATTTATTTCATTCTTAAATAAAAATCTAAAAATAACTTTTATTATTCGTATATCTTATTATTATTTTTATTTATTATTAATTTAATTTAATTTAAAAACTCAATTTTCTGGTATCAATAAAAAATACTATAGTTCTAAATTTTATTACATTGGTCGTTTTCGTAAATTACTGGCAGTTACTGCCAGTAATATTACTGTTTAGTAAAAAAACATTAGTTCCTAAAAATACCCATTTCAAGTTCAATTATTCCAGAATCAATTAAAAATTAAATTATTTTCATTAAATTAATTATTCAAAATAATGAATTTTTTAATATTTAGTTTTTCAAAGAATTAATTAATCTTCAATTCAATTATTAACTTATGCAGTGGAGGATCTAGAGTCTAAATTTTTTGGGAAGAGCAATCCCTTTAGTGCGTGTACTTTTTTTTATTGTTATTGCTATTATGAGTAATTGTTCAAAATAATAATTAATTAATTATTCAAAAATCAAAAAACAATTAATTAAAAATTAAAATATTTCGTTTTAAATAAAAAATTCAATTATTCCGAAATCAATGAAAAATGCATTTGTTATAAACAGTTAATTAATTAACTTAAACTTCAGTTATTCAAAAATCAATAAAACAATCAATTTACAATTACATTATTCTGTTTTAAAAACAATTTAATTAAGTCTGAATTAATGAAAAATGTAATTGTTATAAACCGTTAATTAATTTATATTTTAATTATTCAGAAATCAATATAAAACATTAAAATTACATTATTCTGTTTTCAAAGCAATTCAATTAATCTGAAATGAAATTAATGAAAAATGCAATTTTTAAAATTATTCAATTTAATAAAGCTTCAGTTATTCAAAAATCAACAAAACAATTATTAATCAATTCAAAAATTAATTTATTCTGTTTCTAATAAAAATTTTAATTACTCTGAATAAAATCAATCAATTTTTCAAAAATGAAAAAAATAATTCAATTGTTTTAAATTTTATTGAATTTTAAAATTATTTTACACCAAAAATTAATTTATTTTTAAAAATAATTGCATTTCAAAGTATATTTGAACTTGGTATTCTTGTAAATTTTTTTTTTTATTATGTTAAAAATAAAATTGTTCTTTTTTAATTATTTTATTAATTTTTTACAATATTTGAATTTTAGAGAATCACAGTGAAAGGTGAAGTGTTAAAATAACACCAGAATGGATTAAAACAATCTGCAACAGTTTAATCCCTCTAGGATTAAATTAACACCAGAAAGGATTAAAATAATCTATTTTGGTGTTATTTTTAACTATGAATGAAATTTTACTTTAAATAAAACACCAAAGTCAACGATTTGTAAAACTTCAACGAATTTAGCTCCTCCAGGGAGAATAGTAAGTTAGTAAGTTACTTACTAACTTGTAACTTACTAACTAACTTAGTAACATAGTTACTAAATTCAATTGTGTTCAAAAATTAAAAAAAAAATTTTCGTCAAAATTTCAATTCTCTTTATAAATAATAAAATTCTTCTCTGTTATTTGCAATTATTTAACAAAATAATTTTTATCAAATTCTTGTCTAAATATCAATTATTTTCGAAAGTTTTCTAAAATTCAATGATTTTCAATACCTACTATTTCCATAAAATTTTCCAAAAGAATTCCATTATTAAAAAAAATTTGGATAAAATGCTGCGCAAAAATTCAATTATTTTCATAAATAATAAAATTTTTTGCAGGAATTCAATTATTTACAAATTTTTTTATAAATTTCTTGACAGTATTTAAATTATTTATTTAACAAAATTTCTCGAAAGAATTCAATTCTTATTCAAATTTGATATAAATTTCTTTTCAGAATTTCTGTTATTTTAAATTCCTTGCAAGTATTCAATAAATTACGGTAAAAAATTTTTTAAAATTTTCGTAAAAATTCCAATTTTCTTAATAAAAATAATCAAATTCTTCTCCAAAATTCAATTCTTTTCAAATATTATAATGAAATTCTTGGTAAAATTTCAATTATTTTTAGCAATTTTCCTCAATTCAATGATTTTCAATATCTACTATTTCAATCAAATTTTCCAAAAGAAT